AAGGGCATAAAGTTGCAGCTCTCCATGGCTGCCAAAGTATAAGTTTAATTGGACATTATAGCTACACACCTTTGGAACCCTAAGAGAATTCATATACCTTGTAATATTTACCTGCCCAGCGGACCTGCAAAGGTCACATGCCTCCTCTATTCTCCCAGCCCTTATCAAAGTCCAGACATCCTCAAGAAGAGATTCGTCTTGTTTCTACCAAAGAAAAGTTCTCAATACAAATTTTATCCAAAAGCGATAACGAGAACGAAATACGACTTTCACAGTATAGATATAGACATCCACAGGGTAGATAGACCATACAAAAGAAGCACTCAAAATTGTTATGTTATACGCTCTAGAAAAAGCAAAACAGCCAAATATAACTGAGAAGATTAAAATATTAATTACGATTTTTTTATAAACAAAATTGGCAGCAATTCTGACAAAATTTTCTTTCAAACCTATTCACCCACAATGCATTGCTATCTGGGCAGTCTCACCGCCTTTTTTAATGTATACCACGTATTGTATATTAGATGAACAAATATAATCAGAGGTAAAACATGCCCATCAACCCTATGAAATTAAACGAATGTAACTTCAACCATAGCTGAACAGACTTACATTGTCATCAGGAAGAAGCTGAGCATGTTCACGAGTTGGAGCATCAAAATCCAGATGGTGTACAGTGTCAGCGGCAGAGCCAGTTTTCCTGAGGTACCTTTGTGTGTGATGCCACACTCCAGCGTTAGGAAGGTAAGTACCCACATGAGATCCCCGCACCTGGGAACATAAATAGTTCCTTGTGACAAGCTCTAATCAAGTGTTTATCAGCTCTATCAATTTGAGGGTTCGTCAAGCAATTTTTTACCTAAGTTGAACAAAGCCTAGGAAATCAACGCCTTAAATATATGACAAGCAGGAAACACAAACACCTTACTCTGATTTTAGAAGCAATCATGTTAAAACTAATAATCTTATAAGCTATACCTAGGAAAAAATGACCACATCAACCAATCAAGAATCATACAAAAATGACATTGGTAAAGTATATATTGGAATAACCACCTTCCTTTCCAAATCAAGTGATTTTGAAGCTAGTTCTTCCAGCCACAGGACTATCCGAAGGCAAAGCTGAGCTGTATGGTCGTTTACAACAAACTGACAAGCCTCCAAATGAGATGTTGATGGGGACTGCCGACATTAAACAAAGTCACATAAGTCCATTCACAAGATGTACTACATAGGAGTGATTTCATTAGAAAACGGATTACGAAAGAATGCATTACCATAATCAATTCCTTTGGAATTTCTTCAGTACCTGCAAGAACAAAAAACGTATAGAGCTGGTTATACGACAAACAGAGCTTTAACAGACATAAGCTATCAAAATGAACACAATGCCTACCCTATTCCAAAACGCCTAAAACAATAGACAAATGGAGCTGAGTTTCCTAACCTTTTCCATATAGGTTCCATAAAAGTGACCAGGAGGCAGCCTCACCGAGCAGAAGCTGAGCCTTCTGTCTCATAAGTTTATCCTCCACAACCCGATGCCTTATATCTGATCCATACCTGTAGATAACCGAAAAGGCGAAAAAGGCAATGAAAAAGAAAGAAAAATTAAAGCTAAAGAAGTTTGACGGTTCAACTCTCAGAGCCAGAAGACATACCTAATTGATTGTGAAACATCCCTGCACGACTCCTCAAGTCTCAATATTAGATCAGGAATGGGCATCAGTCCTGCAGAACCAAGAATTCATAATTACAGTAAAAGATAACCAGACATAAATGAGGCTCTAGCAACTAAGTAAAGGGAATCCTACAAGCCCAAAATTCCAATGCAAAGACAATACAACCTATGAACAGGAACAATGCTTAGTTCACACTGTTGTAAAAATGAGAAGCACACACGCATGCAAAAAACACACCTAAATATCTACATATTCATGTATATACACATACTTAATATGAAGACTGATATATCATCCAAACCTTGAAGAGCAGAATCAAACAGGGAAGCAAACAGAGCAAAGGTTGTATCTCCACTCTCCGCCAACTCATCATGCTCAATCTTGCAAGCCTTCAGTGATTGACTTTCTACTCGACGAAACACAGCCTCATTATCAGCATCCAGAATTCCAGCACTTTCCCTCCTGGAAGCAGAGAGCGGGTTTGCAAGTGTTCCTTCGTAGTGATCGGTGTGAAAGTTGTCAACCTCTTCTTTAATGTTTTCAAGAAGCAAGGCTGTATTTGTTGGACTATGGATGTAATGCCCATCATACAGTAATCTGTTCTCGCTGACATTTGGACTCGAGAGTTCCTCATGTGGCGATGTAGAGTGTCTCTTCCTGCATGTAATGTGTAACTTTACATACATGAGAATCAAAATGTTATACCTCAAATACGCAGAGAAGTGGTTTAAATAGAGTATAGAGAACAGAAAAAAAGTCTTCGCGGCTAACTCCTAGCTACATTTCTTCATCTATTTAAAAGAACCCTAAGGAGATTCAGTTCATCAGCGAAAATCCAAAACCTCAACCAAATTTCCAAAACAATCGCATTCAAATTTCGCTACAATCAGCCAATATCGACTGTACTTACAATCAACCCACAACCCATGAAGCAAAACAAATACATCTAAAAATCCAACATGACGAGATAATCGAGAATATACATCCAAATCGAATAAAGGGTCGAAATTTTTACCGATAACGACGGAATTGATCCCTAACACTGAGGACCTCGGGGTCGAAGTAGCTAGGGGAAGTGTCCATATCCATGTCCATTTTCTTCACCAACAAAATCCAAACCCAAGTGCTATAAATAACAAAGTAAGACGAGCCTTCAACTTCAAATCTTAGAAAAACAAAATTAAGCAGCAGAAGCGCGGCAAAGCTAGAGCGTCGATTAGGTTTTTCTTCACTCGTCAAAATATAAAACCCTACAAAAATAAGCCTCCGTTCAGTGGAAGACTACGCCGGGAAACTACTACTACTCGGAGCAGTCGCTGCGTTTCAACCATTTAAGTTCAGTAAGAAGGGTACAATCGTAATTACCTAAAATAATTAGTGATTAATCAAGTCAACAAAACTCGAAAGTCTCGCTTATAAAACAGCTCAGCCAAAGCGGTTTTAAAGCTCCCCAGGCGTTGTTTTATTGTTTTATCCTCAGAGAGCTTTAGAGATGGCGGCGCTTATCCGGTGTTGCCCCCCCCCCCCCCATACGGGGGGGGGCCGAGAGCAAAAGATGCCCCCTGGGCGAGGTGCAGGTTAGCTCATCGTTCACTCGCTGAATCGGATCACAATATAGTGTCTCAGTTGCCTTGTGATTGATCCAAGTTCGCTAATGAGGCATCAGGAGATTGAACAAATGTTTTTAGCATTTCTTTCAGAATTAATCTTTTTAAGCTGTTTTGGGAATTGTTTGGTCGCCGAGAAAACGCAAAATATGCTGAGGGAACAGGGAAGTCAGCTTGGATGGTTTAGGATAAGGAACCGGGAAGATGGTTTACTTTGGGCGAATTGTTTTTTCAGAATTTTGCCGTATTATGTCTGACATTAGCATTGTTTCTACTCCGTGATTTCTTGATTTGAAATCGTTGTTTTTTTCATTGTTATGGGGGAACTTTGATATCATTGTGATACATTTCACAGAGGTAGTTAAGGAGCTTAGAAACAAACGAATTTGGTGGTTTTCACAGATTGTGTTTGCATTCCTAAAACTAGTTCAATCTCGCTTCTGTCATACTTTCTTGTTGGCACATTTTGACATTTTAATAAAATGAGTAAATGACCACTTCTTGGTCGCTTCTAAAGTCATCTTATTTCGTCATTGCTTTTATCAGAGAATGGAAATTTTGCTACATCCATTGGCTACTCTTTAGTCAGAAAACCTGGGGGTAATCATCCTATCTCCAAGATTAAACATTTGTCTACCAAGCCCAAGGAGCGTGAAAGCAAGGGAATCTTTCAAACACCATTTGGCAGCGTGGAAACTCTTGACAAGTTGTCAGCTTTTGAGGTATGTTGGTGAGTTCCAGACTTCCAGGATATTTACCCATATCCAACTAAAACCTATATGAGTTTTCTGCTCCTTGAATACCAGGATAGTGTTTGACTCGTTTTTTATTTCCTGTTGTCAAGTTTTCCATTGTGATAGTAAGCCTTTAGACATAGATGTGGCAGGGAATTGGGAGGCTCAAATTACCGGTAATGGCAGTGATGTTGACAAACTCCCTTCTGATGGGTACGCCACTTGAAGCTTTGGCTGCTGAGGTATGTGAGCCGGAAAGCTCTATGTTCAGCATGCCAGTTTTGTCACTTGTAGCTCTTATTGGGGCCACTGTGGGAGGTAGTAATGTGCTCTTTCTTCGATATATGATTCTACAAACTGTACTCGTTGGGGTTTTGATAACACTTTTGTGGTGCACTAACCAGGGTTGCTTGCTCGGCAGAGGAGAGGGGAGTTACAGAGGTTGAATGAACAATTAAGGCAGATTAACGCTGCCCTTAGGAGACAAGCGAAAATCGAGTCTTATGCACCAGGCTTAAGTTATGCGCCAGTGGGAGCAAGAATCCCAGAGAGTGAAATCATTGTGGAACCAAAGAAACAAGAGTTGATCTCCAAGTTGAAAACAGGAAAGATCTTTCTGAGGAATCAAGAACCAGAGAAAGCTTTTGCAGAGTTCAAGATAGCTTTGGAACTTGCCCAGAATCTCAGAGACCCCATCGAAGAAAAGAAGGCTGCCAGAGGCTTGGGCGCTTCGCTGCAACGTCAAGGGAAGTATAGAGAAGCCATACAGTATCACTCCATGGTTCTAGCCATCTCAAAGAGGGAAGGAGAAGATTCTGGAAGCACTGAAGCATATGGAGCTATTGCAGACTGTTACACTGAGCTGGGAGATCTCGAAAAAGCCGGGAATTTCTATGACACTTACATTGCTCGATTAGAGACGGACTGATTTCATCCGCATTTTCTTTTTGTCTGTTTGTTGTGCTCATGTCAAATCACATAAAAGGATCTCCAAATCCCTTTTATTGAATGTAATTTGCTTGTCTTACAATCCATAGGGATACATAGCTAAGCATACAACTGAAGATAAAAACTTTATATAGATAACTTAAGTGAGAGAAGACAGACAGACACACACACAAACAAGTTCTAGGCCAAAAAAAAAGCAAAGAAATTGAAACTTAAGATATGTGATATGGCGCCACGATCTGAGGTTTATTACTGGTAGTACATGAGCTGCTGCGCTGCGGCTACATTCTGAAAGCCACCGTCATACATGGCTGCAGTGGCTCCAGCTGCATTGATTCCATGAGCTGCCTGCCTTAGAGGATGTTGACCCTGAGGGTGCATTAATGCCATCTTGCTTAGAGCCAATTGTCTCTCATAGGCTAAGAGATCAGCTGCAGACAGACCAGGCACTGGTGCTGGGGCAGGTGGAGGAAGTGGGTTTGAGGCTGTTCCTGGTGGAGTTGGCTTGTTGCCCCATGAGCACTACAAATCAAAGTGATAACAGAATCAAGTGTCAAATTACATTTTGAGCACCGTTTCCAGAGATGTCAGAGAATGCAATTTTGGGAGCAGCGAAATCAAATAGAGAGAGGTAAAAGGTACCTTAATCTGTCTGTTAAAGAGGTAAGGCTGAGAGTTGCCCATCTGAATAGCAAGAGCAGCCTCGGGATGAGTGTTATATCTCACAAAACCAAAGCCTTTGTCTCGTTGGACACGGACTTCTTCAATAACTCCAGCACCAAGAGCATGGAAGTAGCGGTGTAGATCAAGCTGAGTTACCTGCAAGATAAATAGTTGTAAAAAAGGTACCAGAACCTACTGATGCAGTAATTCACGAGAGAGCTTAAATGAAAAGCTGTATTTGTTATGATGGTGAACCAAGTTACAATGAGAAGTTCCTAGAGAACATGAATTTACCTCTGGGGCGAGGTTTCCCACATAGACAGTGGTAAACTGAGAGTTGTTCTCAGGAGCATCCTCATTCAAGGTCTCTTTACCATCCTCTGCATAACCAAACGGCGAATGTATCTTCGTTAGCTATGAATGTTTCATATTACCCAGTTACAATTAGTACGGAGCCCACATGTGTTTCAAGAGAAATTCAATGTAGTTTCAAGAGAAATTCAATGTAGTTTCAAGAATCCCACTTTAACGAGAAAGAAATTAAAATCAGAATACGCACAGTAAAAGAAAGACAACCTGAAGAGCCCGTTGTTAGTTCCACGACACTTTTTCCATCAGAGCTGTGTTTGTCCTCACCAGAAGTAGCGCCTTTTGTGGCCCAGTTGCACCTGATCTGTCTGCTACTTAACCACTTACCTGAGAAGAGAAGATAAAAACAAAGTTTAAGTGCTAAGAGTAAAGAGAAAAGATGAAAAACCCAGTTCTAAAAGCTGACCCCGATTGGAACAGAGGTTAAACAACATCAAAAGCTTTTGCCTAAGCCGCAAAAAAAAAAACACACACACACAGAATCCTTCAGGTGCTTCTAATTCTAGGCACAGTATTATACACATTCTAAAAGCTTCAGAACTAACAAAGCAGAGTTCACAAAAAAAAAAGAATGAAGCCTTGAGATTTCAGCTACTACACAATTCTTACCATTCATCTCATTTATGGCAGTTTGAGCATCCTGCAAATCAAATTAACATTTAAAATCAATGTAAAACCACAAACAATTCTCGATCTTAAAAAAATTATACACCTCGTGATTTAAAGAATATACAAGTACCTGTTGATTGCGGAAGGAAACAAACCCAAAACCTCTTGAGCGCCCAGTTTTTTGGTCCCACATAACTCTTGCATCCCTTCAAGTGAGTAATCATATTAGACACGATTAAAGATTATGAGATGGATGAAATGTTTCAGCAAATTAGCCTAATCAATAAGGAAATTTTGTAGACTTTTGAGAACAACAGAAAAAAATTTACGACAAATTGGAATTCGCTAAAAAAAGTGTTTGATCAAGCATGAGAACTTACGAACAAGTGGAGAAAACAGAAAAGCTTTGATATAATGCCGCGTCAGTAACCTCTGGACTGAGATCTCCAACAAAAATGTTGAAATGACCTGCATCTCATAGAAATTAAAGCATTAAGCATCCAGGCTTTTCCGGAAAAAACAAAGAAAATGCAGCTCCTTAAAAAAAAACAAAACTTACTTGATGTATCTTCCCTCTGACCAGTGGCATAAGCCCAATTGACTTTGATAGGCTGTCCAAACCTATGAATTCAAGTATTAAACCTAAGCGAAAGCGTTCAAAGTTATAAAGAGAGGAACAGAAATGTTGATGATTGATCCTTACAGGTGTCTTCCATTCAGAGACAGTATAGCCAGAGCAGCGGATCTTCGGTCAAAGTAGTGAACAAATCCATACGATGACTGTGAAAACAGAAAGATGCATGTTTATGAGTCCCTTTTTAATAAGCTTGAGAATCCCCGTTAAAGCAATTGTTTAGTTATACTCGTCCAAAACAAGTATATGGACTTTTATAAGAGGGTCGCTTTCACAATCTTTACAAGATAAAGAAGAAAAACAAAAAATGTGGATTTCGAATCTCTCTACCTTATCCTTTCTGATGAGTTTACTGCTCTCAACAGGGCCAGTGCTTGTAAAAATCTCTTGAAGAAGAGGCTCTGTGACCTGTATATGGATGTTTCCAACATACCTGCGAATATACGAGATAGAAAACATAAGCTCAGAACTGCACCTTCAAAAAAAAAAAGAAGAAATTGCAAAAGTGATGATGCTCCAATCAAATCACTCACACGCTACGGCAAGTACTGGGATCAAAACCAGGAGGAAGGTTTCCACTTGGAACAGGCTCTAACTGCAAATGCCAAAGATGAAAAATGGGTTACAGAAAAAGAAGAAAGATCATTTCTTTAAAGCATCTCGAGAAGGTAACATCAGCTCACCAAAAATACAAATCGTTCTCGGTATCAAAAATCTAATGCTAAAATAATAACAACACGATGTGTGGCAATAACCCAGAAAGGAAAAACGAAAACTTGAGTAAAACACAAAGACATCAAACAGATAAACGAACGAATTGCTAGCTTACAGGATCTGGAAACCCTAGCCTTTCGTCAATCAAGTATTTCAACAGCGAGAAATAAGAAAAAAATGAAGGAACACAGAGATGTGATGAGCAAAAACTAAACCCGACCCGAGAAAAAAGGACCCCACAAGAGAAGCGAAATTGAGCCTAAAAAACTCCATTTTCTACGCAAATTAGACAAATCGAAACAATATATAGGTAGAAAAACCTGAGGCGGGGCCAAGACACCAGGATGGTAAAGAGAGTGTTGCTGCATCAGAGCTTGCTGCTGCATCAGAGCTTGCTGTTGGTGTTGCTGTTGCTTCAACCTCGGATTCTGCATTTTTTTTCTTCTTTCCACTGCAGAAAAGAAAGATATCTGATTTTTTCCCACAGAATTTTTTTGATTTTTTTCTCCTCTGCTAGGGTTCAGGTTCAGGTACTATCGGTCACGAGGTGAAGAAAGGAAAACGAGAAAAGGGAAAGAAAAAAAAAACTAAAAAAGAAAAGAAAAAAGGTTAAAAAAAAATAAAAGTAAGAGAAGAAAAAAAAAAAATCAGAGAGGAAAGAGAAAGAAGCTGTCCGTAGAAGATGAGAGGGACCGTGCGGCACAAGTGAACTATTTATAGGACGATTTATTTTATTGTTAAATTGAAGAGAAGAAAGCTGGTGAAAACTAAGGTGACGGACCTGTGATGATTATTTTCGATGACAGCCAATGATATTCCTTGTCTTTTCTTCATCTTGCTGACAGCCCAGGCTCAGGCCCAAGCCCATATCTAGACAACGTCGTTGATCCTGTGGATATCGAGGGACCATTATTCTGACGAACTCGATATGTGGGATCCAGACGTGTAATAATGGGTTAGTCCGGTCATTTTATAAGATTATTGAGTTCGTGGTCTAAGTTCTAGGACTCAAATAATATAAGAGCATGTGCAATGGGCTATTTAACCCCGTCTCTAACCATTTTAGCTTAATTAAATAAATCAGTAAAAAGAGCATCGCCTAATTTGGAGCTAGGAGAAACGTTTTTCCACACGCACGTGGTGAAATATGATTGGACTCAAAAAAAAGAGAAGAAAAAATAATTTTTGGGTCCTCAAATAATTTTTTTTTGGCTCCCCAAAAAACCATTTTCCTCTCTTCTTTCTTCGTTATCTCCATCGAACTGCAAGTCGTCGATTTCATCAGGATCCTTCGTCAGCGAGTTTCAGACGGTGGCGGAATCTGACTTTTGGTTTCTCTAATCGCTAGATTTTGGAAAAATCGGTCGTTTAGTCGCTAGAGTCGTTCTTCAAATGGACGATGTTGAGCTCGTCGCCGTCAACGATCCGTTCATCACCACTGAGTACATGGTTTGTTTCCTTCATTCGACTGTTTTTCGATAAGTGATTGTTTGGTATTGTTTCGATTTGTTGATTTATGGGATTCAATTAGTAGCGTTGATCGATTTGACCTCGTCGCAATTGGAAAATGGATCGTATCATTATCATCCACTATTATGCATGTGTGTTTTCGGTGTCTAGATGGTTTGTTTATTGAGTACTCAGGTCCCGAAGCAGGTTTACAAAGATTTTGTTGAGTTTTGATTAGCTGATCAGATCTCTATATTGGAACTGATGATTGATATGGTGCTTCTGTAATGTAATCGATTAGCCTGGTATCAATTGAGTTCTTAGAGCTTTGAGTGACGTAATTTTTGATTGCTGCAGACCTACATGTTCAAGTACAACAGTGTTCACGGTCAATGGAAACACCATGAACTCAAGGTTAAGGATGAGAAGACCCTTCTCTTCGGTGAGAAGCCAGTCACTGTCTTCGGCATCAAGTATATACAGCGAGTTTTGATCATTGTATTAAGTTTGTATAAGTTTAACTATGATTTGTATGAGTTTAACTATGATTTTAGAATAAGTTTGTATGAAACTTGTATTAAGTATAAGTTTAAGTATGACATTGCACATGATCATTGTGGCGATGAGTTTGTATGGGTTTGTGAATGGGTTTAAAGTTGATTCTTTGGTTTGTAGTTGAAGTTCAAAATAAATTTATTGTATAAGTTTTTTTTTAGAAATTAATTTGAGTTTCTCCTATTGGACCCTCAAAAATTACAAGAGTTTCTACTTATAAAACAATTCATAATATTAATAAAAAAAAGGGATAGAGACCCATGAAGATCTCTCCCATTGCACATGCTCTAATGGTATAATATCTTATACATTTGTATTATTTATCGTTATTTTTAATGTGAGATCTATCAAAAAAACTTCTAATGAAATTTATCAGTTTATTTAATTCTGGTTTATCATCCTCATTGTAAAGTAAACTTAGCCTATTTTTAAACATTCAATATCCTGCGACTTGATTATACTATTATTTCTTATCGGATCGATTAAAATTTATGGTCCACCAACCACATCTCATTATGAGTTTTGACAATGTACATGTATTTTAGCTGGTTTTCGACTATTCAAATTTTTTTTTTAGAAAAGCTCCATTATACTAATTTGAAAATCTTCACCAAATTTGTACGTTCTTATCCGCAGGTAATTTCATTACAAAAACGTCAGAGATAATATAAATTGACGTCCTTGCCAATACGGTCCAATCACGTCATAATACTTTAGAATTAATTTGTATAAGGTAAAATAGCCGAATTTATTAGCACGGAAACAAATACAACATTTTGTTTAGTTTTTATATTTATCTTGAACGGCTAAATCAATTTGTTAACTGAAATTAAATATTTCACAAGTAGTGGAGGTGACCATATATCTATCGAAATGTATTTGTCATATAATTATCGAGATATATATTAGATAATTCAAAAAGTTTCCAAAATTACCGGCAAGTCTGGTATCAATAATCCCACTAATAAAATGAAATACTGTATCATAAGACATTGATTGATTGAATATCTAGATGTGTCTCGTTTCGGAGAAAGTGGGACTTTAGTTTAGGCATAATAGCATTTATGACTTGATTTCACCGCATAGTTTGTCAAAAAAATTAAAAAATTTCCGGGAAGCTTACGCCGCCGGCGCGAGTAACTCGGAAAGTTAAAATTTATACGGACACACGAGAAGTTGAAAAGCCTAAAAAGAAGTGCACTTAGAGATCGGTTAAGGCATTCAATGCAATGTTCGAAGAGGTTCATAGGACTCAGTCCACATGGTCGGTTCCTGATGCTCAGCTTAGAGAGGAGCTCTGAATATCTCTATCCGAGCATCTGATCCCGACTTATAGATCGTTTCTTGGAACGTTCAGGGGTCATATAGAGAGTGGAAGACACCCTGAGAACTACTTGAAATATTCGGTTGAAGATATCGAGACAATTGTTTTAGATTTCTTCGAAGGATATACCACACCGCCACACTTGAGGAGGCGATGAAACAAGACCGAAAACCAAGAGGTTATTTTTCTTTCTTTTGTTTCCCTCAGCCACGTTAGCAGGTCATAGAATAGAGCCATTCTTTGAATTTTTATTCACGGGTTGGTGGTTTATGCACCGTTCCTTTTTCTGCCCGATGGAATAATAAACCATACATGTCTGTTGTTTGTGCCATATGTATACTCTCTTCGTTTTTAACCAAAGTCCTGATTTATCACCAAACCAATATTTACCATGTAAATTCCGCAATGTCCCCCACCTCCACTACTCTTTTGCTCAATTTCTGTTGTCGTTTGTGTAATTTGGTTAGTAAGTCTATTATGAACAAGGATCACAACATTGTTTCAAAACTTCATTAAAGAAAGGTCTTTCTTTTCTTTTTCTTTTTTTTTTTTGTCAATCTAAAGCAAAATATTAGGTCTTGGTTTTAGATAGAAATAATTCCATCTCAACTCAATTCCAAGATAAGTAAGATTGCCACTTTTTTCTTAAAAAAAAAGATTAAATAGATCCGAAGTACACACAGAAGTTATTTGTTGTCATATTCTTCCAAAACGAAACATGAGACCTGCGTCACTCTCCTATATCTTCATCCACACACCAAAAAGGCTCATCATAAAACTTGCGAGCCAAAGCAGAGGATCAAGCCAAGAATGAATAGGGACACAATCCATCTTAATCAAAGTCAAGAAACTCCATTCTCTTCCTCATTGTTCCTCTCAGCTCACTCGCCTCCCTCTCCACCTTTTGCGCCTGCATCAGAAGAACACACAGATTCCCCCGAAACCAAATCATCAGTATGCACGCAACACCACAAGAGTTTTGTTACTGACGTGAGGAAATTCGAACATGTGATGTGATCTCTGCCTTACCCTTTTTATCTCTGTCTCTGAGACGCGAATCATATGTGGAGGAAGCTCCTCTCTCTCCGTGTCCTAACACATGGTTTTAAGGACAAATCAGTGAACTGGATTACACAAAGTGAGATAACAAAAAAAAAAACTTAAACAAGAAGACATCTTACCAGCTCACCAATCAGAACAACATTCTCTCCACGGATTACATAGAGGCCTAAAGGGATGTCGCAGTACTGTTCACCTACAATTACCCTCTCGCACGCACCTTCCAAAACCGCGTTGGCTGTGTATTTAAAGCAAATAAAGCATACTTTTAATCTCTCTCCCACTAACAGTATCATAAATGTAGGAAGAATGAAAAAGCAAAATGTATACCGAATTGATCAAATGAACGGAGCGTTCCCATTAGCTTTCTACCATCTCTAAGGAGCACAAGTAGCTTTCCTGCATTATCAAGAGCAGAGCCAACATCCATAAGCAACTGACGCACATTGAATTATGTTTAAGAGCAGACCTAAACTCTAAATGAGACTGAAAATAAACGCACATCCCAAAAAAATCTGTAAAAAGAAGATCATGAACATTCACACTCAAAGAACTCGAATCTTAATTATTAAGCCAATACTAAAGCATATTCGATACAGGTTAAAGTTAGATCCGGAAGTTTCATCATTTCGATCAGGTGCATGCTAAAAGCTTAGCAACAATTATCAATGAACAATCAGACTAGACTCAGTAATTAAACTAAAAGATATGAAGATTCAATCTTTTAAGCAGTGAGTGTCTCTTTACGATACTACAACACCAACAAATTGACAAGATTTGAATAAGGCCGCAGCCTATTTAACAATAAGAGCTAAAAATCAAACGCAAGAAACATTGAAAATTGTTTGCAAGAGTAAGCTCACGTAATGCATTCAGAGGCATCAGGCCTTACATACATAAATACATATATACAAATCTGGAAATCAGGAGAGAAATAGAGACGGATTACTATCGAGATAACTGGCAAGCGAAGTTGAAAGATATATATCTTCAGGACCAGCCCAAGACATCGTCACTGACTCTATCTGCTTAAAATTGAAGAAAAGTTTCGGTCTTTATAGAAAACACAACCGAGAATAAAGTTCTCAGATTGCAGTTGAAGAGATGGGATTGGCAAATCGAACAGAGAAAGAGTAGCACTCACACGAATCGAAAATTGATAGGAAAAAAAAAAGGAGGAAAGAGGAAAAGATTAGGGTTTTGACCAAAGAGTTCAGCTTAAGGAAGCGATAAAAAGTTTGTGACTTTCAATTCCAGATCGAACACGGACACGGGTTCGTCGAAAAAATATTAAACCCAGATCCGATCGCAATTGGATGTGATAATCGTTTAGGAAAATCACGCGAGCAAATCGACCACTGGTTCTTAAGTATTCTTCGTTTATCCTTTGACGGAGCCAGGGCCAAAAATGTCCGAGATTTTCTAACTCGATAAATATTTTGTTTTATTCGTCGATAAATAAACAAAGTCTTTGGATTTTTGTTTATATTTAATCATGAAATTTTTCGAAATAATTAGTTATGTATTGTCAACACATATTTTAACTTATATTTGAAGGACTGGAATTATTTTCTGTAAGGAAAAAACTAATAATATGATTGCTACCATGTACCACAAAAGACAAGCTTAATTGGTAGTTTGCTACATTTTAGAAGTTTAGTGATCACATAAGCAATATACAGACATCTTTATTCGTAACTACAATACACAGAACTCATTAATTAATTTTTAGATTTACCATGTTCTTATGAGCGAAATCAATAGAAATTGTACTGCTGTTTACTTCTTCTTTTTTATTTTTTCGACATGTACTGCTGATTGCTTAATACTGTAAAAGTTCTCATTATTCTATACAGCTAAGTGATCCAGTAATATTTCGCCACGCTAGTACCAGATCTTGGCGGCGCGAAACTACGCGGCGTTTGCTCAGCACAAAAACGTAGCGCAGTTTATTTAAAGCAAGCAAAAATCAATTTTGCACTTTTGTAGCTAATCTATCATCATCGGAGAGAAAGACCCCCCTTGACGGAGATATCGTACATAAGCAAGCAACCTTAACCTTCTCCACTGTAAAACCCTCAAATCAGGGTCACGATTTCATCTTTATTTTCCAGGTTCGATTTTCATTGAATTTCGTGTTTACACGATTCGATTTTTTGGGGATTTTGGGGGTTTTTCGTTCTGTGTCTTTAGGTCACGGATCTTGTTCCTCTGCAATAGATCATGTTAAGCTTCAGGCGGAATCACATTCGATTGGATTGTTTGAAGTTTCTTCTTTTTTGTGTTTGTATCGGTTTAAAACGCGATAGTTATCAGGAGTATGGTTTGTTGTGGTTCTCGAGAAATTTCAGGAAAGTGAGAGTTTTCTATTTATGGGTGGTTGTTTTCTTTATCCCGAAATTTTTATTTTTTGGGGGGATAATTCGTGAAAGGAATGTCCTTTCGTACGAAATTGTATCCGATTTTCCAGCTTGTAGATGTTTTGAAGATCTCTGGCAAAAGTCGGAGAGCATAATGCACTCGTAGCTGATTCTGGAGATTGAATTTGTGGCATCCAATGTAGTTAGATCAGTTTTGTTTTTATTTTGTCTTAGACTGAGTTTTGTCTTAGATCAAAACGCTATTGAGCAACAAGTAATGTTGTTTACCGAATTGTTTCATTGATGTTTTAGGGATAGATTGATCATGGCAACTGCAACTATGGCCACAGCAGCTGGAGCAGCTGCTCTTCTATACTACACGTTGAACCGGAAATTAATAGCGGGTCCATCTGATGTTGACGATGAGAATTCTGAAACTTCTACTACTCGTGCTTCTTTGAGGATTGACCGTGTTTCGCATAGACTTATTCAAGCTCCAGCAACTTGGTTGGAGACAATTTCTACTCTCTCTGAGACTCTTCGTTTTACTTACTCCGAGACTCTAGGGAAGTGGCCAATTGGAGATCTTGCTTTTGGGATCAATTTTCTCATCAAGAGGCAGGTAAACATCTCTTGATGTCTATCACTGTCACAAGTTTTGGTTTTTTTTTTGTCATCTTTTAGGTCAAAGGGCGAACATTTTAATTTGTGTAACTAAAACTGCAGGGACTTCTACATGTTGATCGTGTCTTTGGTGGTGAAGAGAGCATTGAGCTCAAAGGACCAGAAGTAGCCACTGAACTTAGATATTATTTGCACTTGTTGACGTTGTGCTGGCATTTCTCCAAGAAGACATTTCCGTTGTTCTTAGAAGAGACTGGCTTTACAAAGGAAAACGTCCTTATTCACGAACCCAAAGCTGGGGTAATTTTACAACAACTCTCGACTCCTAGGCACTTTTTAGACAGAGAATTTGAGAATTGGTTTGTGAATTTCGCATCATGCAGATATTGAAGCCAGCTTTTACGGTTCTTGTCGATCACAATACAAAATGTATTCTATTGTTGATCCGTGGAACGCATAGCATCAAGGACACATTGACGGCTGCGACAGGAGGAATTGTGCCATTCCATCATACCGTTGTAAACGAGAGAGGTGTCAGCAATCTGGTTTTAGGATATGCACATTGTGGTATGGTTGCTGCTGCTCGGTGTATAGCAAAGCTTGCCACCCCTTGCCTTCTCAAGGGTCTTGAGCAATATCCAGATTACAAAATCAAGGTACTTTATTTTCCCCGTTTCCTGTTTTCTACTTCACCTTTTCTGGAAAAGAAGTGTTTGAAAGAAAATATTATCTCTAGTTCGGACACATCAATCATTATCCTGCATTTTGTTGGCAGATCGTTGGGCACTCTTTGGGTGGTGGAACGGCTGCTCTTTTGACATATATTTTGCGGGAGCAGAAAATGCTCTCTACAGCTACCTGTGTTACATTTGCTCCAGGTTTTTCATCCAACATAGTTTTCAGTAACATCTGTTGATACTTTCTCAAGACATAAGACTGAGCATTTGTTCCTATGTTCTTCAGCTGCTTGTATGACCTGGGAATTAGCTGACTCTGGGAACGACTTCATCGTGTCTGTCATAAATGGAGCCGATCTGGTGCCTACATTTTCTGCTGCATCAGTAGATGACTTACGCGCTGAGGTTAGCTTCTTAAACCCCAAATTATGTGCCTTGACAACGCTTCATTTATGCACTTGGGAGAACTTTTCTTTGTATCTTGTTAAGAGAATCCTTTTTTCTTCCTTTTCTCACCTCTTAAGGTAACAGCATCTGCTTGGCTAAATGATCTGAGAAATCAAATTGAACGGACTAGAATCCTCAGCACTGTTTATCGCTCAGCGACGGCTTTAGGATCCCGCCTTCCATCTATGGCCTCTGCCAAAGCAAAAGTTGCTGGTGCTGGTGCAATGCTACGTCCAGTGTCTAGCGGCACACAGGTAATAAAACTACATGGAATATGCTTCTGAACTTAAACAGCTTTCAAGACTGAAAAAGTTGCTGAGTAAAACAAACTTTATGCAGGTTGTGATGAGAAGAGCTCAGAGTATGCTGACCCGTCCTGCACTAAGCTTATCTTCTTGGTCATGTATCGGACCGCGGCGCAGAGTCCCTGCTACTCAATCAAACTCGGAACATCAGTTAGATTCTTCTGAAGCAATGTCCCAAGTTAGACCCGAAACCGTAGATCCTCTTCTTGCCACCACTAGTAGTAATTCCACAGATGAAGAAATCACAGGGAAATGGAAATCAGAAGCTGAGTGTTCTGACTACGATGAAACATCTGCTGCTTGTCTTGGAGCCACAGATCTTGACGAGTGCGAGGATCCAGCGGAAATCGAAACACGCGAAGAGCGTATGACTGAAGCCGAGCTATGGCAGCAGCTGGAGCATGACCTTTACCACGATGACTCTTCAGAGCTGCCTGGAGAAGCTGATGTGGCAAAAGTAATCAAAGAAGAAGAAGAAGCCGTCATCGCAGAGGCCGGTGTGGCTCAGCCGGAGATCCGGACGCCTGAGATGAAAGAATCCCACAGATTTCTCCCGCCGGGTAAAATTATGCACATTGTCACAGTCCGGCATGAGGCCGTTGAAGCTAACGAAGAAGAAGACGGTTCTGCCCCCGAGAGGCCTGAGACAGTGGAGACAGTGGAGGAGGGTAGAGTAGGAATCTTTCTGACGCCGAGGTCATTGTATAGTAAGGTGAGGTTATCGCAGAGGATGATAAGCGATCACTTCATGCCTGTTTACAGACGACAGATCGAACGGCTAATACAAGAGCTAACACCGGAAGAACAACCTTAAACCTTCTGTTCGTGTTTTAGTTTCTTTTTGTTTTTTTTTTTGGCGGTAAAATTTCTATATGCAGTTGTAAATACTAAATACATACTTACGTTATTTACCAATACCTCCAACTGAGTTTTTTGTATTCGAAAATGTTTATTATATTTACAAAATGTACAAGAAGGCTATATTTCGATGTTTGCTAATGATCCTTGTCTCTGTTGAGTACTATATATAGAGGATATTTCTTTTTAAAATGGGGAAAGGACAGAGGACAAGAACTATAAATCGAATGAATCAAGTATGACATTGTATCTTTCTGGCCTAATCACGATTATAATTATAAATACACCTTCAAGACAAATATGAATTGTCCCATTGCTGTTAATCATTATCGTTCCCTTTGAAAGCCATACGTGTGTAAACAAACATTAGTTGGGAGAGAATTTATCAACAGACGAATATTTATTAAATTGAAAAGAATGCCACGTCTCTCCGGGTCAAAAATATCCGACCAAGTCCACCATTGTTTTGATTGGGCAAAGATTCCTCACCATTGTTTCGTGCTACGATCACACCCATTTTCTCTGGCCAACTTTCAAAATTGTGGGTTAATTACGAGGAATTACAATATCCCGATCGGCGATTGATCTTGCTGATCACTTGATTCTCAATTGCGTTTCTTTCAACCGAATCTGGGTATCCTAGGGTCTTTCAAGAAGTTCAATATCGATCGTCTCTTGTTTGTTTGAAACCCTAGGGCCCCTTTCTGGTTCGGCGAGGTTTGGGGTTTATGGTTGATTGGTAATAAAACGTTTGAAATGAGCCTTGTAAATTTTCTTTGTAGCTCGAAAAATCCCAAATTTCGAGGGATTTTTAATGGGATTTGTGCTGTGATTCTATTTGTCTTCTTCTTTGATCGGAGCGACATACTCAGGAACCCTTTGTTAAGAAGTAACGCGTCTTTCGTCGATGGTGGTAGTGGTGGTTCGACCTCCAAAGCTAATTTCAACAATGGTTTTAGCCAATTTACGGTAGTTCGTCGACATATGAGCGAAGCTGACACAAACGTTTCTAAGCTAATCAACGGTTCTGGTAATAACAGCTTGAGTAGCACTAGTACTGTATTATGCTCGGGTTTACACAATCACATGGGTTACGCTGATCAATGCGAGTTCTTAAGAGCGAATCCGATTTGCTCCCCTGATGGATTCTTTAATTACCTCAACTTCTTTTACTGCTCCTGCAGAGATTTCAAGATCTTGGGTTACATGATGTTGGGTGTTTGGCTTGTCGCGTTGTTTTATCTGTTGGGTAATACTGCTGCAGATTACTTTTGCTGTTCGTTGGAGAAGCTTTCAAAGCTTTTGAGGCTGCCTCCAACTGTTGCTGGTGTTACGCTACTCCCACTTGGGAATGGAGCACCAGATGTGTTTGCAAGTATAGCTGCTTTTGTTGGAACTGATAAAGGAGAAGTGGGTCTTAACAGCGTCTTGGGTGGTGCTGTGTTTGTTACTTCAGTTGTTGTTGGGATTGTCTCGCTTTGTGTTGCGGACATGGAAGTCAAGATCGATAAGAAATGCTTCATCAGAGACTTAAGTTTCTTCCTTTTCACACTCGTGTCTTTATCAATTATTTTGATGGTCGGTGAAGTCACAGTACGGGTCGCCATAGCGTTTGTCTCGATATATGTGGTTTATGCTTTCCTCGTGGCGGCAAATGTTGTTCTGAGAAAGCATGCTAAGAGGTTTAAGCTAGAAGCTATTACTCCTTTGCTACCTATGCAAGGAAGTGTGTTTTCCCCGAGTGTTGAAGAGGATATTCCAATGCATAGCCCCTTGATCGAAACTGACACTGAGGATGGTCCACCTCGGCTACAGAACTCTCTTCCTCAATGGATGTGGGCTTCGAATGTGGCCATCTACTCAAACCATTTCGCGAGAGTTAGTGTACAAGATGATGACAGGCCACCTTGGGGGTGGATTGACGACAGTGCAGAAGTTGAGAGCTCCTTGTGTACTAAACTCACTTCCTTGTTGGAAATTCCACTGACGATTCCAAGGAGGTTAACAATTCCATCGGTCGAGGAAGATACATGGTCAAAGACATATGCCGTGGCTAGCGTTTCATTAGCCCCTGTACTCTTGGCATCTCTCTGGAGTAGCCAAGACAATGTGAGTCCCCAAGCTTGTGTTGTGGCTTACTTTATCGGCGTTGCTATAGGCTCAGCTCTTGGTTTTCTTGCTTACAAAAACACAGAACCGGATCACCCACCTCGAAGATTCTTGATCCCTTGGGTTCTTGGTGGGTTTATCATGAGCATCGTATGGTTCTACATGATTGCAAACGAACTCGTAGCTCTTCTGGTGACATTTGGTGAGATCTATGGAATCAACCCGTCGATACTTGCACTAACGGTACTCGCTTGGGGAAACTCAATGGGTGACTTAGTGTCGAACATCGCATTGTCGATGAACGGTGGGGACGGTGTGCAAATCGCTCTATCGGGATGCTATGCAGGTCCAATGTTCAACACACTCGTTGGGCTCGGTATGTCGATGCTTCTCGGCGCATGGTCCAAGAGTCCTGACACGTACATTGTACCAGAAGATAAAAGCTTGTTCTACACACTTGGGTTTCTAGTACTCGGTTTGGTTTGGGCTATGGTTGTGCTCCCACGCAACGACATGCGACCTAATAAAACCTTGGGTGTTGGACTCATTGCTCTGTATCTGATATTCGTCACATTCAGGCTCAGTTGCGCCATGGGATTCATACCATGGGCTGCTTAAAAGCTATGTAACCTTGTTTGATCTGTAACCAACGACTAATTAGAGGCCAATGTATATCAAAACTTGTAATGAGCGTTCATAGTTTTTGAATATTTCGATAAGAGCTTAAATATATGTGTTCGTTTCTGATTGGTCAGTCGTTTTGTCATACCTGCCACTTTATATAACCTCAAGAATCTTCTTATCCTCGTGTCAATAATCAATATTAATAAATCGCAGTCATGTGACCCACGTCTCCTCCTCCATATTTCCATTATCAACTTCAAATTTTTTAATGGATACTGTATAATACCAAACCTGTTATCACCAATAATTCATATATTGCTGACGTGGCCTTAGACGAAATAAAAGATTCAGGAGCTCTAGAGCCACAACGAATCTTCTTCCATCGGGCGACTTGCCATGGCTAAGCTCTCTCTCTCCTCCGTCTTCATCGTCTTTTCTCTCTTCTTCTGTTTCTTATCTTCAGTTTCTTCATCGGAAGGCATAGCATCCTACATCGTTCACGTGCAGAGCTCTCATAAGCCTTCCCTCTTCTCCTCCCACAATCATTGGCACAACTCTCTCCTCCGCTCCCTCCCATCTTCTCCCCAACCCGCGACTCTCCTCTACTCTTACTCACGCGCCGTTCATGGCTTCTCCGCTCGTCTCTCCCCTATTCAGACCGCCGCTCTCCGCCGTAACCCCGCCGTCATTTCCGTAATCCCAGATCAGGCGCGTGAGATTCACACAACTCATACCCCTACCTTCCTCGGTTTCTCCGATAACTCTGGTCTCTGGAGCAACTCCAATTACGGAGAAGACGTCATCGTCGGCGTTCTAGACACTGGAATCTGGCCGGAGCATCCGAGTTTCTCGGATTCAGGTCTCGATCCCGTTCCATCTACCTGGAAAGGCGAGTGCGAGACCGGACCGGATTTTCCCGCATCATCTTGCAATCGGAAGCTCATCGGTGCTCGAGCGTTTTACAAGGGATATTTAACGCATCGCAATGGATCAACAACGCACACGGCGAAGGAATCGAGATCGCCGCGCGATACAGAAGGTCATGGTACGCACACGGCGTCTACGGCGGCTGGATCGGTTGTTGCCAACGCGAGCTTTTACCAATACGCGAGCGGACTGGCGCGTGGGATGGCATCTAAGGCGAGAATCGCCGCTTACAAAATCTGTTGGACCGGCGGTTGCTACGACTCCGATATCCTTGCTGCCATGGATCAGGCTGTATCGGACGGTGTTCACGTGATTTCTCTCTCCGTTGGTGCCAACGGCTACGCTCCGGAGTATCACAAGGATTCCATCGCGATCGGAGCTTTTGGAGCGACGCGGCACGGTATCGTCGTTTCCTGCTCCGCCGGAAACTCCGGTCCAGGACCACAAACCGCCACCAACATCGCTCCTTGGATCCTCACCGTTGGTGCGTCCACGATCGACAGAGAGTTCACCGCTAACGCAATCACTGGCGACGGGAAAGTCTTCACCGGAACGTCACTGTACGCCGGCGAATCTCTCCCCGATTCTCAGATTTCTCTGGTGTATTCCGGCGATTGCGGAAGCAGATTGTGCTACCCTGGAAAATTGAACTCATCCTTGGTGGAAGGCAAGATCGTTCTCTGTGACAGAGGAGGAAACGCCAGAGTTGAGAAAGGAAGTGCCGTCAAGATAGCCGGCGGAGCCGGCATGATTCTCGCGAACACAGCTGAAAGCGGTGAAGAACTCACCGCCGATTCGCATCTCGTCCCGGCGACAATGGTCGGAGCTAAAGCTGGAGATCAAATCCGCGACTACATCAAAAATTCAGACTCTCCCACCGCAACAATCAGCTTCCTAGGAACCTTGATCGGACCATCTCCTCCTTCTCCCAGAGTCGCCGCCTTCTCCAGCCGTGGACCAAACCATATAACCCCGGTTATCCTCAAACCGGACGTGATTGCACCAGGAGTTAACATTTTAGCCGGTTGGACCGGAATGGTTGGTCCGACCGATTTGGATATCGACCCGAGACGGGTCCAATTCAACATAATCTCCGGGACATCGATGTCGTGCCCACACGTCAGCGGACTCGCCGCTCTCCTCCGTAAAGCTCATCCCGATTGGTCACCGGCGGCCATCAAATCCGCTCTCGTAACAACCGCTTACGTTACCGAAAATTCCGGCGAGCCAATCGAGGATCTGGCCACCGGAAAAACATCCAACTCATTTATCCACGGAGCTGGCCACGTGGACCCAAACAAAGCCTTAAATCCTGGTTTGGTTTACGACATCGATGTGAAAGACTACGTCGCCTTCCTCTGCGCCGTAGGATACGAGTTTCCTGGGATTCTGGTATTCCTTCAGGATCCAGCTCTTTACAACGCCTGCGAGACGAGCAAGCTCAGAACTGCCGGCGATCTCAATTACCCATCTTTCTCCGTTGTTTTCGGATCGACCGTCGATGTTTTGAAATACAGAAGAGTTGTGAAAAACGTGGGAAGCAACGTTGACGCGGTGTACGAAATCGGGGTTAAATCTCCGGCGAATGTTGAGATCGAGGTGTCTCCGAGCAAGCTTGCGTTTAGCAAGGAGAAGAGCGAGTTGGAATTCGAAGTCACGTTTAAGAGCGTTGTGCTCGGCGGCGGAGATGGATCCATGCCGGGTCATGAATTCGGGTCGATCGAGTGGACGGATGGTGAACACGTCGTCAAGAGTCCGGTGGCCGTTCAATGGAGTCAGAGCTCAGTTCAGTCTTTTTGATTGATATTTAAAATTGGGCTCTACTTTCATGGATTTCATCACACACAAAAATATTCTAATGGGGTTTGTTTAATGGGCCGATCTGTTTATTCATTGTTAAACTCTCACTCGTGGGTTAGACCACTATGGGTGAATGAGCAGAACAATTCGATTTACAATTGTAAAATTATTTTCTAAATAAAACTGACGATTTCAATTCGACCGGAAGAAAAAGGAAAAGAGAGTCGTTTTCCTGTAATTTGATAATAATCAAGATCAGTAATAGTGTCGCTTTTGATTCGGTGAACACTCTTTCGAAAAAGTATCTGATGAATTGTACAGACAGAAGGGGAACTAATGAAAATACTCTGGCAATAATCAACATTCAACAGCAAACAAGAAATAAATTAAATAAATAGAGAAATAATAGCCGTCCATGAATTGACGCACACACAAAACTAAAACAGAAGTCAAGAAAACGTATAATTTTCCGGCGAATGGTTTTCACTATAATTGCAATAAAGTTGACTTTGTATATAATTGAGACAAAAGGGGTCCCTTGAGCTACGTAACTATGTGTCGTCTTCTGCACCAGCACATAAATTGGCTCACTCTCGTCTATATTCAAGCTTAGCTAATAGCTACTAAACACTTCTCATCTCTATTCATTTGCGCTTTGACTAGATGATTACCGTTATACGAAATTGTAACCAATCGATAGATTTAGTCATGTCGAACTAAGAGCACATATACATGTATAACACATAGTAGTTAGTTCTTTCAAAAAAAAAAAATATATATACAGTAGTTAGTTACAGTCGTTAAATGTTTACCACAAAAACTTCATATACTATGGTGTTTAATAATGAACATTTAGTATCATTTACGATGAGAAGATGGAACATAATGCTAAATTATAACAAGCATCGTGTGCAGTCCATTTCCATTTACTAACTTTATATATATAATAAGATTCGATACCAAAAAAATATCAAAGGTATGTGGCACTAATGATATGTCGTGGTACTTAGGTCATCCCCAAAATATATATATATAACAACAAAAACTAGAAATCGTTTATGATTTGGACTTGGACATACGATATTAGTTTACGGAATTTACTCAATATGTCATATTAAGTCCTCCTAAGTGAACGCATAGCAAATTTCATGACTCTAGTCTCTCTCTATATATAAGTTTCTCCATTTAACTCCATAAACCATCTCTCTATATCTTTATCTCAGCAAAAACCTCTCGCCAATGGATCCTCATCCGATCATCACTTCCGCCTCCACCGTATTACGGTGGCCATCAACTCGCCGGAAGGTCTCCCTCCGCCGGCGTAAGCCACAAGTCGTACGCCTAGGCCGGAAAAACAGTACGCCACGTGGTAGGTTCACGCTCAAGAGGATGGTGACAAGGATGAGGTTCAAGTGGCTGAGACTGTATTATGTGAGGCTCGTGAAGAATATCAAAGGGTATTATTGTAATTTGGTGAAGGAGTTTGCTGACGCCGGAGCCTCCACCATTCAGCAGCGGATGACGATGGAAACGGCAGCTTTTGCCGCTCCTGGCTTAGGCCTCTCTTTCTATCCCATGTCAAACCAAGATCGACCTCGTTTTTTTCTTGTGTAGCTAACTTGACCAGTTTCGAATTATTTACCTTTTGTAATTTCTTTTTTGTTTGTTTTGGTTATAAAATGTCTCATTATGCTACTTTCAAGTTTCTTATTTAAAACTAGATGTAACAAGAAAAAAAATTACATATATACCAATTATGACAGAAAACTATGAAGAAACTATAAAAAGTTTTGAACAAAAAAAAATGATATGATAGAAGAGTTCGAATAATTGGACCATTGGATAATGGGAAGAAACTGGAACTGTAAGAGTTCTTGTCGGCGATCTAACTGAGAAACATATATATATTGCTATTCAAATTTTAGACATTGACTTACAGGATATGGATTTTTAAGAGTTCTTGTGGTCGAAATGTTGTTTAAATTAGATCATTTTCTATTTGAAGTGCGAAAATAGTATACCGAGTGTAATAGAAGTATCCATATTTGAGTTGAAACTCCAAATAGATAATGTATGAATTATTCGAAAATTAATTAGCACATAATACATATAGTTTAGAATCTTAATTTGTCTAAAAAAAAGTATAAATCATGAGTATTGTGTAAAAATTCTGTTAGTATGAAAACATATTTTATTTGTTTCAAACTTTTCTGTTCTATATCAATAAACTGTAGGTGGTTATTTGATAAAATTCATTGGGGTCATAAAATTTTGGTTTGTAAATATAGTGATAAATCATTGGGTTTATAAACCCAAAATGTCTTACTTTCTAGCCCAGACGAGACACCATTAAACTCCGACGGATCCACGGAAAAACGGTATTGGGCTAGTATTGATGTTTGTGTGCAAGGAAAAGTAAACCAAACCAATATATATACACTTGCGGGGCCGGGTTGTCATCTCGGTTAAGAGAAAACCGGAATGAAACACGTGAAGATGCGTGTGAGGAAAGAGTGATTGCGTGAAGGAGAGTAAAAGGCAGCGGAACAATTCCACGTGGAGAAGTAGTCATGGCTGACCAAAATTCCTAATACTTTGCTTCTTACGCAAATCGCATTCCATTATTTGTGGACCACCTCCTCTCTTTTTTTTTTTTTTTTGTTCTATGCTTAAACCGAAACTAACCGATTCGATCCCCTAAATATCTCGATTGCTGCATAATAAAACCAAATATTTTTCAAAAAACCAATTTCATATGATCTTCTTTCGTCTGCCGTCGATGTAAGAAAAAAACCACGTCATTGTGAAACGAACATATCAATACGTCTTTTATACACAAACGCACGTGACTCACGTGCTCTAGAATGTAACAGGCGTTGACTAGTTATGAGTCGTCTCTCAACCACCGTAGGAAATTTACATGATTCCGAATTTCGAAATAGCTTTTACGGCTGCAATTCAATCTACAATCCGAAGATTCAATTGTAGCCGTCCGATTTGGGTAGACACGCGATCCCCATAAGTCGTGGAAGTGAAGCTGGGGAGTGGACACGTGAGATGAGCGTGACATCCATTTTTTTCTTTCGTGGCCGCCAATTATGACGCGTGCCATGTTCAGTTTTACCGACTTGGCTCCACGTGGCGAAATTTCTTGCTGTGATGGTTTTTCTTCGAGACGCGTCGGTGTCCTTATCTACTAGTCATTTACAAGCCAATCTTCTAGAGAGCATCGGCAATAACCAAATAAACGTTTATTAAAATCTAATTCTCACCACTTACTGCATTGAAAATGTCACTGTTGCCCCTACATAAACCCATTGTTTCCGTAATTATTTTTGTCAACCAGTATATTCTACGATATGTTTGACTGACAATATTATTGCACAAGTTATTTTATTTAGTCATTTTGCAAAATTTAACCGGAAATGGTTGTTCTTTTTCATTGCCTTTTCTTCCCAAAAACATAATATATATATATATATATTTATATAGAAGGATCGTTATATAAAACATTACTGAAGTGCCAATCTATAACTTAGGTACTGTTTAACGAAGAAGGGGAATGGAGTTAAGGAGTTGTTTAACCTAGTCACCAATCTGTGGTTGATCCAGATCCCCATTACTGAAGTAACAAGGTCCAATGAAAAAGAAAAAAATACAAAGAAACTATAGAAACAAGACATTAAGGAGAAGAACAAAAAATAGAGTAGCAGACAGAGAAGACATTATCTCATGGTGGACCCTCATTTATACAATTTGCTGATTTTAATTCATGTTTAAAGTAGCAGACTCCAGTTGCTAAAAAAAAAAAATTATATGACACACGTCATATTTTTATATAAATAACAATTATAAATGAATAAAGGTGATGCAAATTGGATGACTCATCTGCCGTAGATATAACTTTTTTTAAACAAATTGTGAATAATTAAAAATAAAAAGATTCCAAGAGGATAATTCTTATTTTATAAAATGATTGTGTTTGGGCAAAGTTAAAAAAGGATTACTTTACTGAATTACTGAATCTATACCCAACAAAAGGATCAATGACTAAATAAAGCATTTATGAATACTGATTAAAAAATATTACTATAATTTGCGGAAAAAACTGTTAAGAAATAGTTTCATTTAATTCATATATAAGGTTAATGTTGAACGTGAGTTCGCACGGGTCAAACAAGTCAACTTATGTTGAAGAGTTCAAAGATTTTCTGTTAAATTAAGCTTGGATCGGCAACGAAATAAGAACAAAGTTTAAGACATGGTGAGGTGAGTTTGACGAGGTGGCGAGGTGAGGTGAGTTTGGCGAGGTGACGAAGTGAGGTGAGCTTGATGAGGTGATGAGGTGAGGTGAGCTTGACGAGGTGACGAGGTGAGATCAGCTTGACGAGGTGATGAGGTGAGATCAGCTTGACGAGGTGACGAGGTGAGATCAGTTTGACGAGGTGATGAGGTGAGATAAGTTTGACGAGGTGGCAGAGAATTTGGCGAGGTGATGGTGAATTTGGCGAAGTGGGAGTGATTTTGGCGAGGTGATGATGATTTTGGCGAGGTGATGGTGAATTTGGCAAGGTGGGAGTGATTTTGGCGAGGTAATGGTGATTTTGGCGAGGTGAGAGGGATTTTGGCGAGGTGGGAGTGATTTTGGCGAGGTGATGGTGATTTTGGCGAGGTAGGAGTGATTTTGGCGAGGTGATGGTGAATTTGGCAGGGTGGGAGTGATTTTGGCGAGGTGATGGTGATTTTGGCGAGGTGGGTGTTCTCATCCCTTCACGAGCTATTTCTCTTCTCCTTTCCGAGATCCCTTTTCTTGGTCTCCTCCTCTCTTCTATTTATAGTGAGCGAGTAGGTGACGTGATGACGGTGGGATGATTTTTTGGGTCTTGTTAATGGGCCAAAATTGTAATGCTGGTGGATTTTGATGGGCCTGTTGGGCTAAATAAAGGGTGCTAAACCCACCTTCAACAGTTAATAAGTATTTAAGATTGATAATAGTAGATTACCATTAAATCTGTAATAAGTTTAAACTTATAAATACAAAAAAGAAATCGAACAATAAATTACGTAATCTGGACTTTATCAAATAACTACTAATTATGAGTCTTGTACTATATTTCCTTGTTTTATCATACGAGTTAGGTTAAAGCACAATACTCTTGAAATGTCTTTTATGAACACACAAAAGACATTTAGTGAATCTATAAACTATGCCGTAATTTTTATTTTATCGCCATTGGAGTTGAGATATCGATGTCATCTGATTGGATATTGTTAATTATTGATGTCATCTGATTGGATATTGTTAATCAATTAGCGTGTCATCCCTCTTTTACGAGTGTGCAAGCCTCCAAAGAATTAGCTTTAGTTAAAGATGTACTAGTAGTATCGCCTAAACTATTTGTGTTTTGAGTTTGGAAGACAGATTGATAACTTGACATAAAGCAATATTTACAAAGTATAAAATCTTCTGATTTATAGATCTTGGTTCGGGTTAAGCACTAAAAATATTTTATTCTTTAGAGATATTGAATCTATACCCAATAAACGAAAATTATATTTTTTTATATATACTTATCATTTACGTCAGCAGTGGAGGATTACGACATAACGAGATTAGACTGTACTAATCCCACTTAGTCAACAACAATTACCGAATAACCGAAAGGGTATTTAAGTAATTATGTTTACCGGTTTAGCTTGGTCGGCCAAACTTAAACAGACGAATATGGATGGAGAGAGAGTGGTTTCTATGAAAAATCGATGAGGGAGAAATAAATATCTAATTTTTACTTCCTTAAAGCAAAGCGTCTTCCTCTCTTCTTCTTCCTTACACACACCCCCTCTTGTCTGCCTTCGAGTCGTATTCTTCAATTTCATCTCTAAACTCGTATAAACTGTATATACCTTAGGTTTTGATCTGTTCTTCGCATCTAAGTAGATTTTTTTTTTCTTTTAAATAAAATTCTTTCTAGAACTCCGTATCAGTCTGGTTTTCTGGAATTTAGGGTGGGGAATTTCGTGGGTTTTGAGTAATCTGTTTGTCTCCATAGAAAAAAGGTGACTTTTGATTCCCGGGAAATTGACGTGTTTGGGGAGCTAATTCTGGGAATTTGCACAGGATATTCTTTATTCATTTTCTCTTCGTTCTTTGATTTTTCTGAAACCTGAACCTTCGGATTCTAAACCAGAACCAACGAGCTCCAATGGTGGTGGCGACGACCATAGCGCTTTACGCTAGCCCACCTAGCAGCGTTTGTTCCACGCCGCATCAGATCAACGCTTGTGATCTCGATCTGAGCTCCAGGAGTTCGTCGGCGTCTCCTTCGACGTCTTCTTCGCCGCAGAAACCCATCGTCGGAGGCCTCTCTTCGCTTTTCTCCGGCGCATCCGTCAAATCTTCAGCTTCTATCGGGGTTGAGGAATTTTCGTCCTTACGCCATGATCGGAGTGAGGATTTGAAAGATCTGAGCTTGAGCAGCTCCTTTTGTTATTCTCCTGCGAAATTCGTGGGTTCCTCGTATCATAGACGAGACCACCAAAGCCCCATCTCTGTGCTTCATGGTCCAGTCTCGTGTAGCTGCAGCCCTCCGATGAGGGTTTCTCGCGATCGGAATCTAGATGGAAGCTTCCATGGGTCTCTTCGCGTAGGAGCTAGCGGATTGTTCAATGGATTCGTAAGGAAAGCCGTGGGTTCGTGTGTGGATTACGAATTGGGATCGTCTTCTTCGGATTCGGATCTCGTTGATGAGCTAACGTTTACTATGGAGGATGGATTTGGGGCAGATGCGAGACAGCCATATGCTAGGGATTTGCTAAGACGTGCTCAGCTGAGGCACAAAATCTTCAAAGATGAATCTGTGATCAAAGCATTTTACGAAGCAGAGAAAGCTCATAGAGGACAGGTAGAGAGAGAGGCCTTAAATCACTTCTTTTTCCATAAATTTTGATTCTTGTTTGCTTTTGGTGACTGAAAGTTTTCGTTTGATGTGTTTAAAATTAGATGAGAGCTAGTGGTGATCCTTACCTGCAACATTGCGTTGAGACTGCTATGTTATTGGCTAATATCGGAGCTAACTCAACTGTTGTTGTGGCTGGGCTTCTTCACGACACCATGGACGATTCATTCATGAGCTATGATTATATTCTCAGGAACTTTGGAGCAGGAGTTGCTGATTTGGTCGAAGGGGTAAGAAATTCTGTAACAACTGTTGTCTTTTTTTATTTGATTGGTTGAGATTCTTGGTTTGGAAAAAACCGTGCTTATTAGTAGCTGATTGAGCTCAATGTGTGTTTTGTATATAGGTCTCAAAGCTTAGCCAACTGAGCAAACTCGCTAGAGAGAACAATACCGCGTGTAAAACCGTTGAAGCAGATCGCTTGCACACCATGTTTCTTGCAATGGCAGATGCAAGAGCTGTTCTTATCAAACTTGCTGATCGTCTGCACAACATGAAGACGCTTTACGCTTTGTCCCCAGTAAAGCAGCAGAGATTTGCCAAAGAAACGCTTGAAATATTCGCACCTTTGGCTAACCGGTTAGGGATCTCTACCTGGAAAGTTCAGCTTGAAAATCTATGTTTCAAGCATCTTTACCCACAACAGCATAACGAGATGTCAACCATGCTTGAGGATTCATTCGATGAAGCCATGATTACTTCCGCAATAGAGAAATTGGAGCAAGCTCTCAAGAAAGAAGGCATTTCTTACCATGTTCTCTGTGGCCGGCACAAGAGCTTGTATAGTATTTACTGCAAGATGTTGAAGTAAGTTCTCCTTCACTCATTAACATATGGAACAGTGTGAGTGAAACCAGAAGACTAATGTTGATGTTAAATTTTCTCGATTATACCAGGAAAAAGCTAACAGTGGATGAAATACATGACATTCATGGGTTACGTTTGATCGTTAACAACGAAGGAGATTGTTACAAGGCCTTAAGAGTAGTTCATGGTTTATGGTCTGAAGTTCCTGGAAAGCTCAAGGATTACATAACTCATCCCAAGTTCAATGGGTAAGTTCATATACCTGTTGTTTAAGTTGTGGCTTGTTAAAGTGTTACGAATCTGACTTTAGTATTTGTTACTTTTTATATTTTAGGTATCAATCTTTGCACACGGTAGTTATGGACAATGGAACGGTTCCACTTGAAGTCCAAATACGTACACAGGAGATGCATTTGCAGGCTGAATTTGGCTTTGCAGCTCACTGGAGGTACAAGGAAGGTGACTGCAAATACTCTTCGTTTGTGCTTCAGATGGTTGAATGGGCTCGATGGGTTGTAACTTGGCACTGCGAAACAATGAGCAAAGACCGCTCTTCCATCAGTTCTTCTGATTCCATCAAACCCCCTTGCAAGTTTCCGTCTCACTCCGGAGACTGCCCGGCTTCTTACAAGCCTAACAGTAGCCAGGACGGACCAGTCTATGTCATCGTAATCGAAAATGACAAGGTTTGTTATAAACTTGCTTTTTAATAGTCTTGTCGAGTACTAGAGAGTATAAGGCTTAAGATTGTTATACTGAACAAATCGGAAAAATGCAGATGTCTGTGCAAGAATTTCCAGAGAGTTCAACAGTCTCGGATCTGCTGAGCCGGGCGGGGCCAGGGAGCTCGAGGTGGTCCATACCAGCGAAGGAAGAACTAAGACCGAGGCTGAACCAGAGACCTGTGAGCGACCTCAAGTGGAAGCTGAAGATGGGTGATGTGGTGGAGCTGACTCCACCAATACCTGATGAGTCTCTGAGTGAATACAGAGAAGAGATTCAACGGATGTATGATCGAGGACTCGCGTTTTCCCGCCCTGGGGCCGTGGTCGGATGGGGAAGTTGATGAGTCTTTAAGGGGCTTGTTAACTATGTGTATATATATATGTATTTAGTAATGATTAATTTGTTGTACATAGCAAATGCTTCTGTTAATTTAATCCAAAGCTGGAAAAAGCTAAAAAGCATTACTGTTAAAATTTCCAAAAAAAGAAGCTCATATAAATTTCATTTACATGTATATATTTTTGGTCACCATAGTTCTTCACTAGTATCAATTTTATCAATCTTTGCCAATCTAGTAGCACTCTATTAGCAAAAGAGTATCAAATTACTTAATATATCTTGAGAGGCTAAAAGTAAAAGAGTATCAAATTGTGATCCTGACATGCCATCCTAGATGGAAAATGCTGCATTGGCTACTTGAAAATAAAATAACTTTGCAGATAACACAGTTTATACAAAGCTTTAGTTTGGAAACTTACAAGGAAAATTAAGACAAACACAAAGAGGCTAGCTACTTCCACAAGGAACAAAATGAAACTGCCTCTCCTTTCCATAATAACCCAGCAAAGGTATCTTCATCTTCCATCCTTAGTTCCCAATTGCTGTCATATTTTCTCAGTAAAGATTTGGCTCCATCAATTGCATCCTCTCCAAACGCTTCTGCGGCAAAACCAGCTTTTCTCATCCTTTCATACCATATATCTTTTCCCTCATTCATCTCTCCTGAACTCATCAACACCTTTGCTGCCTCTCCTTCCATTAGCTTCCTCTCTTCGCTACTCTCTTCTTTGAACCCATAGCTTGTTGAATCCAGAAACTTCCAAAGATACTCAAGTTTCCTCGCAAATCCTGCTGCAAAGTCTCCACTGCTACTGTATTCCCCATTGTACTCACAAAGAACCACTCCTTTTGGTTTCAAATTTCTCAGTGCTCTCAAAGCCTCACTTTTCTCATCAGGGGTACTTTGCTTCAGTTGATGCAGCCTAAACTGAGCACAGACGATCACGGTCTCATGAGATGAGGTATCACTGAGTTGGAGGAACTTGTCAACTACATTGATCTGGAGGTTGATGTTAAGGGACCGAGCAAAGCCAATGAGTTGAGAACCATAATTGTAATCAGGTGGACCAACAGAGAAAGGTATGTCTGCGGTTAGATGGGATACAATGGTTATTCGAACACGAGGAGGAGGTCCTTCTGGTCTGCAGCACAGAGCTTCCAGCAAAGTGGGCCATTGCATACCGTGAGAAACACCAATATCAAGAATATGAAGATCCTTTTTATCTCTGGGATCTTGTGCTAGAATCTGCAGGATAGCTGAGTTTGCCATGTTGTTAGGCAAAGCAAACCAAGGGCTTACCTCATAGAACTTGAGCAAAGTCTTTTGAAACATCTTCACTTCTGCGGAAGCAAACGTAACAGAGGATGTAACAGAGGAGGAGGTTGAAATATGATGTTGCAACGCTTGAAGACCAAAAACTGCAAGCCGATGATTAGCATCCCCAGAAGAAGAGGCAAGTTCAGAGAGAACACAAAGGTAATGTTGAACCCTTGATGAGTTCCTTGCCGTGATTGCCAAGGCACAAGGGTTAAGAAGTTGTTCTGCCCACCTCTTTTCCTTGTTACCATCTTTGCAGCTCATCTCACTAGACTTCTTTGCTTTCCTCTTGCTCCTTGCTGATCTTTTCACTAGTTGGTCATCGATAAGCCCATCATGGTTCCTTTTCATGGACTGCTCGTTTGGTTGATGAAATACGGGTGGAGGATCCGAACTAATGACTGGAGCTCCGGTTACCACTTCCAGGTTTGTTGCTTCACAACCCATAAGTGCACTAAGATCTTGACTATAGCTATGAATAAAATCATATCCCGGATCTTGAGCCTGATCCCATTCCCACGTTTGAGACCCGTCGAACTCGTGGAGCAAATAAGAATCATCGAATTCAGGTAATGGGGTTAAGGACATGGAATCCTCAAGCCAGCCTAGGACTTGATCTAGAGTTTGATTTGGTGGTTCTGTTTCTTCTAACGACATTGAATACATGATGAGAAAGGTATTGTTTGTGAGTAGGTGATAGGGTTAAGGTTTAAGATAAACAATAACAGGAATAGAAAGCATTTGGATCGGAGGAGATCTACGATCAGAATCGAATATAACTTGAAATGGCGTGTGTGGTCTTATATAGGATGTGCATGTCGAAGAGTATAATAACTACCTTTAGAAAATGGTCTTGAAAGTTGTGAGAGTTACCATTTGAATATTACAATTTGATTTGCATTTCTTAAATCAATTAGTCTCTTCACTTATTGCAATTTGGGACCATTGTTGGTGGTTGTAGTGTACTATTTATGTGCTGCATGTTATATATGGGTGTTTCAATAGAAGATTTGAGAAATATATAAAGGTATGAATCTGTATAATGATGTTGTCATTAGTATAATAGTATTTATAATAACCAAGGTTTAGATTGTGGGGACATATTATGATGCAGACATAGAATCTGGTTTTATCTTCTCTTTGTTGGTCTCGAGGATAATCTTTTTTTATGGTCTGACGGTTTGTCTATTAAAACTCTACTGGTTAAAAAATTATAACCTATCTTCGCGTATTAGTTTGGAATATGTAGAAGAATATTATTTTCCGAAAACATTAGATATCAACCATTATATATATATATATATATAAGTTTGTGTCACAAGATAGATATTGGAATGAATAACATTATGAACATATTGTCCAACAGTCCAATACGAATGATTTATTAATCTTTGTGGTCCTGCGGAACTATGTCCAAATATTGAAAGCTTTTTTTATAATAGTTGGAGGAAAATCATAGCATCCATTTCTATAATAAAACATAACAAGCTTTCCCTCTCTTTTTTGACATCATTACAAGCTTTCAAGAAACTGATGTTTGCCCACAAACAGCGATTGACTATGAATTAATAAAAATTTAGTTTGCGTTATTGCGTATATGTTTCAAACATCTTAGAAAACTAACATGATATATGAATTCAATATCCACAAGACCACACCTGATAGGCTTTTATAACTCTTTATAAATCCACAACTAGATGTCTAGATATATAAATTCAATGTCCACAATCCAACACATAATATTTTTAAAAGATTTAGAGAAATGTATGATCATTATTGATTCGAGCAGTACAACAAATTATTGATTTGTGACGCCTATTTGGTTGGTGAATGATTTGCAATCGTAAAGATTGTGGATGTAGGAATTGATTGGAGGATATAAACGTCAAGACAAAATATAAATTAACCTTAATAAAATGAGACAAAGACATGTTGAATCGTTGGTGTTGGTCAAATGAGGTTCAATGGACCACCTGACGATCTTTATTTGGATGTAAATGTCTATTACTAATGTCAATCTTTCAGACGTTTATTTTGAACTGAACAAATTGTTTTCAATTATAATAGAAAACCATATGGATTCGGTAAAAGCTATCTTTGTGAGAATTGAGCTAAATCAATGAAGATATTTACTATTGATTGATTTAAATACAAAGTCTTGCAAGAGTTTAGAGCTGAAATGGACTATATAGGCAGCAGAAGGTGAAGTGAGCTCTAAAGAGTAAAAAAAAAAAAAAAATCACATCTTTACATAAACCACAAATCCATGTGGGGTTCGTTTAATCAAAACGATTAAGTTCTAACCAAGTAGACAAACAATACAGCAACAAACCATAAACAATCACATAAAACCCCCCAATAATAGTTAAAAGATTTCAACTTTTTATTTTTTCTTTTGCAGTAGAGATTTGCAGAAAGCAGACTAAAAAGACAGAAACTTCTTTATGGATCATTAATAGCCAAGGATGACTTCCCGTCATGATTTGATGGAGAAACAGTGTCACATGAGAACTGAGACATGGTGGTTTGATGGATAACCTGAGAACCTGAATTGTGGGTTTTGTTGGAACATGTCGTTATTGTTCCCAGTTAAGTCCGAACAAGATGTTGCCGAGCCGCTAGACCCGACCCCAACGCCCGGAATTTCCCTTTGCCTGAACTTTCCCTGAGGGTTCTTGAAGAAACGCGGCGTGCCCAAGAATGAAGGAGATTGTGGAGATTTTGATTCTTGGAGCTTCTTTGTGTTGAGGAATCGCCCACCAGAGCCTCTAGCTCTCTTTAAAGCGTGAAGGTGGCGAGACTCGTGAAGATATGGCTGCATAATTCATAGACAAATTCAGTCTCTTTAGACATACAAAAAAAAAAATCTCTGAAACGTTATATAGTTATTCTGATTATCAGAATAGTTTTATAGAGATGACCATACTTTGCGGACTTTGATGAGCTTGTTCTGAGCTTCAAGCTTTGCACGGTGTTGTCTGCGACGTAGAATGGCTTGGTATTGTTTCGCATTGACGAAGATTGGTTCGTTCTCTTGAGTGTTGTGAGGCAAAAGCATTCTACAAGGAACCAACCCTCCAATTTGTGGATGCTGCACCTTCAATTAATAAAGATCATAAATCGTTTATGCAAAGGCTTTAGTGCGATAAGATGAAACAGCAGCATTATCTTGGAATGTAACAACTTTGTATTACCGTGTGTTGTGATGCATACGGAAAAGACATGAAACCATTGTAATGTGGCGTTTCAGTGCCATGTAGAGGCCAAGAAGCCTGAGGGTATAAAAGATAGACGTTATTATTAGTCTCGTATTTACAAGATTTATGATAAGGTCAAAGATGATTGACAAATTAACCTCAATAGTAGAAGGAACCGCTGAATTTTGAGAGACCTTCGACAAGATTGACTTTGAATGACTTCCACTAGGATTCCCTGCGTTTTCTTTGTAACCTGCATCTGAAACAAGAACCCATAGATCAGCTACAACACATTGCATGAACTCTAATTCGGGTATAAAAAAAGTTGAAAGCTTTGGACCTGAGAGATGGGTTACACTACTGTGGCCATAACGCTTGTTGTTATTATGTTCCCCCAAACTTGCAACCTCACCAGATGAGTCTCCTCGAGTGGATTGTGTTGAGGAAGAATCATGCTCCTGCAACTGAAAACCAGTTTGTTGCATCCCTGGGAAATGGGTAGACATCATCTCCATCTTCATGCTTAATGTGTTGTTGCTTTTGTCGGTCATGGATGCTGATCCTTGGACATTTGAGTTTTTTAACACAGAGTTTCCCCAAGAAGTTGCAGGAAAGGACAATGAATCTTTGCTATGAAAATTTTGCATTGTCTGAAACAATATTTCACTAAGCTAATCTTTCAGACCATAGTAGATCCATCATGAGATAAGAGATGTTTTTTCCAGCAACCTATAATCCAAATCCCAGGTCATGATATTGCATTAAATTGGAACGAATCTAAACAGTTCTTGATCCAAAGGAAGAGCAACAAACAGCAGATCTAAGAGAACAAAAAAAGAAAGAAACCACAGAGCAGATCCGGTTATCATACTAAGCAGAAAGCAAAGATTCAGAATTTGAGAATCAACGGCCTAACGAATCAGATAAAAAAAAAACAGATTTTTGATTCATCACTGTAGCGCTTAGAGAAAAGCACAAACATGCAATACCAGTAACTGGTAAATCATAAATTCAATCGACGAGATTCCCGGAATTTGAACGAAATAAGACATGAGAAATTGAAACTCCTTCGAACTTTACTGATCTAGTGAAAAAAAAACAAAAAAAAAAAACGAGAAAACAGAACATAACTAAAAGAAGAAACAAAAAGATTTTCTCACCTATCAGGTAATCACCTAAAAATGGCTTTTTTTCTCTTCTTCTTCTGAAAGCAGAGTACAAGTAGTCAAATAGAGAGACCCAAAACTAGAAAATCAATGGATTTGGTGAAGATGGAGAGAGAAAAGGAAAACAGATCATGTAAGGTTGAGATGATGCATGTCTCCTTCCTCAAAACATGGCATCTCTCTCCCTCTTTCTCTTTATCTCTTTCACTGTCTCTGCAAATTGGGTATTTATTGGCTATGGCTTGAAAGCTTATTTGTACCTCACTTTTTTATTTCTCTTCGGCAATACCAATTTTTTCGCACCACTAATTTCACCATGAAACACTACCTTTTAGCTTACATTAATTAGTATTATTCGTTAATTTTAATTAATAAACACTCTTATCTTCCTTTTGTGTTTATATTCCTTTTTATTTTTTGTTGTTGTCTCTCTTTACTGTTACCAAATAAAATCATATAAATAGTGAGCTCTATAAATAATCCAGTTGTATAAAGAGGTTAGTACAAGTCTTCTCTATTTGGTTAGAGTTTTTAAAAGTCGTCTATTTGGTTAATACTCTCTCTTTTAATGATGAACTTTAAGATTTTTTAAAAAGGCTTCACAAGAGAAATTGTAAGAGAGAGAGAGAGAGATAATCAGGTGTGTAAGGCCTACGGTACTATCGGATTCTATGTTTTGATGTGATGAAAATTTGTCATTCGAAAAACCAGTGACACATTTGTTCCCTTTCAATATTTTTTTATATTTTAATCACAGCCGCCACATCGCTGTTCAAAAATCCACGCGCGCCTCGATCGCGCGTGATTTTACATCCGATGTTTGAAAGATAAACCACGTCACATATATAACATAGATACATATATAGATACTTCCCTTTCTTTTATAGAAAAATGAAAAATCTAGGGGCAAAGCAAAAGTCAGTGGAGATTGTCAACATCTAACGCAACCATATAAGTATTTTATAAAAAAATTGTGGATGTGAACTTGTTAATTACTTCGCGTAAAAAGATATATAAATCAAGTCAAGCATAGAGATGAATTTTTTAATATAGAAAATCTGGCAACTGTAAATGAACATTCCCGAACACAAGTAAAGTATCGTAGTTGAGGATTATTTTTGTCTGCGTCTTCTTTCGGTATGATTGCTCATTTAATTTAGGTGATTAATGACATTTTTTTTTTAATATGATGCAAATGCATATGGTGGATTTTCAAGTGAGGCAGTCATATAAAGTTTCATTTAAACCTTTATTTCATAGAACACACAAAGTCATAAACACACACATAAGGAGGGTGAATCTATGTACAAGTATCAAAGTCGTATTATTTTTCACTAATGCTTACCTTATGACCAGATGCTACTATGAGTGACTATTTCAGGGCTTGCTTTCCTCAAGTTTCTGCATAAGATAGTGAAAGCAAACAATCAATGAACGGATTCGTTTCTTTGACGTGTTCATTTGCTTTAAAAGTAAAGCTAAATACGGGTACTAAAAATGCCCTAGTCACACGTTAATTACGTCTAGAAGTTTTAGGAATTTTTGATCAAATTAAAAGCAAAAAAAATTACAACTCTTGTGAAAGGATTTTAGGATACCGAAGGATGTACGTATTATGTGTATCTTCATTGGAATCTCTCTACCTAGATACCATTTCGCTAAATGAAAAGCAGATTTTTCTTCTTGATCGATTTTGACCATCCCATTACATTTTCTTAAATTCTTTAATGAATATTTTGGGATAAAATGTAATTATGACGCTTCTCACCACACAACATAGTGGAGACAACAACTCCCTTAGGATGGATCCTCCTTTACAGCAACGGAACATTCATAGAATGTAATATGGATAAAATTTCAAGGACGGCAATACTTGAGAGGAGGCGGAATGCACATTACTATTGTGTGCATTGCAAGATTTGAATTTGAAGGTGACAACCTAAGCATAAATCGGATCATCAATGGTAATATTTAACACTTCAACAGTATCTGGTTACTATCCGAAGCTGGTTATATTATATGTTTGAAGAGATAAAATTCAATTTTTTTGGAGTCGTATTAGCAATGCATGCGCCCATCTGTTTAGTAAGGATAGCCATTGTCGATTTGAATTCTTGGTCGTTATATCACTGTTATCCAACTTTTTCTTATAAGTTGTGTAACAAACGGTTGCGATTTTCAAATCCAATAAAAGTCATCTAGTCGGATTTTCACAAGTTTTGGATTCTAAAAGATAAAATACAAAAATCAGCCGCCATGCACACGCACACAAATTGCGAAAGTGAGGACACGAGAGAAAAACCTAAACTCTAAAATATGTATATCCGTTCTTTTCAGATACAAGAAAACAGACAAGTACATATAGATCGTTCCTTTTTTTTTTCTTTTTTTTTTATTACAGATTAAAATTTCCGATCGGGAAAGCTAAAAAGAAGACGAACATGGTTTCAGTAACTTGGGGTAAGGAAGAAATTAAGAGCGTAAACCAAAACAGAGGGTTGGTTCGTTCAGGTCCTTCACACAAAAAAAGCAACATCATCACCATCAGGTTTTTTTACTCTCGTCCATGATTATATGGATTTTCCTGTTAAAAAAAAAACACAGAGAGATCTCAGCATCCGAAAGCTCAACGCTCCCTTTGAACATAAAACAAAAGAAGAAGAAGCAATAACCGGCTGGTAATGAGGCGGCGGCATGTAGACAACTGGCGGCCTAGGCTGACCAAGCATCATCTGCTGCTGCTGCTGCTGCTGCTGCTGCTGCGGATACTACAACATCACATTTCCCTCACCATTAGAGACTTCTTTCTTTTTAAGAATTTTGATGATTATCATAATAATAAGGGTTTGTGTGTGTGTGTGTGAGTGTCAAACCTGGGGCTGTGCACCTGGAGGATAATATGTTTGAAGATGTTGCTGGCCATGATAATACATCATCTGCTGCTGCTGCTGGCCAGGATATTGCGGTTGCATCTGCCAATTTTTTGCATGGCCAATACGAGTTTTAGAGACCATATTTCGTTTTTTTTTTCAGTAAAATTTACAGCACCAATGAACTTACCCCGTAACTAACAGGCATTCCAGGCATCTGCTGAACAGGACCAGCAGGGTAGTAGAAGGAGGCATCTGCTACTGGAGATTGAGGCCGCACAGGAGCTGGAGATTGTGATGGTTTGAAACTCTTTGCGTTTGGATTGAGTTTGAATTCCTGATCAGACCCAATGACTCATGATTAATAAAAACGAAAACAACTCTTTATCTTTATTTCAGTCTGAACAAATCAAATAACAAAACCTTTGCATTCGGATTAAGCGTGGACTTTTCTGATGACGACAAAGAACCAATGGAGGAGCTTGGTGATAGTCTAGGACGACTTGATGTTGAAGGAGCTGGGCGGCTTTCTGAACTTCTAGAAGAGATGTCAGGTTTTGTTTTACCAGAAACTTGACTGACTTGTTTTTCTCTCTCAGCAACAGCCTTCGTCACCGAGGTTGCACCACCACCACCAAGTTTTGGACCTTCGTTGATATCTATATTCCAAGATGCATATTTTTAGTAGCTTTATGTGAAAATAAATAACTGTGTCAGGCCGAGGAAAAACGTGAGTCCTGCTCGTTAAAAATTAATACTACCACTAGAATATGAAATCCCGTTCAGACTTCTCTGTGGGCATCAATTGTTCAAACGGATAAACAAATATAGAGGGAATGCAGATATAAAAAAAAACACTGCAATAAAGAAGTAGCATATACCTCCATGACCAGAAACTGATTCCTCAGGGGACTGTAAATACAAAAGGAAGCCAAAGAACCAATATTAAAAAAAAAAAAAAAAATAGAACAGGAATAAACGCAAATGCAATCTGGATTACTGTTGAAATTATTCTGTTACTGGGGGAAACCTCTGGATTACTGTTGTTTCTTCGCTCACCCAGCTGGCTCTCACTGTTATGTCAACAGAAATCCCAATGTGAGACAAGTCTTTTAGATGATTTTCCAGAATATAAAGTCTGTAGCCTAATGTCAAATATTAAAAAAAAAAAAATAACCTGATACTGCCGCCTGGGGCAGGAGATTCTCTGGATCTCTGCTCACCAGATATCGAGCAGCTTTGATCTACATTTGTATCTTTCCGAGGAGGCTGACTGTCACCCCGTATTTTTTCATAGCCCTTGCCACTAGAAGAAGCTGACTTCTGGCCATCAGAAGTAGATGAACCACCAAAAGTCTGATCGTTGCTAGTATCCAGCAATTTGTCTTCCTCTTCATCAAACCCACTATCATCAAAGCCATCAACTGGACGGACAGCTGAGTATTTAGTTTCCTCGTCAATATCAAATTTCTCATTAAGCTGAAGGCCTCTTTCCTGCAGGCATGAAGAATTTACAAATTTGGTCTTGTAACAACAACAACAAAAACCTAGGAATCAAGCTGAAAATAAAAAACCCAAAAAATCACCTCTGCCACATGAAGATCTCGGGTATTCTCACCCTCAATCTCTCTTGCAATTCTCACGGCTTGCTCTTCGAGCTCTCTAGTCCGAGTAGCTCTCTCAATTTTTGTGGTATAGAGTTCCTCATCGAAAGTGCTCTTTACTCCAAACAGTGACTCATTCGCCTTAAACTGATCCCATCCCCTACAAGCAAAAACGTATCAGCTGAGCATATTACCAGTAAATACCCATGTTACGAGAAATCTCAGGGAAAAAAAAAGCGTAATAGCTTCACAGCAAAGATGGCTCATAAGAGAGACAACTATGGAAACAGTAGTCTTCCTTATCTTATGGACAGAGATATAGAAAGAGAATAGCTTTCCAAAATGAAGATCATAAGCATAGTGTAAAGTGCAAGCACAAAAATATCTATTCATTCCCACCATTCTCTCATCTAAAAATCTCAGCAAAAGAAACCGTGGACAAATGATCCAGCTGACAATTCTGCATTTCAAACATTCAATAAATAAATTTAACAAGAAATTCAAATATGTGTATATACCTATTCCAAGGGTTATCAAACACATTTTCTAGACCCTGTGGAGCATCCTCATCAGGTACCCAGCGTTGTAGCACTCTTCCGTGATTAACATGACTAGACTGTGATATAGAAGAGTCCGTCAACAGCTCCATCGGCTTCTCACTCTGAACGGCATTTAACATTCCGTCACTGGATACAGAGAGATCCTAACACCAAAATTAATGGTAAAAGGAATGACAATGTCAATCTCAAATTAATCTCCCTGCCATGTAATGTAACACATTGACATAAACTTAATCAGAAAAAAGTTCTCCTGTAGTTAATAAAAGCAAGCACACCTTAGCTACAACTTGCACAAGTTCATCCGCAGGTATAATGAGTGTCTTGGAAGGTGGCTTTCTGACAAATTCGGAACGGGATTTATGCCCTCGTAAAATACCTTCCTTAATCAAGGATGCCATCTTTAGAATGATTCCTGGAAGTTACAAAAAAAAACAATAAATGGCAAGAAATGGTAGTGTCTTTTTAAGCGTTACATCTTTAAGGAAAACAAAAATTCTAATACAGAGCCTCACCAAAATTCTTCTCTACATCAGCAGCATGAAATATACCACTATACACCGATCCATTTTTCAGATGCACTTCCACATGATGCCCAATCGTACATGTTGTGAGGTACACTAAACTATCGCGCGAATGCTTTTTCAAGCTTCCAGCTTTCCCATTGAATGCTGAATATATATATCAACAAGCATGAGAGCTCAGAACATGACGTTGCAGATATATCAAAGAGTATCAACAGCAAACCTGCATTTGAAGTGTTTGCGGGATGTGACTTTACAGGCTGTGGCTTATTCGAAACTCCCTCTCTTTCCCCTCTCTTCTGTGGAGATCCGTTTAATGACGAATTCATTGCAGCCTCAAACTGTTCAAACTAACAAGGAAAGAGAGATAAAGAAGAAGAAAAAACAGAAGATAGTCGGATAAAGGTAATTGACAAAAACAAGCATGGGAACAAACAACAAGCCTCGCCATAACATTAAAAACAACCATAAACAAGAGCTGGATTCATGCATCAAATACATACTGATTAGTCTAAGGAACATTGGATTGTTTATGGATGAAAAACCGGCAAAAAGATGAAGACGAAGAAGATAGTGTTGATTTCAAAGATTATTTCGCTCGGGAAATATGAACAACCGTAATGGATGCAAAACCAAAGAGACGCAAGAACTGAAGGAATTAGAGTAAATCAATGATACAATCATCAGTACTAAATAAAAAGGATCTCCAACGTATTCGAACTTGAACTACGTATTCCAGTAAAACAAACCCTAAATCGGCCACTTGAATCACCAAATTCCCGAAATCTGATCCGATAACGCCGAAGAATAAAGAAGCAAAGTCAATGAATCAAATAGCTCCTAGCTAAAGACATTAGAGATCATTACCTCCAAATGCTAGCCCGATCAGGAACCAACCCGCCGGCACAACTATATACGAATGCTCCGAAAGGGGACGAGCTCGATAGTTTCCAAAGCAGCGAGTTAGGGCTTCTCACAGAGCTAAGATTCGCGTGGAGAGAGTGACGGTAAACTATTCACCATGAATCTTAGAGCAGAAGATATTCGGAGACAATGATCGGAGCTGAGTAACTCTTTGATTTTGGCGAGAAGCAAAATGATGAAAAGAAAGAAGAGCTATACAAGAAACAGATCGTTGTGTGGGATGTAATCACCTACGAGAAGTGCATGGTAAGCTAATATGGTTTCTTCCTGTGACAAAATTCAGTTTTGAGAGGGCTATTAACTATATTTGGGCCCAATCAACCATGGGCTCAAATGGGATTCTTAACTGTATTTGGAAACTTTATGACCCCAACTTGTTTTTCCTTCTTCTTCTGTATTCCCTTTCATCAATCACTTACCTTAGCCATTAAGAACTTTTAATTTATGCAATGCTTTTAGTAAAAATAAAGGGATCGTTCTACATCTTTAGACACACATAAAAAAACACATAAATGATCAAGCCTTCGATTATAATTTACCTTTATTTCACTCCCGAAAGAGATCAGCAAGAATAAAGAGAATTATCAAAGCGTTTCCTGAAGCAAAGCATACTTTGAAATGAAGTTTTGCCTAACTTAGCTTTCAAAATGGTTTTAATTTTTAAATCGAAGTGCTTAAGCCTCGAAGGAGACAGAAAGGTGGGACAAAAAGGCATTGATAGGCTTAGTTGGAAAAATAGCTCTATAAAGTTTAAATTATTATTTAATAACAAGCTTGAATCTAAATATGACATGCTTCATTGCATGTCTCATCATCACTTGTTTTTAGATAGATCGCTTTATGCCTTTTTCTTTCAGTTTGCGAAGGTGCGATATACTTATTTGTCGCCATAAAGCTAGGCATAAATATTAATGATCATAATTGATAAACTTATTAAATAAACTTAACTTAAATCAGTTTAACCTGGTATTGGTATATTTAACCAGCGTACCACCTGCCATTCAAAGAAAGAGAGTTGGAAGATCTTGAGCTCCAATGCCGATAGTATGGAGTGAGCTAACTTAACTTGCTCTAATCCATCCATATCCGAGATAAATATGATATTAAGTTTGGAATTTTTTAACTGAAAAATAGTAATAATAAATGTTTAACACCTAAAATATATATAAAAAAATTAACAGAGAATTCAAGTTACTTTTATCCAATAGTTCCATAAATCGGAAAAAAATAAGTTAAGTATGAGAATTGCGTGAATTGAATTCGAAATTACTTTACATAGATAGGTTGAAGAAATCTGAATGCAGTGTTATATACTCCCTCCGTTTTATAATAAGTGTCGTTTTAGATTTCATTTTTTGTTTCAAAAAAAGTGTCATTCTGCATTTTCAATGTAACTTTTTACTCTTATTTTCTTTTTTATCCCTCATTTAAAGATAATAATATTTGTAATTAAATGTTATAAAAGCATATTGATTAGGAATATATTTGTATATTTTATTAATTTCTTAATTTGTATGAAATATGTTAGAATGACACTTATTATGAAACAGATGAAGTATATATATATTGTATATTTTGTTTTGAATCACTGATGTGATTGTGGGTGGCTCATCAAAAGTAATAGGAATAATATATATGAAACTGTCGCTTCAGAAAGAAATAAAAGCTTGTATCTATAGAATTACAAAAATGCAACATATAGTTTTGACTTTTGAATACTAGCAATTGACTACCAAATTAAACTATTTAAAATTTAAATACATATCTTAGATGCGAGTATGTCCAATATAACGTGCGGGGGAATAGAGGTTCTTGTGACGTTGTAATACAGACGAAAAAAGATTGTTTAGAGCATTTGGTTTAAGGTTCAAAAAAAAAAGTATACAGGCGAAAACATTAAAAAGGAAAGAGAAACAACAACAACAACAACAAAAAAGATGTATCTATTATCTAACATAAAACCAAGAGATAACAGTGATCTTTCACGTGGCAAGGTAAAATAATCATATTTCCAGTATCCGATCTGATCATTCATTGCTGTAATTTTTTGTCCTCCTTTTTTTTATTCGAATAGGCGTTGTTTTAGCTGTCTTAGTTAAAAAAAAGAAATGTATGGTAACAAATTCCACAGTGTAGTTAATTCTCGCCCGTTGCTTCACGGCGCTCCTGTGACCATCTGACATATATACATACACATACACTCGTAATTATTCCTTTTTTGGTTTTGCATATTATTTTGTATGCAATTAATTTAAACGACTAGTATCTTTTTTTATACAAATTAAATGACTACTTGCTTATAAATGTTGAATGAATTTGAATTATGGCTGATAAATAGTAACCTCGGTTAAAGTCACGGTTTTAAATTTTGAACTACTCGTAACTGAGAAAATTGACATATACTAACAAATTAGATTAGTTTTTTTTTCTTTTCTTGTTGGTTTCCTTTTTCCTTCTCTTTTCTTGTGTGCAAAATCGACAGCTAGAATCATTCAATAATGCACGTGTCAATCTCTAAATACACCATGGATATTTTGCACGGTTTCATATTCTATTTCTACTATATAAATAAACCTAAAAAAGCTAATCATTCTATTCTTTACTGAATATCGTACTTTAAAAAAGGAAAGAAACGAAAAAAGAGTAACGGAAACAAATTAAGAGAGGGAACAGATAAAGGAAAAAGAGAAGGGAGAATATAACTTGAAAATTTTCTTTTGTCCGATTTCTTCCACATTTCCAAGCAGTACAATTAGTTTTGTATTCTAATTTTCAGATACATACAACAGTACGAAATAGCAGACTAGTGAAAATTAAGCAAGCTCAAAATTTTGGAAGTGAAATTGCACTGTTATTAAAAATTAATAAAATAACTAATCATATAAATAAAAATTAAATAAGAAGCAAACATACATAAATCAAAACTTGACAAAAATTCGGATATAAAGTAGCTAAAAGCTGTAGAACTATTATGTTGGTAACCGATCAGAATCTGGGTTTTTTGGTTTGGTATTAATCCATAAATACCAAAGTTAGAAAACGAAAAAAAACGAATCTGAAAATGGCCAATAGATAAAAAAAAGAAAAGAAGAAGAAAGAGTAGAGCTTTATATAGGAACTAGGAACACAATACACCACTTGTGCGCTTGCTTTCGCAGTGTCCGACGATCTCAAAGTTCCTCTCTTTTTCTCTCTCTCCTTCTCTCACACTCTGTCTCTCTCACCAAATTCGTAGCTTTTTTGCATTTGCTTCTGAATTCGGCTTCGGATTTCAGAAAGTCCGAAGAGTCTCTCTCACTCAATCTCAGACTGTCAAAGAGCTTCAAGCCGCAAAGAACGGACCCAGAGAGTTTTAATTTAATTCGGAATCGTTTATTGGTCTGATCTGCAGATCCCGTTACCCTAATTTTCCGCAGGCGTAACGGTTCTCCTCCTTGGCCTGCCGTCATTTTGACCTCTTCAATGGTGGCGAAACAAGAGTTTTAATCTCTTTGGCAGAGAAAGCTATCGACTTGCGATTGGATATACTGTAGCTAGAAGTGCAGTGCGCAACTACTGTTGCATAAAGGTACAAATCATTTCGAGTCTTTTTCCGGAAAGTTTTTAGATTTGAGAAAGTGATTTATATTTTCCGGCTTGATTTCTCAGGTCGAATTTGAAACTTCGTGGAGGGTAAGAGAGAGAGATGCTCACGTGCATAGCTTGTTCGAAGCAGCTAAACACATCCAATGGCGGATCTAAGGAAGAAGAAGAAGATGACAGAGTTCTCGGAACACCCAGGTCTAAGCAGGCGATTAAGTCCCTGACGTCACAAGTAGATAAATTTCCTCTTCTTCTTCTGTGTCACTTTCACTACCTGTTGTTTGTCTTTGTCTGAAAAATACAAATGGGAAAAGGAAAGAAACTCCCAGACAGGACCGTTTCGAGAATCTTGTTGGTTTCTGTTTGGGAGCTAAGAATAAAATCAACGAGTCAAATTATCTGCCTACTATTTGGTTTCTGATCTTTCAACGAAATAAGCCAACTTTAGTATGTGGCTTTCAGGTTTTGTTTTCTTTGTGTACTCAATTTTTGTCATAAATCACGTGATTCTTGTTTATGTGTGAAATCTTCAGATAAAAGACATGGCAGTGAAAGCATCAGGTGCCTACAAAAGCTGCAAACCATGTTCGGGGTCGTCAAACCGAAATCAGAACCGAAACTACGCGGATTCGGATGTTGCATCAGCTTCTGGGAGGTTCCATTATGCGTACAAGAGAGCGGGAAGTGGAAGCTCAACACCGAAGATTCTGGGGAAGGAAATGGAGTCAAGGTTGAAAGGGCTTTTGAGTGGAGAAGGAACACCTGAATCCATGAGTGGCAGGACAGAGTCCACAGTGTTCATGGAGGAAGAAGAAGATGAGCCCAAAGAATGGGTTGCTCAAGTGGAGCCTGGTGTCCTCATCACATTTGTATCATTGCCTGAGGGAGGGAATGATCTCAAGCGGATTCGGTTCAGGTAAATTTTTATATGTCCTTTGTAGCAATTTCACAAAATAGAAAAGTTAGGATCCTGAAATGAATTAGAATAGGGGACCTTGAAGATGATACTCAATTGAAATGACCTTTATCCATTATGTTGATGATTTGATTTTTGAAATAGAGATGTGTGTTTCTTGGGGTCAAGCTATGAGAGAAGTACAGTTGGTATTAAAGATGTTATCTTGTGAGTGATTTGTGTTTTTGGAAATCTGCATTTTTCTTGAATCTATCTGAAGTGGTCCCCCAAAGGATTTGTTGTAATTGTGAGATCTTTTGCCAAGAAAGGTTTTTGAAATGTGGATTTATATTTGGGTAGTCGAATCCGATCTTAAATGGATTCCCCAAGAACAGTTGTGTGGGGAAGCGTTTAGTAAATTCATCTTGTAAATGGGGACATTTATGAGAGCAGCTTGATCTAACTAACTTTCTTCATGGCCTTATTAAAAAGAGGGACACTTTGGCTTTTTGTCTGTTGAGCCTAACACTGTTCACTTGGTTGTTATAGTCATTGCGTTTTGTATTACATATGGTTAATTCAGCACCTTGTTTGTTGATTCCTCAAATTTCTACTTGCTTGCAGCCGTGAAATGTTCGATAAATGGCAAGCTCAAAAGTGGTGGGCAGAGAATTTCGACAAGGTCATGGAATTATATAATGTGCAGCAGTTTAATCAGCAGAGCGTCCCGCTTCCAACACATCCTAGATCTGAAGATGGGGTACACATTTGAACGCATAGATCCATTTTCTTATGATTCTTTGAAGTCTATCTAACTAGTAATTCATTTGTATACCAGAGCTCGCGAATTCAGTCTACCAAGAACGGTCCTGCAACTCCACCACTAAACAAAGAATGCCCTCGAGGAAAAGGCTATGGTTCTTCTGGCTCACTCGCTCACCAACCAACAACACAAACACAAGTTCGATACCATGATTCATCTGGTCTTGCTACGACGCCAAAACTCTCTAGCATAAGTGGGACCAAAACCGAGACATCATCGGTTGATGAGTCAGCAAGAAGAAGTAGCTCATCAAGGGAAGAAGAAGAAGAAGAAGAGGAAGAAGAAGCAGATCATTCAGGGGAGCTCTCTGTAAGTATTGCAAGTGACACTGAAACAGAATGGGTGGAACAAGACGAAGCCGGTGTTTACATTACAATCAGAGCTTTACCAGATGGGACTCGCGAGCTTAGACGTGTTCGATTCAGGTAAAAACCATTTACTTTTCTTGTTCTTAGAAAAGAAAAAAAAAATATCTGTTAATAGCAAGCACTTTCACACCACTGAAACAACATTTCTCATTGTTGTTGTAGCCGAGAGAGGTTTGGAGAAACGAATGCAAGATTGTGGTGGGAGCAGAACAGAGCTCGGATACAGCAGCAATACTTGTGATGATGTTTTTACTTTTATGAGAGCGGGTGGATTTATATAACATATATATTTTTAAACCAAATTTTTTAATTAAATTTTTATATACTTTTTCTTTTAACATAATGGTTTATATAGTAAAATAATTGATGTTTGACAGCATTTTTATTGATAAATTATAAAATATCCTTAATCAAATCTGTTTAGAAAGTGTTCAACATAGATGATAAATAAGTACGTTTGAGTTTAACATACAAAAGCCAAATTCAACATAGATGATAAATAAGATGCTCGAAGCCTAAAACATACAAAAGCCAAATTCTTAATTAGATGATAAATAGCAAAACACACAATTTTTTGTTTACCATATATATATAGGCTCTGATTGGTAACTTGCGGAATGGCGGAATTGCGTTTTTAAACACAATTCCACAGGTTTTTTGCCAACCAACAAAAATCCGCGTAATGAAAAAATACACATAAAAACGCAGACTGCGTTTTTGCTTAACAAAAATACAAAGAAAAAGTCATTTCACAGAAAAACGACTTATAAGTCGCTTAATCTATTCTGCAAGATTTTTTCCACAATTCCGCCATTCCGCAAAGTTACAAATCAAAGCCATAGTCTTATATTAGTAGTCTTGTTTAAAAAGGACTTGAATGAAAGTTATATGGTTGCTTTGCAGTTGCACTAAGCTTGTGAGCACACGAGTTGGAGACAATATATATGTGTGTGCGGAGTATATTCAGAATTGTCAGGTTTCCCGAGGTCCCGGAGCTTCTTCGATATTCATAGATTTGAAAGTATCCGTCTTATCCTGACGATGTGAGCTGTTTGGTAGCGACATGTCTCGGTCCGTTTATATCATCAGTCTAGATCAAAAACTAGTTTTTGTTTACATAGTGTCTGTCAAGTCACAGAACCCTACAGTGCATGTGATAGTGTTTAAGTGTGCCTGTGATCATTGAAACATATTGTTGCTTGCTGCAAGTGTTTCCCATTGTCAAAGTTCTACAAGTATTGAAAAGAATTAAGAGTTTTGTTTAGTTGTTGAATATATGTTCCTTCTTTGTGTCTTTTCTCACCATTTTTTTCATATATATATACCTTAGTGATTTAATGGTAGAGAATCATTAGTTGTTGAGCTCGACCTAACTTTCCTCTAGCCTTTAGAATATAAAACAGATATTCTTAATCAGAGAACTTGTTGAAGCTAAGCCCATAGGTTTTGATTAGCTCCTTGATTACTTTTGTTTTTTTAGGTGTCATTGCACACTATGTCATCATCATCATAACAACAGAATCTAATTGATCGTTTTGTTGACATATTTACAGAACTAAATACTTAGTCTGGGAATGTGGGTCTAAATCAAAGGGGTAACTTCTTTACTTTGAGAGCCTAATTTGAACGGATGGGCCGAAGCTTCGTTATCTCCTATAAGTCCTACAGTACTGAGAAATGATTACTCTCTATCAATTTTTTTTTTTTTTTGGGTTCAACACTTACTCTCTATCAATTTCTTGAACTCCATTAATTGTAGGTAAATAGTACTCTTTTTGTTTTATTTTGACCAGTTTATGGTTAGTTAAAATGTGGTCTTCATTGTTCAGTTCTTTCAATATTATTAATTAATACTAGCTACCACACAAAAGCAAAGATTTGGTTTGAGATTCGCCGAAACTTTTGTTAGAGCCGGAAATTTTAATAAGATTCTATCAAAAATGAAACTTTACTAAAATGGTTTTTAGGAGAACTAGAGGAGAGGCTTAGGTTTCATCAGTTAGAAAATCCGCATGTAAGAAGGAGAATATGAGCAAATTTGGCCCTCTTGAACCTGTTCTCATAAAAAACTATAAGAAATTAAGGAGAACTGACCCAAAAAAAAAAATTCTAACAAGTCAAAAGGTCCCATAATTGGCTTCGGGCAAACTCCTACCACTTTGGTTATTTAAAGGCTTATTTGCTGAATTTTTAAAAAAAATATTCTCCCAACAAATCATCTAAATTTTGCTGAGACGTAGCTGTTGTCAAGTTAGAAATTGTTTTTTCCCCTTTTTGTAAAAAAAAATGAAATTTTTTTATTTTCTAGAATAAAAAGGTTGGAAACGTTGTTTGTAATTGTCAACATGACATATCAAAATCACAGATAGTGGAGTGATTTATAGACACATACACCAACATATATCAAACATGTATGGTAAGTATTTTTTCTCTCTCTCTCTCTCTTTTTGAGGAAAATATTAATGTCAAAACGTTTCTCTTGAAGAGTTGAACCGTGTGTGCTCTCTAGCTATTTGATTTAAAAGGAATCTGCTTTTGCTATTGCATGCACCAACTCAAATTATGATGTGATCGGAATCTTTTGTCTTTCTTTTGTCTATCATATCCACACATGCGTGGAATCCTTTGGTACTGTTGTTTTTTATATGAATTGGTTTTTTCTAATCAGTCTCTCGCTCTTTTTTTTATAGATTATATGGAATGCGTTATATGAAAAGAAAAATTACATCAAATAAAGCAAAAAGGATGATAAAATTTTTAAATATAGCTAAGAGGCTGTTGTGGCACATGGAATAGATCTTCTATATGTTTTAAAAATATCTGAACTATACACATATTTTCTCATGAAAACAAATTTATGATAAGGTTTTCGATATTTCATGTGTAAACCAAATGGATTGTAACAAAAATTTGGTACGAAGGATGGTTTCAGTCAGAGAAGAGCTCTACGAGTGTGACGTATCGCGGATTCAAAGCGACGATCATTCATAAACTGATAAACAACATGCGTCTGCTGTGTGCATTTATTAAACCCGAAACGAACAAAAAAAGGGTCGAATTCCTTCTCTTTTTTTTTCGTAGTTGATTTCTAGTTTACAATATATAGGCTCGATTCATCCTATGTTAATTTATTAGTTTCTTCATAAAAATTACATGTTTATTTTATCAAAAATAAAATTTATAAATTATATAATTTATGGAACTGTAATCCATCCCACGGGACTAATTTTGCAAATGAGCACCATTTACTTTTTCAACATGCGTTCTTCTCTCTCGCATATCCAATTAGATTACTGGAAACATACATATATCTGAAAACCAAAGTTACGCCCAGGGATATTTACGTTATATAACTCAGATAACTTAGATCTATATTCTATCTTATATAATTAAGTCCACCACACACACACAAAAAGTCCACTACACAAAAAACAGAGAGCAGTATAACTACGCGCGTACGCATGCTTATGTATCATTGGCATCATTTTAATATTGTCTTTTAAAAGGATTTTTCTCTTAAAAATCACAATTAAAAATTATTTTATGAGATAACTAAAAAAGATTTTGCGGCTCAAAAGTCACTATTTATATTTATATGATCAAAAAGTGCTTTCCGTTAGCTAACCGTATAAGAAGTAATTAGCTTTACATAGACTAATTAAACTAATTAATTTTCTACATTCCTAAAAAACACATCACATCTTAATATTATTATTTTTTCTTAAAATTGTTTATTTAAGGCAAAGACTTATAACTTATAACCATTGTTTTTAGTAATCGATCGAATCTTACACTTGGTGAAATATTTGCTCCAGTTGTTAGCGCCGAAGGTATTTTTAAATGACTGTTGTATGATATCGAAATTGATTGCTATAATATACCCTTCTTAAATCTATTCAATAACGCTCAAAATAGGCAAATCGTTAGGCAGTAATTAGGGGTTGGATAAGTAAGCTTAATATAACTCTTTAGTTAAAATAGACAACGTAATAAATTTTTTAAAAAGAGGATTACAGTCAATGATTCAAAGTTAAATCAAGCTGTAAAAGTAAAAGATCATTTTGTAACGTTTAAAGAAATAAAGGATCCTTATGGGGAAACCGGAAAAGCCAAGGTAAATATTTTTAACATAAATGTAACACATCATATGATATTAAAAAAAATTGTTTAAATGAACGATATGTTATTTTTAGTTAATTATAACTCTTATAAATAAATACGGTAATCGATATTAGTATAAGTTTATAACAGTGTTGGGTCACTTCTACATGGTAAAAGTAAGTGACGTTTACAGTAATTCGTCATAATTAAAAATCGTCTCTACTTGCTAATAAAGCCTGATTTTGTTAATCAGATGGTGATCTTGTCTTAATCCCGCTGTCTTTGTCTAATCATTTCCATTAAACTGTTGGCTTCCTTCTGTTTTGCCCCTGCTTCATAGCAATTTCGTGGCAAAATTAATGTCTGTCTTTTGTGAAAATAATATTAATCAACTTAACATGTTTTATTTTATTTAGTTAAAGACCTTAGATATCATTAATTAGCACAAATTAATATCACATGAAACTTAAACGGTTCGGTCTTATAACTAAAATGTAATTTAACAAGCTAGGGGTTTCCAATAACTGCAAAGCAAACTCAATTATCAATTAAAGTGGGCTGCAAAATCATGGTTGGTAATGACAAATGCTGGTTGGGTGTTAGGTTCATAAGTGATGGAGTCTCTTTAGCCGCATTGCTTGACTGTTCCTTCATCCTCAAAAAGTCCTTTAATTTCTTTTAATACAATTCACAACACACAACATTGCTTCTGATTTCTAAAGCTAAGCCTATATAGTTTTCGTAGGGTTTTCCATAATCTCCATCGCTTTCTTTTTCTTAACTCCTATTTCCTTTCTTCTATTTTTTTACTATATTCCCACGAGTTTATGTTGTATATTCTATATTCTATTATACGTTTAGATTCCTGGGTCAATTTTTTCTTTTTTTTTCGATTCACTGAACATTTAATAAATTTATTTTATTATCTGATCGATGTGTGTATATGTATTCAACTTTTGAGAATGAGGTATGGGTTTTGTGTTTGTAGCTAGAGTTTAAAAGTTTTTTCTAAGTTTGTTGGAAACTCTGTTTACAGTTTTTTTTTAAAGCAAAATCAAGTTCATATAATCTTGGGATAACTTATATCTCGCCCGAATCATTCTGAATTGCTTTGCTTTTTGCTCTCAACATGACTTTTAGTCCCACTTTGTATTACCACCTTAAACCAAAATAGAGACACATAGTCATAGGTTAAACTTGATTTTCAAGGGTGTCTCCTTTCTACTTCCCATCACGAGCTTACGAAAGCACCAAATCTTTGCTCATCATCACCTAAGCACTCTATAATCAACCAAACCACGAGAGATTGTCTTTTAAAGTTGGAGATCGTCTCTCAAAGCCTCTTCCCTGATTAAACTAGAGATCTCTCCTAACCCTTTCTTTTCGTTTTAGAGTTTCTCAAACCTTTTAACTTTTAATATGTCAAATTAAAATGTTTTCTTGAACTCAGGAAAACAATATATGATGGTTTTAATTTACTTACAACAAATAGTCTTCTGTCTGAAAATCTCCACAAGTGTTTATTAATCATATATAATGATGTGCAATGACCAATAAACAATAAAAATATTTTTTGAATAAATTTAGAACGATGTAGTTTGGCAGCATACTACTTAATTAGAAAATATAAGTTCACAAAAAAGAAAAGAAAAAGTGTATGGACCCAAGTATCAATATTGGGTTTGCTGTAATAAATCACAGATTTGTGTTATAGTACTTAAAAAATACATATAAAATGAAAAACAAATGAGACTTATTATGATGAGGAAGGAACAACTTTAATCTTTTACTTTATAAGTAGGGAACACATAAGTGAATCTTTGGGTCGTGTCATGTGAATAAAGGCTAGTTGCTCTGTAACCCAGCAGTGATATCCCATGCATAGTTTGTTTATGTTCAAGAAAAATTATTAAACTAACCATTTTGATTCATGAGGAAGAAACTACATATTTTAAAATTTAGAAGACCTTACTGTTTTTAAAAAAAAAAAAAAAATAGAAAAGCCATAATACTGTCACCATGGTAACGTAAAAATAGCTAAAGATAACAATCGAGAGAGTATTGTTTTTCGTTTAAAGACTTTAGATACTGTCTTGAAAACACCGTTAATAATTTGTAGTCTAAGTTGTATTTACGTTTATTACTCACGTTGACAATGCATGTGAAAATTCATTGAATAGACATTTGAGGTATGTTTAATTTTTGTCTTTCTAATTTTATTTAGATGATTAATGAATGATATACAATGTCTCATGATTTCAGGATATACACTGGAAATACTGTTATATACATGCTCTACGACTACACGTAAAACGATCTAGTTCGTACGTAAAACTGATTAGTCCATTCTACTGTGAACGTTTGAAAGTTAATACTCCTTCTGTTCCATTATAGTTGATTTTCTAGGTTTTTTTTTGTTTCATAATATTTAATTTCCTATATCTAATTAATGCAAATTTCTTCTTTAACTTGAATGAATCATTAATTGCTTTACAAAACTTGTTACTCTTTTTCCTTGTTCATTTTTTTTCTTAGCAACGTATATTTTTTTTTAAACGACCTTTACCATTAATGTGCTATTATATAAAATACAGACTAAAATGTAAAAATAGAGGTGGTAAATAATAATAAAATACAAAAAAAAAAAAAAGATGATTGGTTATTGTAGACAGAGGCAGAGTCCAGAAGCTGTCGAGAAAGACACGTGGCAATGATTACCAGTTGTGTCTGCCTCCATCTCCTCTTTTAAAACACACTCCTCTCTTCTTCCTCTCACTCTCTCTCTCTCTCTCTTTCATCCTCTCCATTATTCTTCCTTGAGAGAAATCCAATATTTCCTCTCATCTCATGGAGAGTAGTAATTGGGAAAATCCAATTTCATCAACATCAAGAAGAAATCACTGTCGTAACCCTTCCTTCTCCTCCACTCTCCTCGACCAAATCTACCGCTCCATCGACGACGATTATTCCCCTCCCGTCGAATCCACTATGATGATTACTACTAAGAAGATTCATCATCATCAACACCGTCACGCGTACCAAGATCATCCACCGGAAAAACTCGTCTTTCACCGCCGTTCTATCGCCGCCGATTTCGAGAGATCATCCACAAGGAAGACCAACAACACCGACTCCGTTTTCCTTCCATACTCCAATAACAACTCCGCCTGCTCCTCCGACTCCACCGGCGGATTCTCCTCTTCCGAATCCGTCTCCTCTCCGCCGCCGACTACTCGTCAACCGAAACCCATTCGAACAACATCCGTCGAGAGATTCGACCAGAAACCTAACACTAGTAAACAAGAACTCGGCGGTTTCTTGAGAACCAAGTCAAAGGCCTTGAAAATCTACACAGATTTGAAAAAAGTCAAACATCCGATCTCTCCCGGCGGACGACTCGCCGCTTTCCTCAACTCCCTCTTCACCAACGCCGCTAGTAGTAACCCTAGGAAGCCCAAGAAAACTTCGGAGCCGGCGGTTTCCTCCTCCTCAACGACCTGCTCCTCCGCGTCTTCTTTCTCCAGGTCTTGCCTGAGCAAAACGCCGTCGTCTAGCGGGAAATCGAAAAGGTCCGTACGGTTCTGTCCGGTGAATGTGATCCTCGACGAAGATTCTTCCTCCATCCACCACATCCCTTACGGTTACAACAACGAACGCCACGTCATGGAGGAGGAGAATCGCCGTGTTATCGAAGCGGCCAAGGATCTTATCAGAACTTACCAGAAGATGAAGAACAAGGATCACTTGGCCATGCACGCAGATGATGTCACCAACGTTGACGACGTCGAAGAGGACGATGATGACGCGGCGAGTTACGCGAGCTCCGATCTGTTCGAGTTGGAGAATCTTTCTGCGATTGGGATCGAGAGGTATCAAGAAGAGTTGCCGGTCTACGAGACCACTCGTCTTGATAATACGAATCGACCCATTTCTACTGCTTTACTTGTATAATTATTATCATTAGTTGTTATATTAAGTGGTTGGTGGGTGATTAGTTTTAGATAATTTAATACGGTCTTTTTTTTCCTTCCTCTTGAGGCTATTATTATTATGTTTTACCGTTTTCTAAAACGGTTTTTTTTTTTTCGCTCTTTCTTAAATTCTTCTATGCATGTTAAGTAACTTGTGTATAAAACTATCTGTGTTGATATCAATGATCATCATCCTAAACTTGGTTTATTTTGGTCCTAACTAAGCAGCTTAATTAGCTATCTAATTTACTGTGAGGTTTTACAATAATCTTTAATGCGAGGAGTCAAAAATCTGACAAAAGTAGAAAGAAAAAAAAAATGAAAAGGGAAACCAAGGTTTATGTCACCAATTAGAACAGCAAAGAGTCGTTGCCTTTTCTTCGTCTCTTCCTCTGTTATTTGTTCTCTCTTTTCTTTTCTTTTTTTTTTGTAAAATTTAAATTAGAACAAGAGGTTTGAGTAGAAACAAAAAACGAAATTAATTAACTAAAAGTAAAAGATTTGGTTTGATGCTACTAATAATGATCAATAAGATGGGCGTAAAAAAAAAGGTGAAAGAGACTTGGTCTCAAATGTCATGGACAATAGTATCCAATATTCAATTTTTTATCGAGTACCTTTTTATTGTTTAAATTTGATTGGATTAGCTTGTCTTGCTCTAATTAAGCATGGCTTAAGATTATGATGTTGGATTCTGCATTATACGTCTTGAATATCAATTCATCGATGATTAAACCACAAGATGATTATGAACATAGTTTTCTTCCATATATATCGAGTATACACAATTGTGTAATATATATAGATGGAAAAATAAAATTTTATGATATGTTGTTTGAACATGGTTGGTCTACTCTTTCTTGATAATGTAACGCGAAATCGACATGCAAATATAGATTTTAGAACAGTAAAAGTTTCAATTCAAAACACTATTTTCAAATAACGAATCTTGTATTATTAATATTTTACGTACGTTGTTTTTTTTTTTTTTTGTCAGCTTGACAACCTTCGATTTGACTGCGTTTATGGAACGAGAAAGAATCCACACATCTAACGACTAACGTCTTATTAATATATTCATATTTCGGGCATTAGTTTGCATACGCTTACACTATTAACATAGTTAAAATGACTCTGCAAAAAAAAGCATGACAAAACGAATCTGGTACAAAACTAACAAGATTGGACCACCGAATCATAGCATTATGATAAGCTATTAAAGCTAACACAAATATGCTAATTACTGTAGCTTCAAATTTTCTGTATTTAGTAAAGTATAAAACAATCATATTATTGCCTAAACAAAACCTAAAAAAGGCTAATATGGCTAGGTGGTATTGTGGTCAAAAGTTACATAGCCAAGAAAAAAAATCCGATACAAAGAAAAGATCACATACATTAGTACGGACCCATTTTCTCACTTATATTATCTTTTCGTTTTTTATTAAATCACTTTAATAAAACGGTTGTTTTCTTATCAATAGCTTGCAATTCCCGCATAATCGACAATCAATCCTTTACTAGCTTCGATTAGAAAAAAAGTTAAGAAACAACTATATATCGAATAGTACATGAGAAGGGATTTGATTGATAAAAAAAGAAATTACTTCGTAATAGATATATATGTAAGTTTATTCGAGTAAATAAAAGAGTGTACAGAGAATCAAAGATATTCGGCTTTAATTAATTTGAATTGATCGAACACTCTTATTAATGAAAATGTTAGGTAGTAAGTGTATAAAGGGATACTTACGTCGGTAAGTATAACATATGTGGATTTGTCCCCTCTTCGTGGTGGGTGAAGTGGGGGAGTTGTGAAAAGTGAAAATATAATCATGAGAGTAACGTGCTGATTTAGCCAATTAGTTTCCAAAGTTTGACTCCAACAATGAAATCTAACCAATTAAACAAAGTACTGTAATTACTTTTCTCTATAAACTAAAATGGCGGTAAAGACGAATTAGACAAAAACAAGAATCGTTCATTTTCGGACATAATTGAAAGCATTAGCTTATATAGACTGAAAATCAAATTTTATTTTAGTGTCGATTTCGTTTCAATAATTAGAGTACCAATACAAAGAAATTAATACACGAGTGTATAGGTGTTGAACGAAGAAGTTTCGTCGTGATCAGACAAATCAATAAAAGCACTTGGACAGCTAGCTATATATATCATACATATACCATAAATTGATATGAGTGTTATAAAGATAAAAGAATAATTTTAAGGGGCATACAATGTCCAATATCAACCATGCACAACTCGTCATTCGCATGCACTAACAGCTATTTCTATATATTAATTCTAGCTAGGGCTTACTACATTTCAAATCACACACTCACACTACTCAATCCACCATATGTATATTTAATTCGATAGCAACTCACTCTCTGTTCGTTCGTGAGTGTGCACGGACGTGTACATGTCGTCGTAAAACGGTACATGGTGCAATGGTGGTGGGACACTCTCAACTTTGTATTAATCATCTTATGTGTGTAAGTATGAATCTATTGGTTATGATAATTAATAATTTTGCGTTAAATTCGACATTAAGCATATAAATACTAAATGCTGATTTATTAAATTCGACATTAAGCGTATAAAACCAATCGGAACAAAAGCAGTGGCGGAGCCACATTGTTGAAGACAGGGGCGAATGACCCTAATAATTTTTAAAAATTAGTGTAATTTATTAGAGTCTAATATGAATGCCTCCACTCCTAACATCATATATATATATATATATATATATTTACTTCCAATAAAAAAATTTTTGATTTCGCCACTGGATAAAAGAACACTAGACATGAAGAAACGCCTGTAAAATTAACAACTACTAACATAATACAATTGATTTTTTTTTTTCTGATTGATAAGGAGAGGAGCGAAAACGAACCTAGATGTAGATCTATATAAAAACAGAAAAATATGCGCATAAATTACATAACTCCCTCAAAAAGGCTAAAAATTATAAAAAAAGATTATGTTAATTCACCTGAGAAAATTGGGTAAATTATAACGTTTGGGGGAAATAAAGAGCGCTGGACCAATGAAGAGGACACGTGGCGGGCAATTACAGAGAGAAAATTTGGACCGAAAACGAGTGGGTATAAATCTAGCCCGCACGTGACGGGTGGCCGCTTAAGTCAAGTGTCTGTAACTCTCTCTCACACGTGCGCACGTGTTAAACTCGGTTAATTTTTTCTGATCCCTATAAAAATCTTCCACTCCACATCAGATGTGGACCACACTGGAATAGCAAAAAGTAGCAAACACTGTACGCCTTTTATTTTATTTTTAAAAGTTACGATGCCAACAAAAATGATTTTTTTTAACACCATTGTAAATAAGAAATAAATATTCATTCTTTTTCATGTTTTGGCATGCTTTTTTTTTGTTTTAAAAAATGGCGGAAGTAGATTGAAATTGCTTTTTAGTATCAATTCATACACATATTGGTTTTAGAGTAAACATATTTTTTTCTTCTCTGTTAATAACATCTATAAGAAACAGAAGGAATACTTGTTAAAGCATAAATAACCCATACATCTCCATCGTAAATTAGAATTTTGGAGCAAAAAAAAAAACATTGTTAATTTAATCAAATGAGCTATCCGCGTTGCGTTTGTAATATAGGTATGGTGTGAATTTTTCTTACAATTTAGTTAGAGGCATATGTGACTCTTTTTCCAACTGCGACGATTTAATGAGAACGAGCACAATCGCATGGATGGAGACCAAGAAAATGACTGTAGAGAAGATCAACGTATTACTATTGCCTCTGGATTTGTCATAAACCTACCTAACTTCAAATCATTCATTTCCAGTGCCCAGGCACGATGCACAAGATTGTCTTCTTTCCATTTATGGACCATCCCTATAATCATAATTAATAGACATTACTTTATACGGATAACGATTTATCTATCTCAAATGGGTCGATGTCATCGTCTTGTTTTCTATATATGTCTAGTCTCTCTCACCATGTGAATATCTAAATGAGATATAAGACCATATAGTTTATATATAAGTTTTTGTTTGTTTAACCAGCAGATAACATATATATATAATAGGAATATATGATGTTTATTCATTGATCTTAAATAAGATTGATCTAAGACGTTTTTCTATTTAATTAAGTTTTAAATTGATCTCGAAGTTAAATATCCTACCATTTTGATTTCCACAGGACCACATCCTACTATTTATATTCTGCTCCACCAAATTCTTTATTGTGATAATATATTTGTGTCAATGGAACCTCGTTTCTAAATTTTTATTTTAAATTTTTTTTTTTGGCAAAAAAAGAGTATATAATTCAAATAGAATTACTAATAAAATATGGGAGAGCCAAGACAAACTATGGACAACATTCAGAATTTCAGATACAACATGAAAAAGACAGTCAACTGTTTCTGATTGAAATAGATCTTTCATGTTATTTAGAATTTGAAATAAATAGTGTTTTGAGTAATATTTTCACCTATGGGTGAGAGATGTTGACTTTCTTGTCCATGACTCTTAATCAAGCTACATCGTGTATAATCCTTAGTTTGATAGGGCAATAGTAAGTTTTTTACGTTTTAACTTGACTTACTTTGCATGTGCCAAAATGATTGAAAACTAACTATGGTTTTTTATATTATCTAGACAAGATGTCATCTATGCTATGCTACGACTCTCTTATAGTAGATGAATAACGAATTCTGCAAAACTGCATTCGCGCACGCAAACATATAGTCCTTGGTGTTTTTGTTAAATTTAATTTTTAGTTTTTGTTTTGCTAAACTTTTTACCCAAACGGGATAAAATATGGACTTCAAACAAAGTTGGGCTTTTATATTAAAAAGTTTTAAGCCCAATATGATCTGCATTAATTAATTTTGCAAAAAAGGAAAACGCAGTAAGGCTTGTCGTTTTACCAAAATTATCTCCTTCCCTGTCTAGCAAAATCTGCCGACGATGGCGACCGAATCTCCGAGCTCCTTTCGAAAAAGTGAGCCATTGATTCGCAGACGAGGTTTTTCCATTAGAATCGCTTATATTATTTGATTACTCGGTTGTATACCTTGCTATGTTAGGGATCCGATTTGATCGTATCTTCTTTTTTTTCATTCTTCTTATTTTCGTCGCAGTTGTTGTTCATCTAAGAGCTACCGGAGGTGCTCCAATACTGAAACAATCTAAATTCAAGGTAGCTTCCTTCCTTGGCGATTTACCAAATTTTAATCTGAGTTGAAACTAGGGCTCTTACACTAGACTTTTGTGGTTTGATAGGAATATTAACCGTCTCCGGATTGAGTAGGCAACAATCATATCTTTGATGCGTCATTAGCTTTGTGATAGGTTTTTGATCTTTCTTGTTGAGATGTTTCTTTGATATGGTTGAATTTGTTTCTCTGCATTCTGTGTCTTCAGATGTCTCATTGGTGATCATTAATCACTTTTCTGTTTATCATTTGAAACATTGAATCTTTTCACTGATATATCTCTTCACTGTAAGTTTGTCTATGTAAACAGCGCTTTCTCGCCTAACCCCGATGAATCAGTAATTGATCTATACAATGTAAGTACCTCCTTTGCCAATGGCTTTCTCTGCACTTCTTCTCTTTGCACTGCTTTTCTGGAAGACAACGTTTTATGTTTATTAGCCTGATATCAACATTGCTTAAGGTTGTGCTGGTTTTGTTTGGTAATTGCAGAACTTTGGGATTGATGGTAAACTCGTGGTCAACTATGCTTGTTCCATGGCATGGGGATAAAACCAACGATTTTCACCATTATCAAGCTCGGAGTATCATCAAGTTGCATGTCTAATTTTGGATCTTCTATAGATTATATAAAGCTGCTACATTCTTTCCTAGGAGTATTGAATTGTAGATGACACTTGTTGTACATTCATAGGAATGCCTCTTCATCTTTTTCACCTGATTACATGACAAACATGATCGATATGCAACAATTTTTGTGTGATTTTTTTTTTTTTATACATAATCTAAGCTTGGGTATGTTCAAGTCAAATCTTCTCTGGAAATAAACCATGGCTGCTAAAAAACAAACAATTCAGGAGGAATGGAACTAATGGGTTGTAATCATTGGTTATGTGGGCTTAGTTAGGCCCAATAACTGTGTATGAGGGTCAAAAGGAGATTATGATGATGATGAATGATGATGGTGGAATGATGCCACGATTGACATTGGATCCGGAGTTTCAACAACGGAACAAACAGCAAAACTATTTCTCAAAAAAACAAGAAACTACATAGGAAGGTTTTCGTTTTTCTTTATCCCTTGAAGAAGGAGAGAAAAAAAAAAGTGAGTTATTACAGCTCGTAAAATCGAAATCTATATCTACATTTCCCCCAAATTTCTCCTTAATCTCTCCCCCCAGATTTAGCCCTAAACCGTTACTTCTCTCTCCCTCTCTCTCTCTCTGCATTTTCCCGGAAAATTTTACCCTCTGTCAAGTTTTTCCTTGTATGGTCAATGTTCTTAATCGACCTATATTCTCTTCGTCTCTCTGAAAATTCTCTGACCCCTCCGAATTCGATTCGTCAATTTGGGGGCAATTAGAAACCGGAACAACAATTACCTCCTAGTTGCTTCCTTCCTCAGATTCGGGATTCCTTAGATTCTTGCTTCTTCTCGACTCCATCTGTTTTCTCTTCTCCAAGGTTTTTGGGGTCGAGGAGGAACGGAGACAATTTTCCCTCGATTTCTCTCCTGATCAATCGTCGTTGACCAGATCTTTTCTATCTATCAATCTCGTTTGCTCCACCATGCGGTGACGGCGGAAGAAAAACCGCTAGGTTTCATTTGGATCGAGCTACCTCGTCAATCTGGTGATAAATGGGTTTTTTGAATTTCGTTTTCAGATATTCAACCTTGAATGTTTTACTTCTCGTCATCATTCTCAGCATCCATGGCTTCCTCCTTGTCCAATCACAAGATCAACCTCAAACTCAGTCACCTCCTCCTCCTCCGCCGTCGCCACCTCTCGAGAATATCTCGCCGCCGCCGCCGCCTCCGTTATTTGTCGTGTTGCAGTCTCCGCCAACTCCCGTCGAATCAGGCAATACGCCACCGATTCCACAGCTAAATACGCCTCCTCCTCCTCCACCCACTCCTCAGGTCAATACGCCTCCTCCGCCTCAAGCCAGCGTTGACATTATTGCTCCTCCTACTTCTCCGCCGCCACCGTCACCATCACCTCCGCCTCCTCCTCCTCCTACTTCTTCTCCACCTCCACCACCGCCGCCGATTCCGAAATCCCCTCCCCCTCCCCCTCCGCCGCGTGCGCTAGCTTCTCCTCCACAATCGAATAGAAACCAACCACGGCGGCTACGACCGCCATCTCCGCCTCCTCCTCCTCCGCCGCGGATCTTCAAGCAGTCGGAGAAAAGTGGATTAAATACAGGGAAAACGGTGGGTCTGGTATTTGCTGTGTTTGCAGCAATGTTGCAGATTTGCGTCGTTGCCTTCTTGGTTTTCAAGAGAAAGCAGCTTTTGAGGATGACACACGCTTACTGATTTGGAGAGAAACTTATTGAATTTTCATCACTTTTGGGAACGAAGAAAAAGCATCACTAAAAAGGGATTCACAACTGATTAAGATTTGCATTGATGTTTTCCTCTCATCGGATCAAGAAGACTTGATCAAGACTTTTCCCTCTGTAAATTGGTAAATTGACAATTCCCTTTTTTTCCTTTCTTTGTATTCATCTTTCCGTCTGATTTTTTTTGTTGTTCTTTTTAAGGTCGTGTAGTTTTTTTCCTTTACATGCCTAACGATGCTAACTAGAGTGAACAGAGAGGTCGAAAAAAAAACAGAGAAGGGGTCAAAGTCATGTAAAATTGTTTTAGGGATTCTGTGAGATGTTCCAAAAAAAAAAAAACGATATCTAATTTCATTTGTGAGTTCGCAAATGTGTTGTTCTTTGAATATCCTCTGAAATAATTCAGGGTTTGTACACCATTCCCCTGTTTATGCATATTCGTGCTATATTTCGGTTTGTTTGTGTGATATTGTAGTGAGAATCAAGGCAGAGTATGATAGGGAAGATCAAGTTTCTAGCTCCATGTTTTGGTTTTCTTAGACAACAGATTCTTTGTCAATTCTTTCAGGTATGATTTTGATGTTTGAGACACTTTTAGTTTTAGATAGGAACCGCTTAGATTGTAACTCTTAGCTCTTGGAATCAGAAAATGCCAAGTCTTGCGTGTTTGATTAGCTCTTGAAATCAGAAAATGCCAAGTCTTTCGTGTTTGATTAGCTGTTGGAATTAGAAAATGCTGAAGTATTTCGTGTTTGATAGTTCTTAGAATCAGAAAATGTTGAATCTTTTGTGTTTTATCTGTAAACTCTTCGTTATTTAAATCTGTTATTCTGCATCTTCTTATGTTATGTTGCAAAAGTCCACATTCGATGAAAGTTTCGTATGATGGTGGTAATTACTAACCGGCCTCTGGTTTGGTTAGAACTGGTGGTATTGCGTATTTGAAGAGCTGGAGATTACACCGTTACCGATCATCAGTAATTAATATGGTTTAGAAAATAATTCTGGTGTTCTGAAACTATCATAACGTGGTTCGTTTTACGCGAAAACCCGGTCTGGTTAAGATATTTTCACGTTGTTCAAGAATGCTTTGCCCTTTGTTGATCTTGTTTCCTCCTATGAAAGTGTTTAAGACGCGTTTTTGCTTGGTATGAACAAATATGAGCTGGTTTTGATCTGGACCAGATTCCGCTAATAGAATCTTCGTTGGCAACATGCTTTTTAAAATTCTCAGCATACCTATATTAATTAATGTGAAATATAATATAATGTTGGTAATGATTCCAAGTAATCATACGCACGTAAAAGATGTTTATCTGTATATACTTAATAGATCAAAAGTCATGATGTTGGTCTTTTTAACTTCTCCCTCGTTCCTTATACTAAAGAAGCACATGCATGGATCCAGGAAGCACACACCAAAAGTTGTATATGATTGTTTGTTTTTGTTATAAACGACAAAATCTATCATGCTTTTAGCTTAAGTAAAGTATATTTAATTGGTTACAATTATGTTAGGCTCTGCAGATCATTCTCTCGTTTTATAAATGCGTGGTTAATCGACGATTTGAGTCAATAAAAGTCATATGACCTGCTGATAATCTCAATATATAAAGTCATTGAAGACAATGATTGGTTGCTTGTGTTTGTACTTTTAAAGTTTGGCATTTGAAGTGTATAAAAGTCACCGCCGATAATCTTACATTTGAACAAATTTCAAATTTGGCTATGCCTTTCTTTTATATTATAACAATGGAATCGCAACTAAAAACAGGCCTTGGAAAATAAAAAAACTAGATTAATATGTTAAATAGATCCATATGTAGGAAGCTATATAGATGCTTGCATCCTAAGAAAGAAACCAATATACATATGTAGCATTAGCCCCTCACAAAAGTCACGTTTCCTTTTGTTGCTTTCAGCTACAGTAAAATAAAAACGATATCTTGGAAGAAAATAGTAGCCGGAGAAAGCAAGAGAAACACACACAGATATATATGTCGGATCACTTTTCTTGATGGACCTAACAAACACACACACATAGAGAGAGATAGAGAGAGAGAGAGAGAGATACATAAATGTAAAGATATAGGTCTCTGCAAACAGTGTCTTGTCTCAATGTTCCACGGAAATAGATGTGAAATGTGACCCTTCAACATTTCGAACTTGTGTGTGCTGGTGCAGATCCATCATTGATGCTATCTGGCCTTAATTAGCTACCTGAGAAATTTTATTTTAAATTAAAATTTAAAACTAGCAATAATATTAAGAGAAGAGAACTGTTTATCATCTATTAGCATATTTACCAGTGTCGAGTCTTGAGTGGGAAGAAAGGTCAAGCCAAGAATCTGAACTGTTCTTGTTCTGCGCCCAGTCCTCACCAAAGAAATGATGAAGAGACTTCTTCGATTCCGATGAATCTTTCTCCTCCTCTTCTTGATTTTGATGATCTTGTCTCGATGTGTTTGCGAAGACAGTACTTCTTGTGGGTTTGTTGAACATGTCGGCGCCCAAAACGAAACACTGTTGTTGTTGTTGTTGCTGTTGTCGATGATCATCATGATAATGATGATGTTGAGATGATGACGACGATGAGTATGTGTGATGATGATCAACCTTATGATCAGTGCTACAGTGGTACGGATCATTCATCACTGTTGCTAACGGTTGTTGGTGATGATGGTATGGAGAATCTTGATAGCTTCTAGAAGCTTCTGGAAAAAATGTTCTCTCCCCAACTCCAACTCTCTCTCCAATCCCTTGCAAATATCTGAAATCACAGTTAAAAGAGAATTCCTCAGACAAATTAAAGATCATGCCTTTTTCATTTTATTTTTCAAGAATTAATCTAAACATGAAACAAGGGAATTAAATTAGAAGATAAGACAGAGAACCTGAAGTCTTTGGGGTCAGTTGCAGAGGCTAAGACATTGAACTGAGAAGTAGAAGTGTTTTGATGAAGTGACAAAGCAGAAGCATGATGAAGAGTTTGCTGCTGTTGTTGTTTAGGTGAAGAAGAAGGGTAAGGATAATCAAGAGAATGGTTGTTGAAGTAACCTCTAGTGTTACTACTACCAACGCCGAACCTATTGCTGTTACTGTAAGCATCCATTGAAGGAGACGAAGAAGAAGCAGAATAAGTAGAGGAAGTAGAAGAAGAAGAAGACAAGGTGGGGCTTGGGTTGTTGTTGTTGGGGAAAGAGAGAGACGGTGATTTTAAAGGAGCAGTTGTCTGGTTCTGATCAAGAGATTTTCTGGCACGGTTTCTTCCTCTGTGCATGTGTTTTTCACAGTACTTGGAATCTGGGTAAGCTTCTCTTGAGCATCTCCATTTCTTACCATCTGTTCTTCTGCATCTTCCCGGTTCTGGATCTGGTTTTCTCCCAAATCCCATCTGGTAACATCCCCATCCAACTACACACATTTAAATAAGCAAAAAAAAAAAAAAACCCTAAGGTTAATCATGATGTTTTCTGTGTAAAGCGGTCCATGATTAATTAAGACCTTGAGTAGAGTTATCCAAAATCATCAGAAGGTATTGTGGACTCTGAGTTTGTGAAAGTGGAGACTTAAGACAAGAACCCAAAACACTCTAAAATACATAAAGCTGCAAACTTTAGAGGCATGAGAATCAACAAAAGATTGAAACTTTAATGCAAGAAAGAGAAACAAAAACAAACTGGAAATCAACAAAGTAGAAACTATAATAATTTTAAGTTTAAGGCTTACGGGATTGGTGAGGGAGGAGTCTAGAGACCAAGGAAGAGTCCAAGCTTCTTCTAATGGAGAAGATGAGCTCAGGTGGGACAGGAACACCAGAGACCATGTACTTGTAAATTAGGGCTTGATGCTCCAGTTCTTTCCATTGTGTTGGTGTGAATGGAGGCCTCTCTATTGATCTCTCACTACTTCCACTTAAGCTCATCATCTTTCTTCTTCTTCTCTAGCTTTCCTCAAATGGTTATGTAGCAAAATCAGAAGAGTATAAAAACAAGAACTTTCTTGATAGATTCAGAGATTAGCTAGGGTTCCTGAGTTTCGGACAGAAACAGACAAAGAAGACCACTTTCTCTGTCACTTTTTCCCTCTGGTTTGATCTCTCTCCCTCTCTCTCTCTAAGCATATATTCCTCAGATGCAATTTGCATGAACACTAGCTAGCTTCTTCCTCTTCACGAGGCCATTCCCTCTTTTATATATATACTTTATTTTTTGTATTTTGGGAATATAAAGTTATTACAGAACGGAGATTACTGTTCATTTCGTCACACTCTCTTATGACTATATTAAATATAAAAAAATAATGTGTTTTAAGGGAATATTAGTCAAAACGAATACATGATTTATAAAAAAAAGAGTTCTTTCACAAAAAATAATAAAAAAATAAGAAAAAGATAGATAAGTTATGTCAAAAAAAAACAATATATAAATAAATATATATATATATATATATCATAAGAGGACAAGAGCTTTTAAGGAGTTTTGCCATGTAGTGTAAAATCAAAACAACATTAAAATATCCAATATTGTAAATGTTAAAATAGATAAAATGTAAGGGAAGAAGGAGAGTGTGGTCCTATAAAGACTGGCAAATCTGAAGGGACTCAGGCCCAGTGTTCCTGTTGCTTCTTCTGCAGCACTTGATGCTCCTGTCTCTCTGACTACTCTTTCCTCTCTTCTCAATCTTCTTCAATATTACCCCTTTTTTTATTATTTTGAATTTATACACCTATAACCATTTGTATTTTTTTTTCTTAAAAGTGCATTGATTTTTGGGAATCTTTTTTTTTTCAACCTTTGAGCAGATGCCTTTTTTTTAATTTCAGCTGTATCCCAATACTCCATGGCCTAAAAATGAGTGCCGTTTCCTTTTTAATGAGCTCAATTTTTTTTTAATTTAAAATTCAGTGAGCCCTGCCTGGTATTACTGTCTAAGACAGTAGAAAATCAGATACATGAAAACAACTGATAGATATGTTGAAAAAAACAGAATTGACGAGTATTTATTAATAGAATTCGGAATGAGCTTCTTGTATCACTGCACAAAATCTCTGACTGGGGAAGAAAGAACCAAACTTTTTTAACTAAAGATACATAAATATTTACGGTTTGCGCTGCGTTACTAACAAAAAAAAAGTAAAGCTTACATTTCATATTTTTTTGTCAACGTTATAGCTTTCACATGGTGATATATAGAAAGAAATGTGGTCTTCTACTCTTCTTATTTCTAAAGGTGGCAAAATGGTAATTAAGAAAGAAAGAAAAGGGTGTTTAGATGATAAATAGAGAGCAGGGAAGAGACCATTGGATAAAGAAGGGGACTAGGTTTGTTTGGTTGCAAGTGAAGTGAAAGTACTTTTGTTCTTTTTAAAAATTGTTAGATATTTTGTCGTTTTTATTAAATATTTTTTTTGGGCATTAGTAATAGGAATAAGAAAGAAGAGAAAGGCATGTGAAGAATCAGAAATATACAGAGAGGGTTGGGTTCATTAACTGCAGAGAAAAAAAAAAGAAGGAAAAAAAAGAGAGTAAGACTGTTCACTACTCTGTTTGTTTCTCTGTCTCTTTTCACATGCTCTGTCCTTTTCTCTCCTTTTTTTGAAGCCCCCTAGATCTTTCTTCTTACACACCTACAATCTACCATTCTATACATACTCACATACTTACATATATGAATATATTATATATACACAATTCACACATACATCAACTTGATCAATGCATGATCCATTATTTTCGTTCTCTTCTTTTTGTGTTCTAAATAATTATGAGAATATAGTTTGATTCGATTACAAACAAAAAATGTTCAATTGCTGAATAGTATACGTAGAGAATATAAGAAAATGATTATTTACAGCCAAAATTTGAACGAGGAAGTTGATATTATGTATGACTTGGCGGAATTGATAAATATAATTCACGATTCTTCAAACTCAATAATTAGTATACAATCATATAACAATTCAAACAATTAACCATCATCATACTTAAACACTTTTCAAACTAAAATATGTATAGGTTGTTGGAGTTTAATTATCAATAGCTTGTACTAATGTTGTCGTTGTTTTAGCAACTAGAATGGAATTAAAATCAACTGCAGCATAATACATATTTGAAAATGATATGCATGTATATATGTAGAGATGTAAATGGTATCTAAAACATATAGAGCTTTTGGAGGGGTTGGTCAAAGTGATGATCATGATGTGAACAAGGTAGAGAAAGAAGGTGGAAAGACCTTTGGACTAAGGGATATTTCCATTTTAGAGCATATTTTTCCATTTTAGTCATTCTTATGCATCATCATCATCTTTTCTTCTTCTTTTTTCCCTCTCACTTTGTTTTTATTATGTTTTGTTTTTAACAAATAAAAATGAAATTGGAGGGTTATGGATGTGATATATCATATATATATATATATGTATATAGGAGATGAATGGTATTGGTAGGTAAGGGAGATATTATAGAGCAAGAGACCTACCTCCTTCTCTCCCTTTGACTCACTTTTTCCCATTCCCTTTCTTTATAGGCCTCTAGGGCTCTTTACAAATTATCTATTTTGCTATTTACTAAACAAAAATTATAATATACTTTTGATCAATCTAATCACTTAAAATATCAATGATTTACCAGTGTAAAGACATTCATACATTTATATGTTACGAATTCCGGATATTAATCTCTCGCATTAACGAAATACTTATCATTTTTTTTTGTAAACCGTTCTCATTAAAGAAAGTCGATAAAGTTGTTGTTTCCATTTTCATCCCCGTTTGTGATTTTTTTTTTTTGTTAAAAGAAATTATTATTTTCTTTCTTAGAGCTTTTGACTATTATAACATTCATTTAGAGAAGGCTTACGCTGCAGCGGTAAAATAATGATTTCGTTAACTAGACTACGTAATAGATAATCACTCAATGCGTTTGTCATGGTTCACATAGAAAATTATTAACCAATCAAATGTAGTATAGTATTTAAACAATACAAACCCCATACAGTAAAGTGATCAACCTTAAACCTTATGATAATCGACATGGGAGACTTTTATTCTAGTGATCACATTGAAAACACCATAATTCATTTCATACATGGGTTCGAGCCACCGTTTCCTCCTCTTCGTTAATGGGCAGGAGATGGACCAATGGCAGCAGCCGTGGAGGGGACAAATGGCAGCAGTCGTGGAGGAGACCGTCGTCGACGTGGAGGACAACAACATATGTAACAAATAAGCCAGCCTAAAAACCGAACTAGTTGGCTCACGAGTATTATAACAGGAAATACAATCCAAAATCCCAAATAAATCGTTAGTATATACTTGATTATTTGATCATCAGACTGAACCAGTGCGACGGCAAAGAAAAACGCCGCCGAGATACAAAGAACCGCTACTACCATAAACGTTACTAGAATCGCCATTATCATCTGGTTCCTATATAACAAATTATATCGTCAGATTTTTAATGTTATTTTTAATCATAAAACCAAACAGTTGTCGACACAAAAAAAAACCATACTTTGCTTACTTAAAATTTCAGAGTTTCGGAATAAACAATATTACGATTTATGAAATCGATTTATTATAGGGTCATTGTCCCTTGACACTTGGTCCAATCAAATAATGACGACGCAATACTTTTAGTTTTTACTAATCAGACCGGCTTTTTTTTAGTTAATCTAAGTCAGCAATTGGACCGATACAATCATAATGTATTATATTTAATTAAATAAAAGTCAACAACTTGATCTCGTCGTCCATTTGTCGATAATCATATTAGTAGTAGTTAATATCTAAAACAAATTTGATTCTTTATAAACTGCTCAATATTTGAGTACCATCTTATAACTTAGAGCACTGACACAATTTATCTAAAGAACTCGGTAATAACTGATTATATACATATGTTAGTACACCTTATTATAACTAAGTTATCTACGAGTAATGATAATACATATGACGTTGCATATATAAGATTTGTTACAAATACCTGAGCCGTAAACCACTGATGACGAGTAGGATGAGACTCATTGAAGCAGAAAACGAAATCGTACTGCTAATAACCATTCCAAGATATAGTCCACGTTTCGAACTCTCGTGCTCGAATACCGAAGTTCCCGCTTTTGCCTTACAATTTCGATCTCCAGATGAACAATTATCACTCTCCCATACGCCACCTGGAGGACTAACCATAACTTGAAAGCTCATACCAGCTATAACCGTCGCTGCAACCATTAGATTTCCTCTGGTTTTTTCTAACCAGTCGCCTTGACGGTTCAGATACTTTACGAACCACTCCGATGATTCTTCGTATCGATCTTCTCCACCGTTGATCTCCATGATTCAATTCAAATGAATGTTTTAGAGAGAGTTTTTGTTTCTTGGTTTTATATATACGTTTAACTTTTCTTTTTGTCAAGCTTATAAAGGAAAATATGATGAGATTTGTATTTTCAGGAATAGAGATAGAAAGTTCTGTTTTGATTAAGAAATGAATTAAAGTCTTTATTTGAAACCATTTCTTTTTGTTGATCACAGGATTAGAGAAATATCTACTCAGACTATTTTTTGATCGGGTCAACGATATTGACATTAGAGAAGTCGTTGGGTATTTTTGTTTGTTTGTAAACAGAGTACTAGGTTTCTGCCTTTCTGGTGTAGAATACTAATTAATGTACAACATAAAATTTGACTTGATATGTTTGCTTTTTTTTTTCTTCTTTCACATCTGTCTTTAACTTCGTATTATTATGCGTCTAATGATTCTTAAGGTGATGAATGCTTTGTAATATATAGATTGGTTTTGGTATGCATGAGGTTCGAGTCTTCGAGATACTTGAAATAGAATAGCACTAGTAGCAAACATAAGGTAGAACATGATATCAATTTTGAAACAGTGGAAGGATATTTTATTTTCTTTGTCAAACACGTAATATTGTAGTTCGTGGAAAATAATAAAGTCCCATCAACCATGGTTATCGAACCGTTTAATACCAGTCAAAACCAAATATCATATTCCATTCAAATACTGCACATGTTGATGATTACCACAATAAATATGATGCTTTTACCGGCCACAAAAAAAGAAGATAGTAGATGAATCCTTGCATGCCACAGAAAATATGGGTTTACGTTACTAAAAAAAACCCTATACTATCCATTGATTGTTCCATAATTCAGGCCAAGTCTGCATGCGTTTATAAATTGAGAAAATAGTGTTGTGACGCTCCAAGTAAATATTTACATTTGTTCCAAATTAAAACGTGGTCTAAAACATCCTGGAATGTTTTGAAAAAACAAATACAATCCTTACTCCTTAGTAAGGGATCGTGGAAGGTTAGACTTAGATCAATGTAAATTGGGATCTTCACACAAAGCGTGTCGTTTATAATGAACTACGCGTTGTTTGATCCTTTTCCTTAAGAAAAAAAGTCAGAGCTTTAGATAGCGAGACGTCGTTTAATAACGGATGGGGGACTTTTCAATAGGATTAAACCTCAGGATAAAAAAGTAAAAACCAAACTACGTGAGGGTTTTATTTGAGTCGGCCAATTATAAGGGTTTGTTTTGCAAATTTCCCAAACAAACTCGACCAAATTAGGGTTTATCTCAGTTCCGTTCCAATATCATCACTAGTACATTGTTGAAGTTTCGTTAGCGACTGAATATCTTGCTCTTCGACCATGGCGGACGAACACCAGAACGACTATATGGACGAGGAAGAGGGGTTCAAGACACCACAAGCTTCCGAAAAGAAGAAGAAGATGAAGAAGAAGAAGAAGACAACAAGCGAAACAGAGAATCACGACGAAGGCGAGACAATGGAGATTAATGTCAAAGAAATCTCCGAGAAGCCAGACAGAGTCCCTCCGATTGTGGCTTATTTCGCGTCAGGATACGATCCTTGTGCGCAATCCGGCGAGAGAGAATCTCCGACTGTTACGGTTTACAGGAACAAGCTGGAGTCGAAGAAGAGGCTTCAGGTCGTGGTAAGCCCGCCTGGCAAAAGCGTGGAGTTCGTGGGATCGAATTATACTGGCGAGCAAGCGGCTAGACAGACTTGTGTGTATAAACTAGGTGTCCTTGATAAAGAGACTCAAACATTGAGAATTCTTCCGATTGCTCATAATAAGGTTGATTTCTTCGAATTCTTCTGTGACCTGGTTTTGATTTCAGCTTAGCTCTAGTGATTAGAAATGATTATGATTCAGAATTGGTTTGTGTCATTGAGAATCTAGATTTGGGTTTTACTGGGCAGATATTCAGATTGGAGCCAAGAGTTAAAACTAAAGAAACAGCCGATTCAGAAGCTTCGGAAATCACGGTCCTCCCGGGACGTAGGGAGAGACTAGCCGAGCTTGACCACGAGTTTGGAACCAAAAAAGCTATTAATCAGGTAACGCCACTCTTACTCTACAGTTTCAGTCATATGTGAAGCTGCAATATTCATAGAATTAATGTAGTCTCACTTGAGAGGATTGTTTTGTCTAAATGATATTGTGTGTGTGTGTCTATATGCAGGAGAAGAAGAGGCGTGCCAGAAATCTAGGAAATGATCCTGATGCTCAGAAGTCCGATGAGGATAAACTTGACAAAGTAGATGTTAACCAAAGTGCTCTTGAAAGCACCGCTTCTATGGTTGCACGCAACATTCCTCCTCATGATGCCTCTGCGACGAATCCGAGAGAAGCGTATCCTATAGAAAAGATCATCGAAAGCGGAGAATGGGTCTTTCTTCAAGATATTTACAAGCTTTTAGGACAGGAACCCAGAGCACCAACCGATGCTTATCCCGTATTCGTCCGCAACAGATTGTACAGGTTGGATGATATCAAGGTAACATTTCGATCCTTTTCTTGTAACACTTGAATATCATCTTGGCTTGGAAGCACTGTATGCTTACTCTGATCCAAAAAGAGATTTTGAACTTGTGGATAGTCATTTACAGGTCAGTTTGTTTATGCATTGATTTCATTTTGGTCTAATTGCAGGACGATGCTGAGAAGCAGTCGGTTTGTGGTGTCTTATCGTTCCTTACACATCTGGTTAAGTTCAAGGACATGAATTCAATGGATGGTTTCGATTCAGCTAAAAACCACAAGTTTCCGCCGATCGTCCGACAGAAATGCAAGACCTTGTTCAAGGATTCTGACTCAACCAGGATACCTGTTGACAAGATCAACCTTCTGATAAGCTACGTTCTTGTGCTCACCCTTCACGTGGATAAGTTCAAGACTGACCCAGAAGACATAGCCAAGGATCTTAGGATGAGCTCATTCGATCTGAGGAAGCATTTTGAGAACCTCGGTTGCAAATTCTCGCGTGAGAAGTCAACCTTTCTTGCGACCTTACCGGTCCCTCTCAAGTTCCAGCAGATTACTCGGAGGAGGAAACGATAGATCCCGGCTCTAACCCATGGCGAGTCGGTCGACCGCTCTGGACCCAGTTTTTTTTTTTTAAATGTTCTAAAATTTTGATAAACAAAGCCATGATTTATTATCCTTTTTTTTGTTTAAACAGCAAACCATTAATCTATTGTATTATTTTGTCTAAATTTATATTGCATTCTGAAATATCACATATTTAAGAGCCTTTCGACATTGTTGATTATGATGCCAACCCGTGATGAAACCAAATATCCTGTTAACAGTAAAGTTGTTGGAACTGTTGGATTCCAGATTTTATTTGAGACAAAAATCTGTCAACTCAATGTAAAGAATAGCAAAATAAGCAATTTTGAAAGGCGTGCCCAGGGCTAAAGGGATCAATCTGGTAGAAACTGTCTGAACCTGAGATTTAATGTCACTCTTATGAGCTTAGCTTTGATGTGTGTGTATGTGTGTGTGTGGATTTTAGAGCAACATAGATTCTGGGGTCTCGATGTAGCCCTTGAATGCTTTCAACCATTCAGCTCCAATCGCACCTGCACAAGGACGACGAATTACTATTAGACGTTTTCCATTAGATGATAATGATAAAAGCATAGGGAATGCAGGTAATTGTGTACCATCTATTACGCGGTGGTCACAGCTAAGTGTTACAGACATGTAAGAGGCAACGTTGAATTGGTCAGGGCCACTACCAGCAACAACTCTCTTTTCAGCTGTTTTGAGAATCAGAACACAAACAATACAATCAGTTAAGGGGAAGAAACTTCAGTGGATGGAGTGTGTGTGTGTGCGTGAGTAGGGCTTTACCGGATCCGATTGCTAGAATAGCAGCTTGAGGTGGATTAATGACGGCACAGAATTGTTTGATGCCAAAAGGTCCTCCCAAGTTGGAGACTGTGAATGTTCCTCCCTGTAAAAAGAAACAGTTTGGGCTGATCTGCTTTCGGAGAAGCATTATTTTAGTGAGAAGTGACCAATTTTAAATCTAACCACATAATCTTCAGGCTTCAAGCTGTTTTCTTTCGCTTTCTGAGCCAAGAATCGAACCTCTTCTCCAATTGTGGACAGTCCTTTCTTGTCCGCGTCCTGGAATAAAGCAATTTGATGAAGTGGGTTTTTTAAGAGATCTGAAGTTTCTGCAGAGAGATATTAACTATATTTAGTCTTCGCGCACCTTTACAACAGGAACGTAAAGCCCGTTTTCTGTTTGTACTGCGACATTGATGTTCACATTGCTAAATCTGTTCATAAAGAGGGGGAAAAGAACCAATAAATTAGAGAATTTACAAAGTTATCATGAGCCTCTGAAGCAGCAAATACACTTACTGGCGAATGTATTCGTCTGTCCATGAACTATTGCACTGAGGAACTTTCCGTAAAGCCAATGCAGCAGCCTGCAATTTCGAATAAGAAAAGATTTCACAATGGAGGACAGAGAAGGAGATTTGATTTGGCTTTGCTTTGAGAAACACAGGTTCATCGTACCTTAATAACAAGATCATTTACAGATATCCGTTTCCCGCCGGAAGCCTCTTGAAATGAATTCAGTTGACTCCTAAGACTGCATAAAAAAATGGCTGTGTTTAGCATCCATTGACCGGATCAAAATACATCATCTGAAACGTAATGCTTACCCCATCATTTTGTCAACACATGTATCCACGGTCAAGTAGTAGTGAGGAATAGTTTGCTTTGAGAATGCCAAACGTGAGGCTGTGACCTGTCAAAATCATACAATAAACAGATTTCAGAATCCTTGAATAGGGGAGATTTGGCTTATATAGTACGAAACAGAGAGATATGGGGTCCAAGTTATCCAGAAATCCAACAAGCAATCAATATAAAAGGTTGTATAGATATTTGCCTTTCGTATCTGAGTGTGAGGGATATCAACATAGTCCAAAGCTGGAACCTTCGAATCTGTGAGCTTGGAAGGCTTGGCAGTAGTTTCTTTACCGCGTGAAGCTGTACCACAGGAAGATGTATTAGGACAAAGAGATTGTGTAAATTCTGTTAATAGAGACAAGAAAGTCCCGGAGATAAATGTAATGAGAGAGAAGAGCCAAGGAGTTATGTTACCTAGGAACTCTTCGACATCAGCCTTCACTATTCGTCCTTCAGGGCCTGTGCCATTGATGCTTGAGAGAGGTACCTAATGATTTAGAGGGAAATGTAGGAGATAATTAAGAGCATGGAGATTAAGCACAATAGCTTTAGAAGTATAATTTTGGAGACTAACACTATTATCTTCAGCCAACTTTTTTGCAAGAGGACTAGCAAAGATACGATCTTCTGAAGGAGCTGAGCTTGGCTTGGAAGTCTTGGCTTCAGGAGCACTGGCTGGCTTCTCGACCTTCTCTTCCTTTGGTGGGGACGGAGCTGGTTTTTCTTCAGGGGCAGCAGGACCAGTATCAGATGAAGGGGTGTAATCTTTGAACTTTTCAATATCTTCTTCTTCTTCAACTGTGATAGCAATCACCTAGTCGGACAAAAACACAGGAGAATCTATAAATGATTCTACAAATGACAACGAAGATAATAAACACGTCTCCAAAGGCCAGATATTTTCATACCTCCCCAACTTGAATTTCTTTTGCACCCTCCTCCTTTACTATCTTGGCGAGATAACCCTCTTCCATGCATTCCATTTCGACGGTTGCTTTGTCCTAAAAATATATAGCTTGATATTAATGTTATATTCCTGGCATGATAGTAAAAACAAAGAAGAGTTTCAACTTCAAGTAACATTACAGTTTCAACTTCACAAAGCACTTCACCAGGAGCGACTTTATCACCTTCTTTCTTCAGCCACTTGGCAATGTTACCCTAAAGTTTGGACATATAGCTTTAGTAAAAATATAAAGTAATTTTTATCCATGTAAATATTAGTAAGGAGGCACTCGGGGGTTCATGCCTCAGTCATTGTTGGCGAGAGCGAAGGCATTCCGATCTCTTGATGAGGAGGAAGATCTGATAAAATTTTCATAATAGAAATTCTGTGATAAACATGTTATACGTCGTTATCCAAATACATAGCTAGCATATACAAGACATGACGTTTTTCCTACGAATGGTACGAAAAAAGACCTGGCAAGACTAAAATCAGAAAATTGTTTTTCTCTACAGAAATTATCATTGCGGACAAAGATGTATAATAAGAGCAAGCAGGAAGTTACAAGAGTAAAAAATAAAGTCTGGATGAAGAGTTAATTACCTGAGCTGGATGAAAATCCTCTTACTGATCGCATCTGGGAGCTGATATGCAACAAAAGAAGCTTACAGTTAGGATAGACTTATGTATTCAAGCAGGCTGCAAGAAGAATGCATTTTGGCATATGTTTTTTAGATGAATACCTACCTTGTACATTCTCTGAAAAACGTTGGCCCCGTCATAGTGCTGCTTAGTTTTGTGCTCATTGCTGAGATACCACTAGGCATTGGTACCTAAAAAGAATACAGTTAATGACATTACGACTAAAAAATACAGACGAATCATGCTATAAGACATGATGAGAAAGGAAACTGAACAGCAGGGGCTTACATTCGAAATCCTTTCTACCACGGAGTAATTCAGGCGAGTCTTGAGCATATCTGAAGACCAAAACAGAAAATGCTGAAGCAACAAGCATACACTCAAAACATATTAATATTCAGTTTATCAATCCCATGGTCAAGATCGTTATCATGTTCTTCGATGTGAATGTCAAATCTTGTTTCCGAAACAATCTAAAAGAAATGACGAAGAAACTAGTTTACATTCATTATCAGATGAGCTGAGGAAAGCAATGACATTTACCTTCTCTTCCAGTGAGAGAGGTTTGTGTACAGTTGGAGAAAGCGCGGGCGGACACAGCGTGCTCACGACGCAGTAAAGTGGAAACATGTTTCAACTGTCAAATTACACAATTTACAGATATTGATATTTGAGCAACTGAGAAATTACTCTGCTGTAAAAGTAGAGACTTTCTGCTAGCTATTCATCATCCCCACAAAAGCATGGAGGAATGTACAGTTAACACCACAATTGCCAATCATAAAAGCGAAAAGCTACTGACATTAATTGAACACAACCCTCTCTCATCAAAAATAACTCAAACATGTACAAATGAGTTCACTAAAGCTCTAAATGACCATGATTCGTTAAAAGAAAATCAAATGAAGAGTCTATCGGATTCGAACAAAACCCAGAAAATCACCAGGAAGAAGAAAAAGCTATATAATTCAGATTGGCAGAGAAACACAAAGATCACGAAACATGATCGACGGAAAAAAACCGATCAAAAAGGCATAGAAAATGAAAATGAGGAAACAGAAACCTTCTTGGAATGATTGATGATACGGGAAGCGTAAGCCATTGTTTTTGCAATCGGAACTGCTTCAGCCGATCCGAAATTCGCAATTAGATGGGAAGGGACTTAGTGAAAAAAATAAAATGGTGGGACTGTTTTAGGGTTTGTTCCTTTCTTTTTCAGAGACAGCAAAAATATCAGAGATCGAGATTGATAATATCGTCGATATTTGACTTGTGAAATTTTAATTTTTTCAGTTCGAAATTCATTCTTTTTCGACTTCTCTCTGATTTATTCTCTGAGCTTTTGCGCCTCACCAAAAGACAGCGATCATCAGGTGCATCTAATGAACGGCAGGGATTAGTCCGATTTTAAAAAGTAAGCTCTACTATTAATGGGCCTCCTCCTAGGCCCATTTCTAAGTTAAAAATTTTCTTTAAATTCGTGTTTGATTTGCAGGTTTGGGGAAAGAAACGGTTTCAGTGAGCGAGGAAGAAGACTGAATCTGTTGCAACAATTCCATGTACAACAAATTCAAGAAGAGGTGTTGTTCGTAAAGATATTTTCTGCTAATACTTTCACTTCTGTATTCTCCTAGATTGTAAATCCCGAATAACTTCTTTGTTAAGAAAAAGGTTGTTGGAAAAGACAAAAACATTCCAAGAGAAAATTAATTAATGAAGAATGTTTGCTTTTCTGGTCACAAAATAATGTAGTACATATTGTTCCTAATTTTTTTTCACTAGATAATCTTTTCATCGATTGAAAGTTTTTTTTGTTCTCAATTTGCCAAAATTGTTAAAAATTGAGTTAAGACAAGAACTAGTCTAGGAAAATCCTTGTCCGACCCAAAAAAGTTAATGAAAGATTACATAGGGGTAAAACCGGAATTCCTAAAAAGAATAGGAGAAGATTTCCGATCGAGAAAACCCTAACACGTCTCGTTAAAAACAAAAAAAGAGGAGTATATAAAAGATAGTATCGCGTTTGCCCTCTGCCTCTTTCCGATTTCTTCAGTCTCTCTTTTAAGCCTCAATCTTCGCTCTCGCTCGCTCTTTTCTCTCCCTTCGCGGTTTAGATCGGATTTTGGGAGATTCAGGCTCCCTAAGTTAACAAAAAAGCACTCTACTTTCAGCTACCAATCTCTTTCGACTTTGCTCCAGGTTTGCATCGGATTTGTCTCTCTTTTCTCGATTCCTGTGATTGTCGATGCCTTTGTATGCTTTTTTATTTTTTTTTCCAATCATTGATTGGGTTTGGGTGTTTTATTCGATAGATGTGGTAAAGTTTAAAAATTTCTGCGATTTACAATCTGAAAAGTGAAAACTTCTCCGCCGATACTCTTAGATCGCGTTACTTTTGAATCTCTCTATTAGATTCTGGGTTGATGATGACGAATATTTATTTAGGATCTATCTATCACTTAAAAGTGGCAATTTTTCCTACTGGTTTTGTAGAATTTGTAACCAATAGGTTCCGTTTGGAAGACTCAAGTTTTTGTAGGCTCTCTCAATAGAACAGGGTCCTACTCAAGCTAAGGTGTTTTTTTGTTTGTTTGACCTTAGACTCACTGTGTATCTGTATTTAAGACTATAAATTGGAGAAATTAGGTTGAGTGGTGTCTACAATATTGGATAACCATGTGCCTTTTTAAAACATTCTCTCCGAACATCATCGGAGACAGATATTAATGCTTATTTTCCTCTCTTGATGGACTACGAGTTTGGCTATTCTGTCACATTCATTCTCTGCAATAATCTTCCCGCGAGATCAAGTTGTCTTTTTTCTTCTTTTTCCATACGTTTCTTTTATCCCTTATTGTTGTTGTTCTGTGTATGTAGTCATGGCAGGATCTGCACCAGAAGGCACACAGTTTGATGCACGTCAGTTCGACCAAAAGCTAAACGAAGTGTGAGTTTTCTGTTTCTTTTTTCATCGCTTTTCGTTCTTGAGTTTTGCTCTTTTCCACACGGATGTTTATACCCTAGTTACTAATTGTATTGTATGGATACAGACTTGAAGGACAAGATGAGTTCTTCACCTCTTATGATGAGGTTCACGAGAGCTTTGACGCCATGGGTCTCCAAGAGAACCTTCTGAGGGGGATCTATGCTTATGGTACGTGCAGAAGACCTTGAGAAAGCTTTCTTTTTGTGATCTATGTCTCTCTCTTTTTGAAACCCCAGCTAATGTGGGCTTTTGTGTCTGTAATAACAGGTTTTGAGAAGCCTTCTGCTATTCAGCAAAGAGGAATCGTCCCCTTTTGCAAAGGTCTCGATGTGATCCAACAGGCTCAGTCTGGGACAGGGAAAACCGCAACTTTCTGCTCTGGTGTCTTGCAGCAGCTAGACTTCACCCTCGTCCAGTGCCAAGCTCTGGTTTTAGCTCCAACTAGAGAGCTCGCTCAGCAAATCGAGAAGGTCATGAGGGCCCTCGGTGATTACCTTGGTGTCAAGGTTCATGCCTGTGTTGGTGGAACCAGTGTCCGTGAGGATCAGCGCATCCTCCAAGCTGGTGTCCATGTAGTTGTTGGAACTCCAGGACGTGTCTTTGACATGTTGAAGAGGCAATCCCTCCGTGCTGACCACATCAAGATGTTTGTTCTTGATGAAGCTGATGAAATGCTCTCCCGTGGTTTCAAGGACCAGGTTTGTCTCTATCTATATCTCCCAGGAGGAGTGTCAAATCCATTTGCCATTATGGCCATATTAAAACTCATGATGATCTAAGTACTGGTTTTTTTTGTTGATGTTGGGATTTTTTTTTTCAGATTTATGACATATTCCAGCTTCTCCCACCAAAGATCCAAGTGGGTGTGTTCTCAGCAACAATGCCACCGGAAGCTCTTGAGATCACAAGGAAGTTCATGAGCAAGCCAGTGAGAATCCTGGTGAAGCGTGACGAGCTGACCCTTGAAGGTATCAAGCAGTTCTACGTCAACGTCGAGAAGGAGGAGTGGAAGCTCGAGACGCTTTGTGATCTCTACGAGACGCTTGCAATCACTCAGAGCGTCATCTTCGTGAACACTAGGCGAAAGGTTGATTGGCTCACAGACAAAATGAGAGGACGTGACCACACGGTGTCAGCGACTCACGGAGACATGGACCAGAACACGAGAGACGTCATCATGAGAGAGTTCAGGTCGGGATCGTCGCGTGTGCTCATCACAACTGATCTCTTGGCTCGTGGAATCGATGTGCAGCAAGTGTCTCTGGTTATCAACTACGATCTGCCGACACAGCCGGAGAATTACCTCCACCGTATCGGAAGAAGTGGAAGGTTTGGGAGGAAAGGTGTGGCGATCAACTTCGTGACACGAGACGACGAGAGGATGCTGTTTGATATTCAGAAGTTCTATAATGTTGTTGTTGAAGAGCTTCCTTCCAACGTTGCGGATCTGCTTTGAAGAGCCAAGTGCCATCCATCTCAATCCAATTGCTGCTATTCTTCTTGCTTAAAGGTTGCGGATCTGCTTTGAAGAGCCAAGTGCCATCCATCTCAATCCAATTGCTGCTATTCTTCTTGCTTAAAGGATCCCATCCTCCCTTGGTCTAACACCCAGTTTTTTTTTTTGGTTTTTAATGTTTTAAAAATTTGTTAAAAAAAGCCTATGATCTATTATCTTTTTTTTTTTGGGTTAAAGAACAAACCTTTTGATTATCTATTATTATCTAAACTTATTTTGCATTCTAAACTATCCCATATTTAATACTTCTTTTATTTTTTTATCACTTGATCTTTCTGTAAGTTAACATATTAGAGAATCGTCTTAAAAAAAAATTATCATTAAAAATATAAACTATGAAAACAAAATGAATTTTAACTGTTCACCAAGAAGTAACAAAGAAGTAACTATGACGTTAAGACTTTATTTGTCTAATTCACGCGTGGATTATGCAGTAATGCCTTTTCTTCTGTCTTTTTACATCTTTCTTTTAATTTCGAGATCGTATTTTAGTTTACAAATAATGTTATTTGGCCCTACTAGAAATATAAACTTCTAACTTTTTGAAAATAATATTTTATTTCTCTGAAACAGATATGTATATAAATTTCCTAGGGGCTAATGTAATAATGTTCATTATAAGTTTAGTCAAGCCCACCGCCGACAAAGGTTGCTCGGCTTTATATATTTCAAATGAAATTATTGGTCTGAAAAGTTCCGCATAGTTTTTTTTTTTCTTTTTGTCGTCCCGCATAGTTTTCTTCAAGAAAACACGAAGCGAGTTTTTATTACATTTATTAAAGAAATGAATTCAAATTATCTCTTCAATTTATTTCCTGTGAGAAATTTGGTTTGGACAAATCCACGTGCCTATTAGAAATAGTTGGGAAAGCTTCACATCCACACAAACCAAACCACGGCAAGCATAGAAAACAAACATGATTAGTCTAATGAATTAATACCAAATTTACGTATTTACGTTTTCTCTATTTGTAAGTTGTATAGCAATTTTAACGTCAAAAAAATTGTTTTGCGTTTAAAAGAAAAAAACATAAGTGGGTCCTTGACCAACTCCACATGAATTTCCAAAAATGAAGCCTTTTATTATTTGATAAAGAAAAAATCATTTCGTAAATTTCCTTTTATAACTTTTTACAGACAAAATCCATTAAACAAAAACAGAGAAGACTATTAGTTCGTCAGACAAAAACTCAAACCCAAGGAGCCGGTCATGGAGAATTATTACAAAGAAATGGAACCACCAGCCGCCGCCGCACCTGGAAACCGCCGAGACGCAGCTGCGGTGAGAGGATACACCGCAAGTTTCGACGATTCAACCGCCGATCAGACGAACGATTACCAGATGAAGATAAAGAAAAGCAAAAGCGTTCCAAACGCGGATCGTGCGGCATCTAGAAGCTGGAGTTTCAGCGATCCGGAATCGCGGAGGAAGAGAAGAGTCGCTGGCTATAAGGTTTACTCCGTCGAACAGAAGATGAAGGGATCCATTAGAAAGAGCTTCAAATGGTTCAAAGACATTATCGGTATTTCTTGAAATATTCTCCATCACTTTCTTTCTTAATATATACATATATAAATACTATATGTAAAGAAAAACCAATCGATGGATCTCTTCGTGCTGAGTATTTAAATATCGAATTATCTTTCTCTTGCAATGATATCAGGCAATATATATATATATATATATATATAGACTTCCCTTTGAATGAGACAGAGATAATGAATGAAAGCAGTTTCCATACCTACCTGTGAATATGACCATACTTCGATTCTTCAGTTACATCAAAAACATTACTTTCTTCCAAAAACTACATATAAGAATGATGAACTCACTAATTCAATTTTCTTTTCTTTTTTTCGATTTTCTTTCTTTAGTATACACACACACAAACTCGCACAAATACAAATTTCTTTCCTCACTTTCTTTGTTTCCTATTATCTTCAATCCCAATACTCTCTTTGTTCTGCTTCCTCCAACTTAACGGATTTTCCTCGAGAATGAGGAAGTCAGAAGGAGAAAGCAAAAAAAAAAACTTACTGGATCAACTATGATGTGTGGTGGACGTTGTATCACTTGATGCTGAGGCGCTCGTACCGCTCATACCGCTCATAACGCTCAAAATAGAGTGTTTTCTCTGGAGCCTCTCTCTCAGCTGGCGGATCTTGGCATCAACCCGAGCCGTGACTCCAATCTTCGTCTTCTCTCTAGCCTTGGATCTCTCTCTCGTCCACATACGCTCGTCCTGGACGTCAATCCTGAAATGCTTGATCTCTTGAATTATGTGATGGTCCAGAGGATTTAACAATCTCTGGAACGAAATGTGAGCCAAGTAAGGAAGTGTTGTAGCGGCTATGACCAGCAGTGAGGTGAGCCAGAATATTGGTGCAGGTGCTAGGGTTTCGACAAGCATGTGGAAGATGTTGCCTGAGATTTTTGGAGGTAACATGCCAAAGAGAGCAAGGAAGATGTACCAGGTGAAGATACTTCCCCAGATCAAGGCGTGTTGGATCCAAGTGAAATGACTCATCGTTAAAGCAATCTGTACATTCACTGCCCAGATGATGCAAGTAAACATTGCGGTTCCCATTGCGTCCATGTCTGCTGTTTGGCCATTGGAAGAGAAAGATTGGACATGGAAGATGCCAAGGTTGAGGCTGAAGATGACTACGGATGCGTAGACTCCATTTCCCATCCACCCGATGATTCTGTACCAGTCGAAGAACAGGTTCTTGGGGCCTTGCTGGTACAATGCAGGGAACTAGAGAGAGAGAGAGAAATGTAAGATTAGAAGAAGGGTTTGGAATTTAAATTGGAGAGGTTTAACTGAATGGAGAGGAGTAAACCTGTAAGCAAACTTCTGAAGACACGTCTTGCTCGAAAACTCCGAGGGAGATGACGGGGAGAGAAGTGAGAATAACGTTGAACAGCAACAAGTAGGAGTCGTTGTATATAGCTTGACCAGAAAACCCGGTGAAAGCCTCGAAGTAGAAGAGAGTTAGACCAAACGTTATGTTCTTGTAGAAGAAGTAACAGATCTGTCAGAAAAGTATATGAGTCAGGTTGGTATCTTGTTTAAATGGGTAACGATGAAATCGCCTGTGTAATAGTTATTTGAATCACAGATAGTTACCATCTGGGCTATTCTTTTGTAGCACCAGTGCCCGTGGACAACAAGTAGTCTCTCTAGAAATCGAAACTGGGCTATGGAGAAGTCGCTCGCCATTACAGCCTGCAAAAAAAAAAAACAATGGATTTGCAATCAGAAACAGACCAATATGAGTCTCGTTGTATGGACAAAGGAGAGTGTGATTACCTGCATGCCTTCAACGCCACTGATACCTACACCTATATCGGCTTCTTGAATCATTCCAACATCATTTGCACCATCACCAATTGCCAAGGTTGTCTTTCCTGTTCCTTCTTTTGCTAGTCTCGTTACCTAGAAAACCAAGATAAGTATAAAATAAGTGATTTCCATCGAAAATAAGAAGATATCATTAGGAATTGTGGTGAATTAATCTTACAAGTGCTTTCTGCTTGGGAGAGACACGACAACATATCACTGAAGCACAGTCAACTGCCAGGGCAAGAAACTGATACTTAATGCCATCCTCCAAAGCATATGTAAGTGTCTTCCCATCAATGATCAAAGCAAACGCTGCATGTGGATCTTTCTCTAGTTTGATCATCTGTGAAGCATTTATGATCTGCATCAAAATGCTCTCTCTAGCAGCCTGGCCATTAACAACAACAAAACGAGTTTTCACATCAAATGCTATGAAGCAGTAATGTAGGTTTTTGTAATATCAGCCTAATACATACAGCTTCGGGGTCTTGGGGTGATTCCTCTTCATTTCTAAGTGCTATGGATATCTGTTTCATACCCTGGCGCAGTAAACTGCAGGCATATCTGCATTTGGAAAAACAAAGAATTTACTTCATTTAGTATCAATTATAAAAAAACCTCCCATTTTCGGGGCCGTGGTGTTATCAGCAGCATAGAAGAACAACATACCCTATGTTGATTGCTGTCTCCATCTTATCTCCTGTCAAAACCCATATCTTGAGACCAGCTTGGGCAAGTTTATCTATGCATTGAGGGACCTGAAACGAACAATAAACACTAAGCTGAAAAAAATGTTCAAAATTTCGCGTCTTGGTGAGAATCACAACTAAACTTCCACTGCATACCCCTTTCTGCAGTTTGTCTTCCACTGCAGTTGCACCGACAAGAATCAGTTCCTTCTCCATCATATCAGATACTTTTTCGAGCATTTCATCTCTATCAGCTCCAACTGAAGTTTTGGCTTTGTGAAATTCACTGTTCCAGACCGAATACTCAGTCTCATCCAGCTTTCTATAACTGAGCGCCAACGTGCGTAAACCTGCTTCACCGTATCCATTCAAATGCTTGGAAGTGGCTTCTAGATAAGTTTTACCATTCTTGGATAAGCGGTCAAAAATGATGCTGCAAAATTTTAAGATAAAGCATTGAACTTTACTTCAGAAGAACTGATATGCATATGGAAGTGCTAGAAGTTATGCAGCCAACCTGTCAGCACCTTTACAGAGTAGAAAAATCTGCCCTTTTTCATCACGGACGATAACAGACATTCTTTTTCTCTTGCTAGTAAAGTCCAAAACATTTAAGACTTTGTATTCTCTGTAAAATATCCGGCATGTAGTTAGATATATGTTCACTGAGACAGAAAGAAATAAGTGAGAATATTTACAGTTACAATCACACCTTTCAACTGGTTGGCCTGAAAATCGTTCACTAATAAACACACTTGATTGAGTTCTTTTAGTAAACTCAAAACCAAACTCCCCAGCGGCAACAAGGAAGGCAACTTCGTCAGGAGACTCTGCTTCATAAGTACATTTTCCTGTATCTTCATCCACTTCGGGAATAGCAGTGTGACAAACAGCCAGTATGCGCAGAAACATCAAAATGTCATCTGAATTGGGTTCATATAACCAGTTTCCACTCATGAGACGTTGATCCTCAAAACTAAACCCCTTGACACCAGTGGACTGCGTCTGATCTCTTTCGTCAGTAGCAGTGATTACAGTCTCCAACTCAATATCTGATGATGTCTTGCTGGGCATCTTAGCATACCCATGCATCCTTCCTCTAGTCCTTGGAAGGTCGGTCGTTTCTTCACCTTGCTCCTCGTCGAGGTCTATTGCCATCTGCTTTGCAGCAGCTAGTTCTACTTCACTGGCGCGAACACCATAAGAAGTACCCGCAATGGAGCATTTCAGAAAATCCATCTGGTTACATGTCAAAGTTCCTGTTTTATCGGATAGGATTGTGTCAACCTGTCCCAGCTCTTCATTCAAATTTGATGTGCGTGCTTGCGCTGGAGTCCCGCTCTCGCTATCATACATATGCAAGTCTTGGTTTATGAAAGTTGCCTGCAGAACTTTTACGAGCTCGATGGAAACATACAGTGAGATGGGAATCAAGTACCCATAAAGCAAGACAGCAGTGATCAGATGGACAACCCAAGCGTGAAAAGGATTTCTTGGATTTGTTAAGCGCTCGGGCTTGTCTGGTCGTAAGTACCACCAATCTCCCATATGCATTTTTGTCATCACTGCAAAACCCAGTGAGCTGATGAAGGAGACGAGCACAAGGAGTGCAAAAAGAGTGTATATGATGTAATCCATTCTCTTTTCAATTCGGCTTCGTTTTGAAGGGGATTTTGTTGAATTCTGCATGACTTTTGTGTCATGGCCGGTAAATATCACCACCCCATAGACATAAGACGTGTTCCTGAGCTTTGAGTCTCTCAAGAGAATCTGGCTAGGATCAAGCGGATAAACCTGACCATCATATTCAAGATTTCCAACAAAAGTATACAGGTTGGGATTTGGATCTTCACATTTGATAGTTCCGGAGAAACTCTGGAAAGCATCATCCCGTTCCAAAGGCAGAGTAACATCCAGACATCTCTTTACTTTTAAGTTGGTTTCGCCATCTAAGTTCATCGTCTCCACATAACAGATCCCATCCTCGTAACTTGATGACAATAAGAGCAAATCAGCTGGGAAAAACTGATCCTTCTCCACCTTTACTACATCCCCGACACGGATTTTCTTCCACTTCCTACGACCAAACTCGCCATCCCCTCTGTGAACAATGGCTTTCCTCGAATTCACTTCCACGTCCTGCATAAACCGGCGCCAATCCTCCAAGGCCTCCTTACCCATGCTAAGCCCGACCACAAAAATCAATGGCGCGATCATACTCCATTTGTTGAATGGGGAGAGAGGAAACACAGAGAGAATCGCTGCTACGAGGAAGTAGAAATTGGCAACACGATGGAATTGCTCGTACAAGCATTTGGGTAAGAAAGTGATGAGGTTATACCTAGTTGTGGACACATAGTTTGAAGTGTACCTAAGGACTTTAGCAAGGTGCATATGAGGCTGGTTACAGTGAACGATTCTCGTGTATCCAGGTCCATTTATGATATGAGGTCCTTGATCTTCTAAAGTTTTTGGCCTAAGGCATCTGAAGGTGTAAAAATGGCTTTTCCGGATTCTTGATCTTATTCTGCGACGCCCCATTTTCTCAAAGCTTCCACCTCAACGCACGAGAGACAATTTAGCAGCAGCTGAAGTAACACGAAGAACTCTTTTACCAATGATGTGAGATTAGCTCCCGTGGTTCAGAGGCCCTCGCCACTGTGAAATCAAACGAAATCAAGAAAACATTTCAGCTTACGTGACCTAAAATGTCCATCACCACAAACAATTGAGTCCTTGAAAAACCGCAAAATTCATCGCATTTAGGTTCATCTCCGTTAACCGGAATCAAAAATATTCGATAAACGATCACACACCATAATCAATCGAGGACCTAAAATCATCTCCTACTAAGAAATTCCGAATTCGACGCGCGTCAAATCACCAGCATTCCCCAAGAAAACCCCAAAGCTTGCAACACAAGACAACGGAAACCCCTTGAATGTGACCTAAATCCCAAAATCCGTGGAGTAAATTATCAACAAAGGAGCATCAAATCAAGTTTCGAGCGAGAATTACCTTGAATCGGGAGGCTCGTTCATCAAGAAACTCGTAAACCCGAACACCGATTACGACACCAAACAAAAAAAAGAAAAAAAAAAGCTGATCTACGGCGAAAAAAAAAATGCAACAGAAGAGAATGGACGGAGAAGGAAAGGCTCTTCTCGTGTTCTCACTTTCTCTCTCTCTTTGAGGAAGAAGAAAGATCCAAAGAGAAAATAATCTCTCTCTCTCTCTCTCTCTATCTCCCTCACACTCTCTCCGACTGCAACTCAAAAAACCCAACGCAGCAATTTCCGTTTGCCTTTCTTCTCTCTCTCTCTCTACTATTCAGCTTCCTATTTTTGTACATTAAAGAAAATTACCGATTTTCTCTCTCTTTTATTAGTGTTTTTAGTTAAAACGAAAACCATTAATGAATTTATTGAATTACTGACTTGTATTGGCAATAACAAAATGGTTGTTTAGTTATATTGACAAAGGAATTACCTGGCACAAAGTTGATTTCTTGTTACCTTTAGCTGAAATGGTATGTGATAAGTAAATTGGTGTTTTGTTTTGTTTTAAATCATTTTGACGCTTCATTTAAAATAGCTCGAAAATAGTTACTACAAGCCTACATTAGTGATGATAATAATCTAAGAGAGAGACATATTGTATGTGAATTAATATTGTGTCTAATTATAGACTAACAAAGAGAATGGTTAAGTAATTAAGGGGCACAATGGCATCTCCAACCCTCAGGCTGGTAATTAGCATAGTGAGGAGAGAGGTGAGGAACTGAAGAAATGGTAGGAACTTGGATTGCTTCACATGGCTCACATCCATAGCATTTCTTCTCACAACTTGGTGGCTTTGATCCTATTCTTCTTCCTTTCTCCATCTCTTCTCTTTCCTTGTTCTCGCTTGGCTTCAATATGGGCCTCATAGACTTGTGTTCTGCAGCCTGTGGGCTACTTCTCTCTGCAGGCCCAATAGTAACTACTATTAAGAAAAAAAAAATATATATATATATATATATATATGTATGTATAAAGTATTTCAAGTTTCCACTAATAAGAACATAATACTCTACATTTTATATGCTTCTTTTTTTTGCTCTAAGAAGAAAACACAAGAACACAGAGACAGTTATCATCTACCTTTTTTGTTGTCTGATCTGTAATATTCATTTTCACATCTATATAGTAAAGAAAAAGTAATATTCATTTTCACACTATAATTATTTTCTTACCGTTAATCACACGAATATTTGGGACCACGGCAGTCTAAAATAGTCACTAGCTATTACAACTTCGAGTCCTTAATTTGCTCAAAACTAGAAAAAGGACATCACAAATTCAACATAATCTTGTTTTGCAGATAGAAACTAAACAGATAAATTTTTCTTCACATCAACATATCTACATATCCGCCTATCACTATTTACCTTCATACATATATAGTAAGGGTATGACCGTATGAGTAATTACTAATCTCAGAAGAAATGAAAACTAAACCTGGATGAAAAGAAACTTGATTGGAATCAATATGCCTGCTTGTTGCGTAAACCCAGCTCGCTATTTGTATCATAACCATTATAACTACATAACAGTTTCTTATTTCTCTCACTCGCATGATGATGATGATGAACTGATGATGATGACTACAATGATCAATGATGTATATAGAGGCTTGAAGAAGATAAAGAAGATAAAGAAGAAGAAGAGTGAGAAGAAGCTTGTGGGTTTTAGAGGACTTTAGGCCTAATGCCTACAACATAGGAGAGGTTGTTGCTTATGGAACAAGTGAAGTTATTTTTTTTACCATATCTATCAAGTCTTGCCTTTTCTTTTGATTAAAAAAGCAAACCGATTAACTTATGAGCAATTTCTCTTTTTTTCTCAAAATTTCGAATTTTTGGGATTTTACAACTCATTAATTGAATATTTTTTCTGACTAGTGACACGTCTCAGTACATGAAAGTAAATATTCGAATCAGAGATCAGAGGAGAACAGATAAGAAATGCGAGAGAGAGAGAGAGAGAGAGAGAGAGAGAGAGAGAGAGAGAGAGAGAGAGAGAGAGAGAGAGAGAGAGAGAGAGAGAGAGAGAAAGAGAGATAGAGAGTGATGTACGAGATGGTCCATTCATCAGAACAATGCTATTGATGGGATGAAAAAAAAAAATCAGAACAAAGCTATTATGTAATTCTACCAACAACAAAAAACGAATACAACTGATATAACAAATAATATTCCTTTTATGCATTATCTTTCGATCCTTTTTTTCTCTTTCTTTTTTGCATGGACTGCAGAGCCATTCTTCAGCTCAATGGCCTCCTTTCCTTTAAGAGCAATAAAAGAAATAAACTAGTAGAAGGGTCTCATTTATGAAAAGTCATCCTTTTTATCCACTTTTTCTGATAAATACCCACAAATCCTTCACATTACAGGTACATCGTATATATATTGAGTCTTTTGACCACACAAAAATATGATATATCATATATGTACCGTATATATATATATATATGTACTTCGCATTGCATGATATAGGTACCTGTGTATATATGAATATATCATATATGTACTTCACATTACATATGTGTAGGAATGTCGTCTGCATTGAGAAAATTGATTCTTTTAATTGATACTGACTCCATCCTTCCGTATCGAAACATGACACTTAATTTGGAAGAAAGTGAACTTTGAATATGTACCGTCTATTTTGCATATCAATCAGATTACTCCTTTTTTTTAATTACGCTAATCAAATCAAATTCGATTTTCTAAACATGACTTACAAAGTGAAGTGTTTAATACGTTATGTACTTATATACGTGTTATTTCTAAACTGATAATATCCGTGTTCAGTGACAGTGTTATTTACATGCACTAAGCGTACGTATACATGGAAAGAGGCTTGGTGGTGTCAGCTCGAATAAATGAATGGAAATGGACACATCATATTTCTAATTTTAGAATATGGTCCGAGAAATTTTCATAAAATTGACTGATCAATTAATTTCTAGTTTTAGTTAACGCCAAGCTCACACGGAGTCTGAAGGCTCCTCTGAAAAGGAATCGTATCAGTCAAATTTTTATTTCACAGTTTTAGCAGTTTCTTTACATCAAGTAAAATCAAATATTCTTCCTACCTTTTTTCCTACTTCCTACAAACTTGTTTTCCGTCGTAAAACAAATTTGATTGGCATCTACCAGATTTGAATATCGTCCAACGAGTAAAATGAATAAAGAAAGCTGTTTAAAAGTACTCACATTTGACTTTGGCAACAAAGATTACTTACGTTTGACTCGATTCAAACATTTTATCTAACGAGTATTATTGATTATTTGTTATATGCAAAAAGGAAAAAAACCTGATTGGCTATGAACTGTCAAGTGTACTGGATAGCACCTGGAAATAGCTGTGTTAATGTCACTGTGATTTGATTAGTCATTGCCAGAAATTAATGAAATTTACTTTTATTCTTCTTTTGTTTTTGGTTTAATGGCGTTTTATTCTTATTGGCTCCCAGTAAAATGTGATAAATTTTCATTGTAAGTACAGAATAAATACTCTTAAAATATATAGAATAAGAAAATATCGGACCAAGATGAACTAAATTTATGGTTTAAAAGTCCGCAATACATTTGATCATGATTCCTGATATGCCTACGTAACGAAGAAGTTAATTCTTTAATTTATGATATAATTTTTCAAAAAATAAGATTGAATGTACTCTACATTAACATGTTGACATTTTAATGGTTTTGTGTCGCAGCTGTTTTTGTTTTTGGGCTTATATTCATATTTTGGGAATTCATTCCCAAAACCCTGCTTTTAATAATCAAACGACCAGGTTGACCAAATATATTTTTTATTAAACGACCAGATATTCCAATTTTTTCACAAGATTTGTTACTATTTTATCTCTTCTATGTTTTAACGTTTTCACATACAGTATGTATTAGGAAGCAATTTCACAAATGTTTGATTTTAAGGTCGTCTATAAATTTAATGAATCATACAGGTTCATCAGGATCATTTTTTATTCTAGAGAGAATCATGCAGTTGCAATCTCTATCCCCATAAGAACTATGAAAGTGAACGCTGAACCAAATTATGGTGGAAGTATGACGAGAGCTTCCTTCTTGTCTGTGTGGAAGCTTTTATATTATGTCCAACGAACTTTTATGTTCTTATACATGTATGTTCCCATAATGTATACATATGTGTGCACATATATAAGATAAACAGGCCAACCCAATACTCGAGTTAAACCGGTTTACATGCTTATAACATATAACTCATATATGATAGCTTAGTGACCTTCAACCTATCTACTACAAATTACTGTCAAATTATTGTTTTATTATATTCTGATATAATAATTCGTGTGTAATCTGATGCAGAAAGTCCTACAAAAACGGCTTCCGAAAACCTGACCAACATCACATTCTTGTTCTATTATATTACATAAACATTAATCATCTTATTTCATTGTATTCGTGTCACGTTTTTGAATCGTCCAGAACAAGATAACTATGCATGAAAGTATGCGTATAGTTTAATAATGTTGAGAGTTCATCAATGGAGCAAAAGAGATGGGATCAAAGAAATTGGGTAAGAGGTCAGTTTCAGAACCACCAAGAAGATATATGTCAAATTATGAAAATAAAGGAAATTTCCGACAGAATCTCGGGTCCGTTGAGCTTTGACTTCTTTAAACAGCATATAACCAAATTTCACTTCAAAAGACTAGAACTTATTGCAGTTTTAGTGTTTCGTTATCTACAAGTGTGCTTCTCTAATTCACAACAAATCCACAACCACTGGGGTCTCGGGACTTTTATTTTTATGATAACTAGGTGTTTTATACCGAAGAAATTGAAGTGCAACTACACATATCATTGAATTGTTTGGTAGAAAGTTAAAAACAAATTGTTGGCAGATTTATCCTTAAAAACTGTGACAGTAGAAGTTTTGATCATCTATTAATGTTTTATTTTTTTTAACGAGTGTAATAGATGGTTACCTACTTATCTGATAATCAATCTAGACACGTACTAACGTTTGTTTATGAAATTTGTTAACTTGCTCAGTAAGAAGGAGCTGACAGCTAAAGAGAAAATCAACTCGATTACATATTGTATATACAGTTCGTGGTAAGAGTTTCTCTATTTAGACATTTGATGACACTAAAACGAGTGAACCAATTTACTTATACTGTATATTGCTTCGAGGGAATTTTGCCACGAAGCGAAGGAGGCAAAGTGGGGCCTTCTCTCTAATTTCTTTGTTCGCTTTTTCTTGTTGTCACACATACAAGTCTTGAATCCTTTCTTCTTATTTTTTCTTTCTTATGCTAATGATAAGAAATAATAGTTTCAAAATCACAATATGCAAGGACACGAAGACTACCGTATTATCATAAACATCTTAACTTGAACCATTGCTATTATTAAGACACTACGTAGTTTGTGTCTTGAACCGTTTTAATCATATATAAGCACTAATCATACATATCAATTGTAGTTTGTGTCTCATATGACCCCTTCTGCTGTAAAAGAGATCGCATTAGGATTCCTTTAAAATCAATATAGTTGTATCGATAAGAGGAAATATGATAATTGCAAGGAATAACACGTTTTAGATTATCAATTCAAAAAATTTCAAAACATACATTTTGTTGTTGAGAATATCACATTTTTGAAAAAAGAAGAAAGTTATAATCAATTTGCGTGTTTACGAATCCTTTCTGATCATATACAATACAATGGAAAAATCCTGTGAATTGTATATGACCAGCCCTATGGTTTTAAGGAAATGCGATGATTGGTATCAAACTTGGATGTTTTGAATCTGTATAAGTAGTGTAGTAATTAAGGATATGGCTAAGACAATATTGGAATTTCAATAAAGAAACTTTTACGTTCTGTTTGTAACAGTTATTAGTAATACTGTATGGAGAGGATATGCTCTGAAATAATTTGATTTATTTTGTTGGAATAAAAAGGTGTGTTTTTCTCGAAGCAAGAAGCCAAAATGTATAGAAAGTTAGTGTCCTTTGATGGCTCATCAAAAACAGAAATAAAAGTGTGAAAGCTCTTTATTAGTTGCATGTGGCATCGAAGGCAAAATCAAAAGAATCTTATGTTTGGGCCTATTGCTTCGGTCACAAGCATTAAATTCATCCCCAATAATATATTAGTTTTTTTACTATTGTTTTTGTTTCCATGTCCTGAACAGTATTAATGTCAATTTGATATTGGTTGGTTACTGATATAAGCATAAGAAGTATGTTCTATGAAACATAAATAGTGTGATGTTTTATATATACAATTATTTCGGTAGATTTATCCATAAATTTTTTTATATTGATTTTCATTTAAAGTGAGTTGTAAAAGAAATACGAAGAAAGTAGCAAGTGTGAATTAGTACATTAGACTAGATAAATGAAATTAGTTTATGTCATATATACTTTATTCTTAAAAAATAATCAGCGGATTAATTAAATTTCGAACCCACTGGGTAAAAAGGGAGATTTTCTTGATAATTATGGCAACCGGCCAATTGATAATGCGATCGCGTTTGTTCACGCCTAAATCCTAATTCATGTAAACCGGTCTTCCTATTCCTCTATAAGAGGCTCTATGCAATTTTCATCATTATTCAAGTTACAGAATCTACTCAAAAACGCTTTCTCCCTTTGTAATGACTTTTTTCTAACATTTTTGGTTCAATTGTTCGGCCAACGATAGTCCTCATGACTCGCGAGATTTCACGGACTATCCGAGCTCGTCTTGATCACTTATTATCCTACGTATACATGGCTTGGTGATTTACTAGTTATCAACCTTCATTATGTGATAAAAGGTCGTCTCTGTTTTGTATCTACTTCCTCTGGTCTGATTATCTCATTACTCTTTTGAATGTGAAACTGTCTCAAACAATGCTCGATCGTAAAGCTGATTTTTTTTGGTGTGAAATTAAAACAAAATAAAATAAATAAAGTAATATTGATAACAAAAGTCAAATTTAGTACAAGAAAACCTCAAATCCTAACTCCGATGTGTTACAAAAAGTTGAAATATAATGCGTAAGTAAATAAAGTGATTGTCTCTAATTTATATTCTGGATATCATATTAGCAGACTATTGATTCGAATTCCAAGTTTTTATGAAAGGGTGTGGATTTTATCTACACATATATAAGCTTCATAATATATGTTGTTGTATTTTTATTTATTTTATAGGTTGGCTTCTTATAGTCGTCTAGAGACGGGCGAATTTCACTTGACGTAAAAAAATATATATAACATTTTCACGTTTTTTAAAAGAAAAAGAAACATATTCACGTTTGTAAAACTGTTTACAATTAGTGACATCAACTCTAAGTCAAATTAAGAATCTATGTATAGCATACGAGCCCTTTATGTCAAACTTTAAACTTTGCTTCCTTTGTTGGCAATCCTTTTTTTTTTTTTGAACATCCAACAATCCTATATAATAATATAGTCATTAATAATTTATGCAGAGGCAATCCGTTTATTATATTTGGACACAATGATTGAATAACTAACATATTTCACTGTAACAATAATTTAGGAATCATGGTCAAAATATTTTAATCGTACGTAATGTTAAGCGGGTTTAAATGGTAAGCATATTCACAAACTACAGACTGTCAGACTATGCATTAATTTGGACCTGGATCTAATAGAAAAACACATAATAATTAGCAATAGTTTAATTAAGAAAACACAAAACTACACTCCAAAAACAAAAATTACAACTGAGGCGTAGGGCCCGCACTGTCTGCATGAGCAACACGTGTTTGTCTACAAGAAGACAATGGCCCTGATTCTGTAATAAGCCACACAGGCTCTCACTGAGAAGAACCTTCAGCTTTTAGCCTTTTAACCTTTTATAACACAAAACCCTAAAAAAATACACTGGGACATTCTCGTCTTCAGTGTGCTAAAAACCCACCTAAAGCAAATTAATATTATTAATTTTGTTATATCATTATTTTCAGCTTGTTACATCTTTTCCAAGTTGCAAGCTCCAAATTACTGTCAACAATTTTAAAATATATATGTATTTTCGGATTTCACAAAAGAAAAAAATTGGGTCCACACACCATTAGGTGATATACTTTTAACTTTGTAACAACTTAATACTAGAAGTGTTCTGCAGCCGTTATTTCTCTCATTTTAATTGTGTTTAATAATCTCCTCAATCCTCTACAGTATTATAAGTTTATAACCCCTTAACATCGTACAAACATTCTTAGAGAGAGGGAAAGAGAAAGAGAGAGAGAGAGAGAGATGGGTCATCACTCGTGCTGCAATAAGCAAAAGGTGAAGAGAGGGCTTTGGTCACCAGAAGAGGACGAAAAGCTCATCAACTACATCAATACATATGGGCATGGATGCTGGAGCTCTGTTCCCAAACATGCAGGCATATATACAGAAATCTTATGATGGGTTTTGTTTCTTGAATTCTCTACTGACAAAAGTCTCATGTCTTTTGTTTTTGATCTGTTGGGGTTTTGCGTGTGTGTTGATTAGGTTTGCAGAGATGTGGAAAGAGTTGTAGATTAAGATGGATAAATTATCTAAGACCTGATCTCAAACGTGGAAGTTTCTCTCCTCAAGAAGCTGCTCTTATCATTGAGCTTCATAGCATTCTTGGAAACAGGTTATTAGCTATTTAACATTGCGTACATTTATATTTGAAAACGTCATGAAGAAAGTGATTACGTTTTATAATCATTTTATTTTTTCTCGTATGGATTTTTGACAGATGGGCTCAGATTGCTAAGCATCTACCTGGACGAACAGATAACGAGGTCAAGAATTTCTGGAACTCAAGCATAAAAAAGAAACTCATGTCTCATCATCATCACCATCATCATGGTCATCATCATCATCTTCATATCTCCTCCATGGCAAATTTGCTCACCAGCCTTCCATATCACAATGGATTCAACCCTACTATTGGCGACGACGAAGGTTCAAGATTCATGTCCAATATCATCACAAACACTAACCCTAATTTTATCACTCCAAGCCACATCCCTCTTCCTTCTCCTCATGTTATGACCCCATTGATGTTTCCAACCTCTAGAGAAGGAGATTTCAAGTTTCATCAAGATAATAACCTTTACAATAGTCTCGACATTCTGTCAGCCACACCAGTCATAAACAATCATCATCATCATGATAATGATCCCCAATGGCCTTCACTACCAGATCTCCCGGCGAGTACCATTGCCACTTTTCACGAACCTCTTCAAGATTATGATGATGGTGACAAACTCAACGTGTTTGTAACACCATACAACGATAATGGTGATCCTCGGAGCATTCCATTTGTGGCCACAAAGTTAATATGTGGACAAGTTCTTGAAGGCAAAGTATTATCCTCTCCCTCTCCAACTTCACAAGACCACGGCCTTCTTCTCCCCGCCACGTACAACTTGGAAATTCCTGGTGATCATCATCGAGTGGACTCATACATCAATCACATGATCATACCATCATCATCATCCTCATCATCCCCAATCTCTTGTGGACAGTACGTCATCACTTAAGCAAACCCTAGTCCTACTCCACCAACATGGGATTCCTAGACATGGGTACGTAATAAATACCTATATAGAAGCTACATACGTTTTATATCTTTTATATATGAGAAGGAAAGAGGGAACATAAATAATCACCTACATGTGCTGATAAGTCTTCCATATATTATTTTTATACTAAACAGTATAAGGATTGTGATATGTTACAATAAATACTTACTTTTTTAATCTGTAACTATTGCATTGAATTTGTTTAAGGGGGAAAACATAAATGTTCTACTTCAGGTTAAAGTTGTGTGAGTTATGGAACAAGGTTTATACTAATAAAGTTCGTCCTTATACACAATTAATAATGAACACATACAAACATATATATGTATGTAAGCACGTATGTATGGGGGATGTACGATCTTTCTCTCTCGTCATCTACGTACACATGTGTTTGTATATGGTCAGTTTGTTTTAGCCTCTGTATTGGAAACTATTGTCTTCATCTTTGTTTTTTTGTCGCGTATTGCTTCTCTCTCTCTATGATATTTTGTGGGGTCAAAATGTGGACTGTCGTAATTCAATGCAAGTTTCATGTACAACATCATTGGTCAACTGTGAGATTCTCTTTACATCATTTTTAATTGTTTTGGAGAAATACACAGTTTTTATCCTTTTTATTTGTTTCGAATTTCGATATTAAAGTTCCTATAAATTGTCAACATTTTAAGGTTTTCTTGATAAACTATCCATTAAATAAGAGCTGAGATTGTTTACAGAAAAAAGAAACATAGAATTTCAAAAAAAAAAATTTAACTTCACTTCGATTCCAAGATCAACAACACATCAAAACACGGATATGAAGACATCCGAGTTAATTATGAGATCGAAGTTTCAGAGTTTCTAGCCTGAAGGACTCAAGGAGACGGACTTAACCGGCCAATTTGAAAACCGGAGATTTGTAGATAGGTTGAAGAGATTCTAGGCCGTAACTCTGTGACGCCCTTTTGCTATTCTTCGAGCTATGACTCTCCGTCCACCTTTGGTTGCCTTGCTGTTTATATCCAAATATTCACTAGTGGTATGAGTAAACAGTGTGGTCACTTAACATGTACAAATACAAAAAATTGTTCATACTTTTCATTATTGCTACAACCAGTTCCTCCTCTAATGTGAATGAAAATAAGCCATGATTCCAGCAGTCGAAAAGCTTTTGAATTTAGAGGATAAAGGTTTGATTTACTAAGGAGGTTTAACACGAAGGGACATACCGAGCAAAGAATCCATGGTTCCGTTTGCGCCTGATAGTGCTCGGTTGGAATGTCCTCTTAGGAAATAGAAGCAATGGCTCACTTGAAGGATTGACTACATCACCAAATACATTGATATTAGGCAGCAGCAAAAGTGTGCAACTTTTGCAGAGACTAATGCCCAACAATTCAATAGATTGAAGGCTAAAATATTCTTTAGATTCTGGACACTATATGCAACTCAAGCACAACATAGACATGAGAGAACTATTTTTATTTACCATTGTGATACAAGCACTATCTAACTCGCCATGATTCCGATTCAAAACCACAGAATACCACACCATAACCCAGTACTTCCACTAGCAGCATATTGACAATTTACAGGACAAAACCACCTAAAGTTAACAATCTTTTTTTTTTATCTTGCTTCTATTGCGTAAGCAAATGAACAAACAAGAAACGTTTCCGATTCCTTCAAGGATCAAATGCCTTAGACACTCTAAGAGGCAGAACACTGGATCACTACTTGATTAGTACTCAAGCATAATTTACCCTAAGAATCACTTTCACAAGCCAAACCAGATACATCCCAGTGAGAGGCGGAACAAATCACCATTCTAGCTAATGACAGATACACTGAAATGGAGATAAGAGAGCGAAGTACCTTCTGGTAAGAAGAACTCGAGTGAAGGAAGACCAGAAGGGTGAAGAAACCCACGTTCCGAGAGTTCCTGGAGCGAGGCAGTGTCGTTACAGCGAGAACTGAGCGAAGTCTGTAGATTCGACAACGACGGGAAAAAATACGGTGGAACTTCTTGTCCCTGAGGAGCTATCTGCTGAAGCGATCTGAGATTGTTCTGCACAAGATTCGTCGTCGGCTTCGATAGAAACCGATTCATCAACGAAGCTCCCGACCTGATTAGGTTTTTGGCCGCCATTTCTTCTCCCTTCACTGCGATAGTTCCCCTGAGAGCTCCCTCTTGGAAAATGTACGAGAAAGACGATTGTACATGGGCTTTTTGGGCCACAGGCCCATTTTAGTTAACAAACAGATCGATCAAACGGTGGTATTACTGTAATTTAATGAACTTTAAAGGACAAATTTGGCATAAATTTTCATGTAACAGAACAAGCATAAACAAGAGTCTCGTCTTCAAAATCTACAGTGTTCATGGTATCTAACTGCTGCTGCAGCATCGCGTAGATCATCTGGGTCGACGAATGAGACGAATCAGCGACCGTGAAAGAATGAGTTTGTTTACCGATCACAATCCAGCTAAAGGCCGGTTCTTTCTTAATCCCACGGTCTCTCATCAGCTCTCTAACCTCCTCAGCAAAAGAATTGACTCCAGATTCGTTGTAAATGTTGTGTAACAATACGTACGAGCCAGAGGCCTCGGGGTCGATATCCATCAATCTCTCTGCAACGCGTCTGCCAATTACACCGTCCTTGTAAACCCTGCAAGAGCTCAGCAATGCTCTCCACATCACTGGATGGTCTTGAAACCCAGAGCTCAAGATCAGTTCCTCAGCATCTGATAATCTCCCTGTGCGACCTAAGAGATCGACGAGGCAAGTGATATGTTTCTCGTTAGGGTGAATCCCGTAATCGTTCTTCATGCTTTGGAAATAGGTGAGTCCTTGTGTGACTAATCCTCCGTGGCAACAAGCTATTAGGATGCTGAGAAACGTCTGCTGGTTCGGTTTAAACCCGTGCGTTTTCATCGACTCAAAGATGTTTAAGGCATCGCTAGCAAATCCGTGTTGCGCAAGACTTGAGATCATAGCTGAGTATGTTGCAATGTCTGGATTTTCGACCTCGGTAAATATTTTACTCGCAAGCGCCATGTTACCTGATTTTGCGTACATAGAGATGCTTGAGGTCTTAACGCTGGTGAATGCATCGATTCCACTCTTTATGGCATAGCCTTGAATCTGCTCTCCTGAGCTTGATGCAGCAAAATCAGCACAAGCACTCATCATAAGTGAAACTGTATACTCTTCCGGTCTTATACGGGATGAGAAAAGTTGTCGGAATAGATCAAACGCGCTTTCAAGCTGCTCGTTTTGGACATGGCAATCAATCATCGATGTCCATGAAGCGATATCTTGCTTTGATGTTGAATCAAAGCATCGCATCCCGTCTTCAGATGAACCCATTATCGCGTACAGCTCAATTAAACCGCTTCCAATGAACTCATCAGACTGAAAATTGTTCTTACATATGAGGGCGTGGATCTGCTTTCCACATTCTAAGGTTTTAGCGGCACAACAAGCTTTGAGCACAGCTGAAAATGTCGATGGCGAGAGTTTCAATCCATGTCTTTGCATATCCATGAAGAGCTTAAAGGCTTCACTAGAAGCTTCATCGGTTATGTCATCCATTTGGAGAAACCCAGAGATCATAGCGTTATACGTAACCACATTCTTTCCAGGCATCAAACTAAAAAGCTTTATCGATTCTTTCAAACTTCCATTTTTTGCATACATGTCAAGCAACGCAGTACCGACAACTATATCAAACTCCATTCCTAATTTTGCAGCGTAACAGTGAATTGCCATACCATTTTCCATCAACCCTTCGTTCAGGTTTATGCAACAAGCCTTTAGCACACTTCCAAGAGCATAAGTGGTCAACTTTATGCCGCCTCTATGCATTTTAACCAGCATATTAAGCGTTTCTTCCGCTGCACCAACCCGAACATAACCGGAAATCAAAGAATTCCACGAAGCCTGGTCCTTTTCATCGGACCGATCGAATAAGGACATTGCTTGGTCAACCTTTCCACACTTGCAATACATGTTGATCAACACATTGACGACAAAAACATTCTCAGCCAGACCGTTTACCATAACCAACCCGTGCAACAATTTGCCTAATCCAAGATCACACCTTTCTCCACAAAAGCCCAATGCACCAGCATAGGTGAACTTATCAAGCTTTAAATTATAATCCCTAGCTTCAAGAAACAAATCCATGGCCTTTTCATGATCTCCCATCTGGCTGTACCCAGAAATCAAAGAATTAAAAGAGATGATGTTCTGTTCAGGCATTTGGTCGAACAGTTGACGTGCAAAACCCAACTCTCGGCACTTGCAATACATATTCAGAAGATTGTTGAGCAAATGCAGGCAGGGGTTGATGGATGACTTGATCATGTGGCCATGGACGAGCTTTCCCAGAACCACGGAGCCTGATTTCGCGGCTTTCTGGACAAGCTTCGTGTAAGCTTCGGAGTCTAAAGCCGTGTTCTTTGGCTGGCATAACGAGGACAAAAACCTGTAACCCAATCCAAATCGTTTGGTGAATAGTAGGAAGAGAGAATCTCGAGCACTGTTGTTGAACGGAGTCTTTGCTCGGAACTGCAACATGTTCTCCCATATCACATAACGAAACTAACGGCTTTTTTTTTGTCTGCTACACAACGGTCTCTGTCGACGTCTTTCTCCAAACTGGGCCTCTATGAATTGTTTTGGGCCTCATGTAAACTAGTTTCGTAATTTTCAATATGTTCACCCTTCTATGTAAAATAATCACCTGGATTGTGTGCATAATAATGTGACGTTGGAAAATGAAAACTGTATGTTATAGACCATCTTTCCAATTTAGAAAATTCAAACACCAAATAAAATTGTACAAAACCATTTCCTTGTAAATCTATGGTCAACGATAAGTAATCGGACGGTGAATGTTCCACGTGTCGCAATATCGGAGCCGATCGCACCGTCCAACTTTAGCAAAGGTGAGGAGGCGGCGAGGTGGTTCCCAACTAAATATTGGGCTTTTATTGTGGGGCCCGTTGTTGTCCAGCCACGCATCAATGTAAATATGCCCACGTGGGACCCAATTTCTCTTTATGCAATGAGTATATCATTATTTCTTTGGTTAGATTATACTAATACTTTTAGTGAATTTTACCTGGAAATTATCTTCTTCTTTTTTCCCTCAAACTAGGATTTTATTAACGAATTAGGTATACTACTAATTCATATTTTTTCTAGTTAATATCACTTTGTTGTTTTTAAAGCAAGAGTTATTCGGACATGAACATAGTTATCTAGTAATTAATCCTTAAAGTCATCATATATTCATATTCTTGATCAGTGAATGTTTGGGTAAAAAAAATCGTAAAAAGTAGTTATTCCTTGGGAAAAAGAAAAAATAATCGCCTTTTGGCATTTTTCTTTTGTCAAATAGAAAGAAGCTCCTATGACCTTACCAGAACCAGTCGTCTAAGCAACGGTGCATCATAAGCACGAGTTCCCTTTGAGATCTCTGTCTACATCTTTCACCATTCTCTTCTTCATTCATCACTCTATCTGTGCGTCGTTGGGCGATAATGGGTACTTTATATACACATCTCTCTTTCTTCTCTGCTCATAAATGTTCCTGATCTCGTGGATCCGTTTTTTTTTTCTCCCTTTGATCTGATCAGTTTTCGTTTTCGACAAAGCGTTATTCGTTTTCGATTTCAGTTTCTTTGTGAGTTCTGTGATTTGTGTTGTGATCCGTCTGTTGTAATTTTGAAAAAGTCTCTTTGCTCATAAGAGGGTAGGTGATTGATTCTCCTGTGTTCTTTTGGTAACTGATGAGTGTCAATGATTTTTTCGAGGTTAGATTTACATGATCAGTGTGGAAATTTTGGGGGTTTTGGTATTGGAAAAGGCTAGGTTTTTCCTGGGTTAATAGTGATTTCAGTGCTGGGAAAATGCACGGACTTTAATATAGAAATCCAAAATTCTTCACCAGAACTAAGGATTCTGGGTTTAATTAAAGGAAACACTAATGCGAGGAGTGTGGAAGAAATGAAAGTCTAGATTTTGAAGCTGTTATTGAGTAGCAGGACTAAATTTCAGATTTAGTTGTTCACATGCAGGAAGATCGTGATTTGTTCAAATGCCGCATTTACTTGTACATAGTGCTTAGCTTTCTTTATTTTATTTTTTTTTTGTGTGGAAGTTGCAGACGCCGCTTGCTCTACCCAGCTTATCGATGGAGATGGTACCTTTAATGTTTCTGGGGTTGATCATTTCATCAAGGAGGTTAAATTGGAAGAATGTGGTCTTTCATATGCGGTTGTCTCGATTATGGGTCCACAAAGTAGTGGTATGTATCAAATCCTTGAATGTAAAAGCTTGCTTCTTCTGGATCCATGCTTTTTGGTACTGATTTTGACATCGTTCTGGCTGAATTTGCAGGGAAGAGTACGCTCTTGAATCATTTGTTCGGAACAAATTTTAGAGAAATGGATGCATTTAGAGGAAGGCATGTCCTTCTCCTTGTATAGTTTGTCGGAAGCATACTTTGTTTCTGATTTAGGATTCTTAAACCGCCGAAATTCCTTGTTTTCAGGTCCCAGACGACTAAGGGAATCTGGATTGCTAGATGCGCTGGTATTGAGCCTTGCACCGTTGTGATGGATTTAGAGGGTACCGATGGGAGAGAGCGTGGAGAGGATGATACTGCTTTTGAGAAACAGAGTGCTCTTTTTGCCCTTGCTGTCTCAGACATAGTTCTCATAAACATGTAAGTGGTTTTCTGTACACTATATTCTTCGATAGATAGCAGGACATTCTTTTTCTGTCTTTATCTTATATCGTACTGGTTCTCTGATTCAGGTGGTGTCATGATATTGGTCGGGAACAAGCAGCAAATAAACCTCTTTTAAAGACTGTGTTCCAGGTAAGTGTCTGCATCTATTTATCAGGATGAATTATCTCTGATCCGAAGTCTCAACACTATTTGCTTTTCCTGCTACTTGCGATCAGGTTATGATGAGGTTGTTTAGTCCCCGGAAGACGACTTTGATGTTTGTCATAAGAGATAAAACACGGGTATGTATTAGTAAAAGCTAGCCTGCATTGTGTTTTTTTTTCTTCATCATTCTGTTTTCTGGATTATAAGTTGTGGATGTTTTTAATATCTGAATATTTGCAGACGCCACTGGAAAATTTAGAGCCAGTGCTGAGGGAAGACATTCAAAAGGTGAAAGAAGAGACAGTCTTTAGCTTTTTTATGTGCTTTGATTAAGCAATCCCTTATATGTTGTCCTTAAATGCAGATATGGGATTCAGTCCCCAAGCCTCAAGCACACAAAGAAACTCCACTTAGTGATTTCTTCAATGTACGTCCGCTTGACCATTGGATAAGAAGTTAGTATCATTCTTCTTTTGATAGGATCAAGAAATGGAGTTGTTTATTGGGTGACAGGTTGAAGTAGTTGCTCTCTCTAGTTATGAAGAAAAGGAAGAGCAATTCAAAGAGCAGGTGCTTTCATATTAGTTTTACATTTTGTCAAAAATCCAGGGTCACGTCACCTTTTGTGATTTAATGCTCAACATATGGCTTGTAGGTGATACTAATGCGTTTCCTATTAATTTGTCTGTAAATGAAAGGTCTATAATTTGAGACAACGGTTCTTTCACTCTGTCGCACCTGGCGGGCTTGCTGGTGATCGACGAGGAGTTGTCCCTGCCAATGCGTTTGCTTTTAGCGCAAAACAGATGTGGCAAGTCATCAAAGACAACAAAGACTTGGATCTTCCAGCACACAAGGTAATTTGCTTGCTTAAGGCTCTCGCCTCTTCAACCTTACATCATTGTTCCTTATGGTCTTGTTATTTATGCGCTGCCTATACGCAGGTCATGGTAGCAACTGTGCGATGTGAGGAAATTGCCAATGAAAAGTTCTCCAGTTTTATCGCGAATGAGGTAATTTTTGTTTGTATTGCTTCATGTCTTTTGTTTATTTTCATATCTAAATGGTGATATTTGAAATTTTTGTTTAGAATTGGCGTGAGTTAGAAGAAGCTGTACAGTCTGGTCCTGTTTCCGGATTTGGAAAAAAGCTGAGCTCAATTCTCCAGTCTTGCTTATCGGAGTAAGTATATCGTCCTTAATTTTTCTTTACTGTTTTTCATAATTTTGAGGAACTATAGGCGTTTAAATATATATAGTTCTAGGAGGGTAGGAATTTAATTTTCATTCGTTTCCTGATTTTTCATCATAGGTATGACACAGAAGCGACATACTTTGAAGAAGGTGTAAGATCATCCAAGAGACAACAGCTGCAAGAAAAGTTATTGCAAGTAATGCATATACTCTTTTATTTTTGACTGTTATAATTGTGTTCTGTTGCAATCATGTGAGTTGTAAGAGAAGCAGATACTTAGTACTAAATCACTCGTTTTGTTATTGTCGTATCTAGCTTGTTCAACCAACTTTCCAAGACTTGCTTGGACATTTGAGATCTGGAGCACTTGAAAACTTCAAGAATGCTTTTGAGAAGGCCTTGGATGCTGGAGAAGGGTTTTCATCCTCTGCAGACTCCTGTACTCAGTCTTGCATATTTAGGTTTGATAAAGGATGTGAAGGTATAGCTTATTGTTGATGTTACTGCTACAAAATTGTGTGATATAGGATATCGCATGTTGGAACCTGAAGACTATCATACGAAAAAGCATTAAAAGATAATCCACCTGATGTGAATCACAAAGGAAATGTTTTGTTGCAGAGGCTGTTATTGAACAAGCAAAGTGGGATACATCTAAAACTCGGGAAAAGCTTCAGCGGGATATTGAAGCCCATATCTCTTCTGTCCGTACTGCAAAGTTGTCTGAACTGACTACTCTGTATGAGGTAAATAAAATTCTCAAGCAGCAAAAGCCGTACATATTAGTCTGGATAATCTAGCACCAAACAGACGTATACTCCTATCTGGACCTTCCTAATAGATAATCGTCATTGCAGTCTAAACTAAATGTGGCATTATCTGGACCGGTGGAAGCTCTCTTGGATGGAGCCAATGATGAAACATGGCCAGCGATAAGAAAACTACTAAGGCGGGAAGGAGAATTGGCTGTCTATGGTCTCTCCAACGCATTATCTGGTTTTGACATGGACGACGAAACACGGAATAAAATGCTCTCTGACCTTGAGAACTATGCACGAGGTATTGTTGAAACAAAGGCAAAGGAAGAGGCTGGAAGAGCGTTGATGCGCATGAAGGACAGGTGTTACCATTTTACTAGTCTTTCATTATTTCCTTGTCTGATTAATTCCATCTTTTTACAAAGATTTCTGATTAAACATACTTCTACCAGATTTGCTACAATCTTCAGCCATGATTCTGATTCAATGCCACGTGTGTGGACTGGAAAAGAGGACATCAGAGCAATCACAAAGATGGCTCGTTCTGCAGTATGAAACCTACCTGATATAGCAATATCTCAGCACCTATTTTTTGACTCGATCACAATTTTCTCGAGATTTTGATGTTACCATTGTTCTCTTTTTCTAGTCCCTGAAGCTGCTCTCTGTTATGGCTGTTATCCGCTTGGAGGATGAACTCGACAATATCGAGAAGACATTAACTCTCGCTCTGGTTAATTCTACTAGCAACAATGCTGCTAGCAAGAGCATCAGCACAATTGATTCACTCGCCTCAAGCACTTGGGAGCAGGTGACTAAAACCTCGCTCAGCGTATATAATAGAAACACAAGACGTCTTCTATTTATTTCTCACGCCTTTGAGATTTATACGATCCCTTTCCT